TTCTTCATAATTTACGACAATTATTTGTAAAAGTTATTTAAACAAATATTTGAAAAGGATAAACTTGTTTCAATCAACGTTTTTAAACGATTAATAAATAATAAAAAATTTTTTCGATTTTTAGTCAAATTTTTAGTCAAATTTCAATTATTCTAATTAATATTTAAATTTTAATTATTTTAATTGATAATCATTGATTTAAAAAAAAATTTTTTTTTCAAAGATTTTAAAAACTTTTCGATAAAAACTTTTGATAAATCTTATATGCATAATGCATTTTTCTTTCAAATCTTTTCCTCATTTGTTTTACTGGCATTTACTGATATCGGCGAATAAGTGATTAGCACTTAGCACCATTTCTGATTTGGTTCGTTGCACTCGCTATTAGTAAAATGGGGAATTATTGTGAAATTTGGGACATTTGCCCACAGAAATACGAATAGAACACCAACAGCACTCGGATTTTCATTATTCTGGAATTATCTTTAAATTCATTAGCTGAAAACGATAATTAGAAATGACTAAATAAATAAAGATAAATAAAGTTTTGATGAAATTTTTTATAAATTATAAATTACCATTTTGAATTGATTCTATTAAAAATTTTTTTTGAAAAAAATCATTCATTTTTTTTTCAAATAAATTTTTTTTTGTAAAATAAATTATTAATCAGTTTATTTTTATTTTAAACTATTTAAACTTTTTTAATCCATTTTTTTCTCTTCTATCAGAATCACTTCGGACGACGAAAATTTCTTTAATTCCTCCTAAAAAAATTTCTTCTAAAAAAAATTTGTTCAATTGCTCGATTCATTTCTTTAAAATTTTCCAGTTTCTCATAGAAATTTTTATTTCTAATAAATTCACATCAGCTATTTAAATTTTTTTAAAATTTACATCCCCTTCAAAATTTCTTCTAAAAATTCATTTCTCTCATTTCTTTCCTTTTTTTTTAAAGTAAATTTAGTCGAAATATTGAAATTTTTTTGATTTTTATTAAAATTTCAATAAATTCATTCGGAATTAAAGTTTTTATTACAACAAATTTTTATTACTTTATTTTTCTTATGAAATTTCTATATTAAATTTCCCTAAAATAGTATCTTTTCTATTAAATCTGTTTAGGGCATTTAGAAATTTCTAATTCCTATTACACCGTTTCTTTTCTATTGAATTCATTCGAAGCATTGAAATTTCTCTAATTTCTCTTATAAAATTTTCTTTTTCATTAGAAATATTCGTCGAAATATTTTAATAATCTCTTCATTAAATCTAAAATTGTTGTACTATTCTACATAATAGAATCATACTGTATAATCGTTGTATTAAGGATTTTTCGTCTTATCAGGTCGCAAAGTTAGAATCCATGAATCCATGAACTCTCTTAGACAAAAAAAAACCTTAAATATGCCCGAGATGCCTTAAATATTAATTAATCAGTTTTAATAGTATTATTTAAGATAAAAAATTTGTTTAAATGTCTATTTATTTTCTATTAATTTAGCCATTAAATTAGAATTTAGAATCCATAGGTTTTCGCAGTATTATATATATATATATATATATCAGAATATTCACTGCTGAAGTCCTTATAACACTGATTTTATCATCAAAATCAAAATAAAAATCAAAATGTTTATCAGTTAAATAATATTCAATAATAAGTTGCTGAGTAGACTTGAAATTCATGAAAAATCATCTTAAAACTAAAATCTAAGCCTATTGCTGAAAAATTTTCGAAAAGAAATATAAATTTTGCCAGTTTTTACGCCATCTTCAACATCCATTTTTTCCGCTTCTTATTTCAAAAAGTTTCCATTCCAAATTCTTTAAGTAATATCACCGAATAAATTTCTAAACAAAATTATAATAAGTATAAGCTAATAAGATGAGAAATTTTTGCTAGAAAGCCATTTGCTGATAAAAGTGTATAAGTGAATCGATCATATTTTTTAAATGATAGCTATGCTGATCCTATTGCTGATTGGAAACCAGATATTCGAGATGATAGCAACAACCACTCGATTATTCTGCTGTTACTTATTGCAATATTAACAATATTAAAGATAATGGGAAGAATAATGAGAAATAATGAGAAACTAGTTTCAATAATAATGGGAAGAAATAGTTTATAATAAATAGAATTTGATAATCTTTTTTTTTTTTCATTTTTACGCTTTTTTTGGGACTATTTTATTTAAATAGTTTTAGTCATTTTGCTAATTTTTAGCTTTTTGCTAATTTATTTGTAATTTAATCATTATCAATTAAGTTAAATTAAATTAAATTTAATTTAATTTTTAATTATATTTAATTAAATATTGTTTATAATATTAGCATTGTTAATTTATTAATTATTATATTAATTGTTATTAATTATAATTATAAATCTAATTTTATTTAATTTTATTTCATCAATTAAATTAAATGAATTTAATTTCATAATTGAAGATTAAACCAAAGTATATTTTATATTTTATTTATTTTATTGTTTGTCGTTTGCATTTTTAATCTTTTTGCTATATCGTTATTCTTGTTTTAACTGCTTACTGCTTACTGCTTACTTACTCTCCAAATCCAGTTTCTTCACTCGATTTCTTGTTGAGATTTTTTTTTTTTCAATTGACTTCGATGAGTTCGAAACGTAAGTTCATTCATTCATTCGGTAATTCCCTCATATAATATTTATATTTGCTGCTGTCATTTTATAACTGTGCTTATTTTGGACGACTTTCTTGTGTCGAGATGTGGGTTCGAATCCGCCGATCTGCCACTCTTTCTTTTTTAATTCGAAGCGCTGAAGCTGAAATCTTACTTCCAGCAAGAATAAACCTGTAGAAAAATCCATGCACCTGTATTTCTATCGCCAAGGAACTAATTGGCATATTTGTCCAGTCCGGCAAGCCAGTGGAGCAAGTCTAACCAGAAATGATGAATGCTCTTAAAAAAAATTTCTCTATAGAATTGAACAAGTGGAATGATCGTTAACTAATCACTTTCTTTAATTGCTTTCTTTGATGGTTGATTTAATTAATTTTCATATGCGCAGTTTTTTTCATAATATTTTAAGTATTTCGTGAGAAATGTTTTATGGCAAAAAAAAAGTCAATGTACTACTAATTTCAATAATAATAAAATGGAAATTTTTCAAGTAAAAATTCGAAAAAATATTTTTTGAAAGTCTCGTTTATAGTTAAGAATTTTTCCAAAAAATTCTTTCTTGATTTAATATTCGATATTTTTTTTTCCAAATTATACAAATTAATAGAATTTTTTTCTGAAAGACTTAAAATGCCATTATAAATTATAAATAAATAAATAAATGTTCATTTCGATAGGTGAAAAATTATTTGTAAAGTTTTTTTTTTCCATTGATGTGTTATGTTTGTAATTATGATTATTTCTGTATTCATTGTTTAATGATCATTTTCACTGATATTATCATTGCTTCCTTTTTTTTAACGATGGTTAGATAGTTTTGAATTTTGAATCATCTAAATTTTTATCATTTTTATCACTTTTAGCATGAAAATATTAATGATTTAACTGTTTTAGCACTCAATTCGTCTTTAACCATTATCAAAAATTATCAAAAATTTACTATTTTTTTTTATCAATTTATTTTTATTTATTTTATCAATCATTTTTTGATTATTTTTTCTGTTAATATTTTTAAATTAGCAAGCGAGTTAAATAAAGTATCAAATATTTTTGATATTGACATTGTTTTATTTTCATTTTACTAGTTATAAAAAAAATCATAAATATATAGCAGATCTGAGTTAACAAAACAAAACAAATATTTGTCGTCGGAATGAAATAAAAATGAATAATTGCTGCGTGCAATTTAAACTTGCAGTAATAAAATGTTATGAAAATAAGAAAATATTTTCTTACGTGAAATATTTTATAGGAAATAAGAATTTCGAACAACTTCCCTATTAATTTTTTTTTTTCAAAGTGATAAATAATTTTAAGTTTACGTGTAAACGTGGGCAAAACTCATTTATCATCCCCTCTCGCCAACTCCGCATTTGTGGATTTCCATCTAATCTTACACTTATGCCGATGCATTTGTCTATTTGTATTTATAATAATATAATATATTATATTTTTAATTCTCTAAAATTAAATGTTTAATTTTTTTTCTAAGGAAATTTAGAAATAATAATTTTTTGCATTTATTATATTTTAATTTGCATCATAGAATATTTTACTTTTAATATTTTTTTTTCCTTTTTTTAATTAAAGGACCCACTTTTTTTTATTAATCAAATTACAATAAGTGGTTAGATTCGTAGATTTGTCATTTCTGACAAGGCTTGCCGTTAGTATAATCAAAGATTTTTGCCCAGGCTGTCGCAAAACCACTTAGATTTTTTATGAATAGTTTTATACTTATTGGGAAGCCAAATTCTTGCCGCTTCTATAATTTCGTTTATTTAAATATTGTAGTATATATATACTCTTAAATATTGTAATATTGTAATATGTAATAATAATAATTTACTCATCAGCGTGTAGCATTTATTATTTTTTCGAAAATTTTTTTTTTCGACTGAATTAACTCTTATCATTATACTCTTATCAAATCATTATATAACTTTTTGTAATTTCTTCTATATTCTTGTAATTTATATTTAAAATTGTGGATCTTATAAAAAAAAATGTATACTTTACGATATAAAAGAAAAATACTAATATAGTAGCAAAATCAGTGGCAATTTATTGGCATTTTAGTTGCATCGAAAATATTTTCTATTCATTTTCAATCGAAGGATTAAATTTTTATTGCTTTTAAAAACTCTTTAGTGATATAAAAAAATTTTGCCATTTTTTTCATCTGATTTAAATATTTTTAAATTTGATTTCCTTTGCGCTACGTTGAATTAAATTATGCAAATTTTTAACGCAAAAAAAAACGTTATTTTAATTTTTATTCGTCATTGAGCGAATTTTAGAATTATATATTTTTTAACAAAAATTCGTTCTTTTTAGGTATGACGGAAATCTTATATAATCATGCATCGCAGGATGCAGGCGACGTGTCGAAAGTTTCGTCGTCGTCGATAAGAAACACGCCACGTTACGAAGCATTTTTAATGACTGGTGAAAAGATGATTAGTCTTGATCCTAATATATCTGCAAGATATGCTGAGGTTTTTAAATTTTTTTTCCAATTTTCTACATTATTTTCCTATTTTTTACAGTTATTTTTTTTATTCTTCCATGATTTCATAATGATAATAATTTGCGATTTTTTAAAGATGAATTATGAACAATTACCACCAACAACAGCTAAAATAGAAGTACCACGCTATGGTCCATTTGATGATTTTCCGTCGTATATGATGCGAAATCATGTGCGAAGTAGGTTTTGTCCAGAATCAGCCGTTCCAGCTTCTCAGTCTGATAATGGGATTAATAATGAAAAAATTTTATTAAATGCAAGTTTTCAAAATTTTTCATGATCCAAATCATTATATTCATGCTTTCTCTTTTTTATAAACTAATAATAATCCAATAATGCAAATTCAAATTTTTATTTGTATCGATAATTTTTTAGAAATTTTATAATTTTGCCATACGGAATATAGCCAAATAAAGCATTAATCTCCGGAATTATGAAAATTTATTAATTCATTTCCATCCTTATTGATATTTCTTCTTTATAAATTCAAATTAGCATATATATTAGTTTTTTTGGTATAAAAATAAATTTTAAAAATATATATTTAAGGAATCCGGATTGTCGGAAGATGAAAATTCCTCAGTAACAGTAAATGCGGAACCTATTTTGATAACGGACAAAAGCACTCATCTTAACGAATCTGAATTTGCAAATTCTATGACCTCATCGGATGAATTAAACGACTTCAATAATGAAATTTCAACTAAGGATCATCAGCAGTGTCCGTCGTATCCAGATGAAATTAGTCATAGTGAGCCATCCAGCCCAGCAAAAGGCCACATGGTTAACAATCTTGTTTCTAAGGTGCGATGCCCTTCTCCACCATCAGGTGCTTTCAATTTTTATATAATTTTTAGCGTTTAATTTTGCAATTTTTGTTGTTTTTATTTTTTAGCTTTTCTTTTTCATATTTCTATCGTTTCCAAAATATTTTAATGGACGAAATAGTGAACGAAATAAATTTTTTTCTAAGATACGCCTAAGCACTCAGTTTAAATTTTTGTAATTTTAGGTCATTTATTTATTTCACTTAAACTTATAATTTTAGGTTCAATCAAAATTGTATTTCTTTGTTGGTTTTTTAGACTTCGATCGAAAATCGGATTTCGATATAAATGCTTCGAGTAGATTAGCAAAACGATTATACGCATTAGATGGATTTAAGAAAACGGATGTTGCAAGTCATCTCGCTAAAGAGTTCGTTTTTCGTGAATAGAAAAGAAAGAAGCGAACTGAAAAAAAATGAAAAAATTTTTCAAACTAATTTTGCTTAATTCGATAATTTAGCATTTTTCTACAAAAAAAATACAATAAAAAAAGTCATAAATTATTTAATATAAATAATATATTTAATAATAATAATATGTTTTATATAAATAAGTTATATTAGTTATTAAAAATTATAAATTAATATTTAATTTATAAATTATAATAAATTTATAATAAATTTATAAATAATTTATAATAAATTTATAAATTATAAATTAATATTTTATTTATTTATTTTTTTGCATGGATTCTTTTTGAATAAAAATGTATTATTTTATAGTTATTTGAAGAATGAATTTTAGAAATGGCTTTAGCGCAGCAGTTGCAGAAGAATATTGTGCATTATTTAATTTCACGGGTATTAGATTAGATATGGCAATTCGAGAATTCCTGTCAAGATTTTGTTTAATTGGTGAAAGTCAGGAAAGAGCGCGAATCGTCGAACACTTTGCAAATCGTTATCATCAATGCAATCCAACGCTTTTCAAATCAGCTGGTTTATATTCAAATTATTGCTTTTTCAGGATTTCAGTCCATGCAAAAAATAACAATCAGAGAAAAATTTGAAAAGTTTCTTCGAAAATCGAAAATTCAGCTTTTAGTTAATCTTAGATGGAATATGAAATGTCATAACGTTGAGGAAAATCGCATTCATTTCAAAAAATTTCAATTTTTTTAACTCTTTTCTTACCTCAATTAATTCACTTCATTTCTCGTTATTCGTTTATTTTTTTTATTTTTCGATTTATTTTTGCAAAATTTGATTATTTTATAAAAAATTATAATCATACATACTCATTAATTTTTGATTATTATTTTATTATGATTATTTTGGCTAATTAGAATTCGATAATTAGTAGAATAGCGATAAATAGGAATCATTTGAGAAAAGGATTTATTCCAGAAACAGGTGGTTTCAATGATCACAGTGATATTTTATTCTTTTTTTCCCTCCCCTAAGAAAACTGTTAACATTTTACACTGTAATTTTTCTTTTAGATCAAGTGCACGCTCTAACTTGTGGTCTTCTCTTGCTTAATTCAGATCTTCATGGCCCAGTAAATTTATTATTTTTTCATTTCGAATATTTTTTCATATTAATTTCATTAATTTTTATGTAAATTTATTCGTTATTAGGTTGTTTGTTTATTTAATCGATGAAAATTTATTTGCATATTAGTATTAATGATTTATATTTATATATATATAAATATTTATATAATAGAATACGGGAAAAAGGATGTCAAGCCGCGATTTTATTGATAATATAAGTCAAACAGAACATCAATACGATCGGTCATTGTTGAAAACACTTTATGCTTCAATAAAAGAACAACCAATGAAGTGGGCTGAGTAATAATAATTTTTTCTTTTTGCTATAAAAAAGAGTTTAAAATTTTTTCTTTTTAATATATTTTCCAGTATAGTACCATTACTAGCCAAATATTGCTTATTTTATAGTCCATTTTATAGGGAAAAATTTTTGGATATTAAAAATATTTTATTTTATATATAACTGTGAATTTTTTCTTCGAGATCTCCGACAAATTAAATTAATTAACCGAATTGATTTTAAATGGGGTAATTTTTTTTTTTTTTAGAGAGGAAAATATGGAAATAAATGGAAAATTAAGTGAAAATTCTCTAAAAAAAGCAACAACTAAAAAAGGCAACAAGTTGAATTCCTCTTCAGTTATTTATGAAGATGATCAAATAGAATATAAGGCTGGTTGGGTTGTACGAAAATGTGTCTATGATCGTGATGGAAATAGAAGTATTTTTATTTTTTTAGTTATTTTATTTTGTAAATTTTCGTCAAAGAGAGAGAGATATTTTCGCGTCCATATAGCTGCAATTCACTCGATTTTGCTATATGGCTGCGAAACATGACCAATGAGAGTGGAAGATATTAAGAAGCTATTAGCTTTTGACCATTCATGTCCAAGGTGCATTTTACGGATCCATCGAGCGGATAAAGTCGCATATGATTGTATCCATCTTCAAATATCACTTATAATTAATAATGTTATTCGATCTTAATTGGTTATTTTTTGGTGAAATTAGTTTCATTTCTGGTCTCGAGGTAGTCGGCGTAAAAATAGAAGAGACTACATTACTCACTAATGAGTTGATCGAGGTATCTAGATTATGCATCTCCCTGCAGGCGCCATGCTTTGTAGCGTTTTGTCACTCCTTGGCGCATCGTTTGTATTTAAGAAAATAGTCATGGCTTTTAATTTTTATTTTTTAATTTTATTATATTATTTATTTTTATTTAGTCCCTCATTATATCATGTCGCCTTCGCTGGGTTAGAGCACATTCTCCGTCGTCTACTACAGGAGTTGACGCATATTTCGATATTTGCTAAACCCTGTGATGGTTGGTGTCAAAAGCGAGGTGGGCAAATCAAGACACGGACTGGTATAGTCAGGAAAGATTTTGAATGTATAGGTGAACTAACGATATGTGGATTTAGACAATGGAAAAAGGAATGGTTTCTATTACTACCAGCGATGGCGTCGGACTAAAATATTTAATAGATACTAAATATTGAACTATTGCAAGAATTTGTTGCACCGGTGACTTTATTGCCAAGCTTATTGTCACCAAGAATTGAAAAATAGCTCAGATTTGACTCCACTATAATTCATCAGATATCAATATCGCCGAATGGCAAAAGCAGAAAAGGATTCGGATTCTGAGGCCTATTTTAGGCCTAGTAGAAGTAAACCTGTCCTTCGAAAATCCTAATGATATTGGCGATTCATCTCTATTTCTATCGCCTTATGGCTTCATGGCAAAATTCAGCTGGCCCAGTGGTCGTTGAGCGCTCCTAAATAGAAAATAACTTTAACTTATACAGTTATATGATTTTAGTCATGGTAATTGTTATCATTTTCACTAAATTTTTATTTCATGCGGTAACTTTTAGCTCCATTTGGTCGACGTAGCTGGAATATGATGTATGCTCGTTTACGAGGTATGGTTCTATATCTTCATAAAGACGAGGATGGATTTCGTCGTCGGCGCTACGAAACATTCAATAATGCTATTATGCTTCATCATTCGTTAGCCAGTCGTTGTGAAAATTATAAGAAAAGGCAACATATATTCAGATTGCGTACGGCAAATCTCGGTGAATATTTGTTTCAAACAAGGTATCTGCTTGTATCTAATAGAATTCATAAAATTCATATCCACTCTACCATATTCATTTAACTAATAGCATTTTTTCAAATACTAGCAAAATTGAATGAACTTTCGAAGATGAATTTCCGAATAATTTTTGGAACTGAAAAAAAAAAAATTTATATAATTTTATAATAATTTATTTAAATTTAAATATAATTTAACTTAATAATAGCTTTCTAAATAGCTTTACAATATTGTTGATTTGGGGATTGAAGTAAAACATTTCGAAGCCTCTCGATCTGGTTCCATTCTTGGAAATATATGAAGCCACTCCTTTTTCCATCGCCTAAGGCGACTATTTATCACTGAGACGCGCCTATGTCTAAGTTTTTCCTAGAAATATTTCCTAGAAATAAATATATCAGCTGACAATTTCCTCAATATTTTTTATTTTTATTAAATAATTTTTATATATTTTTATTAATATGAAAATATTGAAAATATTTTTATTAATATGAAAGATTTAAGATTTAAAAAAAAATGAATGTTTTCGTTAATGTTTTTTTTTTTTGTTAATATTATTAATGGTCCAATCACGAGAATTTTTATTGAAGTGATGATAACGAAGTGCAGCAATGGATTGATACCATTAATTATGTAGCTGCAGCTTTCTCTTCTCCAGCATTACCAGCTCCAGCATCAAATCAATCAAATTTATTTCATAGACCTCTGCTGCCCAGTGCGCCAACTATTTTTTCTATAGTTCGTAATTTATTATTATTATTATTATATTTGCTTTAAAATAGGTCTAAAAATTCAAAAATTCATAATAAAATTTAAATATTTTTTTAAAATATGAATATAGATTTTATATTTTAGATAGTCATAGATTTTTCTATTTAATTGAATTTATTTCAGCCAGAACAATTAAGAATTCATGAAGAAAAAGAAAGGGAGATCGCCGAACAACTTGAAAAACTAATGAAGGAAGCGCCACCACTCAAAGCGAAAGGTAGTGCTGTTCAGGAGTTTTTCTTTAAGGAGCGTTATCTTTATCATGAGGTAATTGTTTGCATATTGTTTGTCCGTTCATAGTTTAATAGATAATAATATAGTCTTATTCATGCCCATATCGTTTAAATTATTGCAAATTCTAATTTTTCTATTTACAATAATATATTTAAATAAATAATATATTATAATATAATATATTTAAATATTTATAATATTCTTTTAAAAGAGTTAGAAAGTTTCATTAATTTTTTAAATTATAAATTTTATTAAATATTTTATTAATTAATTTAATTATTGCATAGTATATCATGTCATAAAGCTACAAATTTATATTTTATTTAACGAATTATTATATTTTTTATATCAATTTATTTCATTTCATATAAATATTACCACTAAAATAGTGTAGTAATTAAGGCGGACAATTAATGTGGAATAACAATAGCGGTCTGAACCATAGCCAGTCTCCTCTCTACTTTTTCGGAGAGGATTCCGTTGGGTACGATCCTCTGAAGGTTTATTTGCCCCTTATCTCGCAGGTCTTTTATAAAAGAGTTGAGACCGACTCATATCGCCCATAGGAAGAATTTATTCCTATTATTTGTTGTAGAATAACGACAATATTTTCATAACGTTTTATTTTCATTTGGCTATGCGAAAACTTTTCCTTTCCTAAATTTCTATTTTACATTAGCTCATTTCTTTCTCATTTAAAGAGGAGAAGAAAGCTTTATCGTTCTGAAATTTGATTTAAAAATTTTCTATTTCTTATCATTAAATGACGAAAATTAAAGTTTAACGGTCGATTCGATTCGAAAATCGTCGAACTACCCAATTATGAATAATAATGAAAAAAAAGTGATTTTTATTAATAATATTATCAATATTAGTAATTAATAATGTTAATAATATTTATTTTATTGATAATATTAATATTAATAATATTTTATTAATAATATTATTTCTAGCGAGAACGATATGCAACATATGCGAAAATTTTGCGAAATCGTTTAAGTACAATACCTCTCTCTCAGTCGACATCAATTCGCATTGATAATTTAGAAGTATTGCAAATTATGGTACCTTATTTAAAAGGAGGCAATAAAGAAGGGCGATTAGCAAGAGATGCGGATTCATTGCAATCTGAAAACGATAAATTTCGAATCGAATCGGATGAATTAGAATCAAATGCTGATCGATGTAGTTATAAGGAAGCCATAATACATAGTCCATGTAAAGCATTCATAAAAACCAATTCGAATTGTTAAATTTTGCTTCGCTTTATTCATTTATTCTTCAGCTAAAGCTCATCGTTCAAATTTGATCTTTTTTTTTAAATTTTTTTCATATTTTTTATTTTTTTCGTATTTTTTTTTTTAGAAGAGCATTCCAATATCTTTCGCTTTTATGAAAGATTAATGTTCAGTATTTTTGTAATTTTTTTTTTTATTTCTTATTGTTTTATTTTAAATATTTGAAGCGTTTCTCACATTAAAAAAAGAACAATAAGAGAAATTCTCGCTATTTTTTTAAATTTTAATGAAAAAATTTTTATCAAATTTTTTAGATTTAAATGGAAAAAAAATAAAAAAATTGATATGAAAAAAATTTCTAAATTTTAATCCTAAAATTTTAAAATTAAGAAAATTTTTTCAAGCATTTTATTAATTTAATTATTGTATAATATATATGCCATAAATTTTATTTTATTTTATTCAACGGGTTAATATATTTTTTATTTTTATATCGAATTACTTCATCTCATATAAATATTATTTGTATTATTATTATTATTGTATAAGAAGTTATCTTAGAAGTTTTTTTTTTTTTGCAATGAACATCGATTTGAAAAGATTTGATAAAATTATATCACATTTGTTTTATCGTTCTATATTGTTGATTTCTTATCGCAAAATCTGAGAATTAATTTTATATTAAATTAATAAATTTCGTGATGAAATATATTATCGGACTAATCAGAAAAACGTACAATCATCACGAAAAAATTAATTAATTTATAGGACAAATTAGGCGAATACGAATTATATTTTTATTAATAATAAATAATTATTATAAATAAAAATATAAGTAGAAAAATAATTGTGAAAATCCGTGGATTAATATTTAAATAAATAATCCGATTATTATTGAGTTTAATTTAATAAAAATCTGTTATCTGTTATTATCTGTTAAATCTATTATTTTTTGATATTATATTAATATCATTTTTAATATTTACTATTTTAATATTTAATATTATTCTTTTTTAGTATTATAATTTGCAATTTATTTTAAGGCAAATTATTGAGTTTTCAATCGTTTTACCTAACGAATTATTTTCTATTTCCCGCAAGACACATGTAGCGTAGTCATTCTAATTAATAATGGTGAGAGTTCTTAAAAAAGAAAAACTTTTTTAATTTATTAACTGATTAGCTGATTTTCATGGAATATAAGAAAGTCGTAGATGTTTCGCTGCAGGGAGCAATACGAAAATAAAAAAATTTTGCAAAAATTTTACTATGCTTGGACATTGCATATTACGTGATATTACGTGAAAATGAGTCGTATATCACATTGCACATTTACATATAATAATAATAAATAATAATAATAAATAATAATAATATATATAACTTCACCGCTTTGGACAAATTTTATTTCTTAATATTTATTCACTCGACAATTGATTATGGCTTCAATTAAAACCTCTGACAACAATATATTGTCCAAAAGCGATATGGCATCCAAGAAATCCGTATCCGTAAAATTTGTTTTGCTATTGTTGCATGTAATTTGATATTTTTTTTTCCAAAATCAGCCGAATATTTTTCAAAAATTTTTCCCAATGTTCATTGTTTAGCGTCTTCCACACCTAAAATTCTTTTGTTCTCCTCCACAATTCTTTTCATTTCCAAGTAGAACTTTAGCTTAAACCATTTTCTTTGGAAATAAAAACTTGGAAATCTGGAATACTTTATAATATCTTTAAATTGTCCACAGGTTCGCTGCTGCATGGAACTTTTATTTTTCCTTCTTTTTGCTTTTTTAAATTTATATGAATAGTAACAAATCTTCAATGATATTATCATAGTAAAACGTTATCACAAACATCGTGAATTAGGCCATAGTATATTTACAAATTTTCACCGACCATTGCTTCATAAGACCCTTCCTTTCATTCTTCTCAAGTTTTTTTAGACCTAGAAGAGAAACAGAAATCGGCCGTTATCGTTGTAACTGGCTCAATGCCTAACCAGATTCATATCGCAACAATTCGTAACGCAAATTTATGTCTAATGCCAATCCTTTCCTCTCGTAATTGGCTTTGGCTATACATGATAGCCTTCTTTTGCATCCTATTAAACCATAATATTCGTTTTTTTTTTTTTTTTTAAGATGGAAATTATATTATAATTTAACTTCTTTGCAATATTTAATCTACTCTGTGGTAGTAAAATTTCGTTTTACCTTTTTTTTTGCTTCTGTTTTATGATATTCTATAAAAAATTGCCCAAGAAATCCTATGTCGTCCCCTAGAAATCCAATTTCCTTTTGAAGCTTTTGGTATCCTCCGGAATTTATCGTATTTTTTTTTTTTAAATGCTTTCCAACTCCGTCACATCTATGCCACATCTAAACCTCTAAATCTCGTTGGCCTTAATGCATTAAAAGAAAACTCCTTTCTTCCTCTTGTCCCTCCCAGATTCAGTTATACTATTTAGGATATTAAATTGAGATATTATATATGCATCGTAAATAGTCTGATGAAATTTGATGGATATTTTATGAAGAGAATGCTGAGATTTAAGGCGTGCTAAGGAAATATAACGGGTTTTTTAAGAAATATCAAGTTATATTTCAAGATTTGAAGAGAATTCCGCTTGTCGCACTTGTCACTCGTTGCACTTGTGATTTTGCTAGTTAATCAATTAATGAAATATATTAATGAAAATATTAAATTAGCTTAAATTTAAGTTATATTCTCCACCACTTACCAATCGACTAATTAGTGTTAAAGAAAAAATGGAAAAAGACAAATGGAACTCGGATAGCAGAGGGAAATACGAAAATCAAAAAGCGATTGTTTCGATTTGTCTTTTTTCTTTTAGATTTTGCTTGGTTAATAAATTCTCTACGAATATATTAAGAAAATATAAACGAAATTGAATGTTTTTTTTTTTAGGAAAAAAAACAGTTTATTAGTGGAAATAATTTTGCACTAACTGAATGTGGAATTTCCATAAAATATTTTTACTCATAAATTGAAAAAATTTTGCAATAATTATATTTCGAAATGTGTAAAATTATTATTTGTATTTTTACTCGAAATGAAATTGAATAATCGGCGAAATATAAAAATAAATCTTTAGTGAACTGCATTGAATAGAGAAACTAAAGAAATTTAAGAATTTAATAGCAATAAAAATATTTATATACAATAAATAATAATTGGGGATTTGATTTAAACTGAAATATACCATAGTGATTTCTATTTTGTTTATTCGTATTTTGTTTAAATATAGAAAAATATTGACCGAATAAACGAATTAATTCTATCTCTTAAGGGGAAAAGAACTCACTTAAATCACATATTTACAATTGTGAACAATAAAGCGCTATTGTTTTTCATCTCTGAAATTTTTATGAAATTTTATAAAATTTCTTGAAATTTACTAAAAAGAAAAAAATTTCTACTTTCGTTCAAATTAAATAAAATTAAATTGAAATTAAAAAGTTTTTTTTTCTTTAATTTCAAAGAAATATTTCTAATTAAAAAAGTACTTAATGATTAGTCTCAAAATTTATCGTTAAAGAGTAAACTGAGCAAAATGCATAATACTTTAGGCGATACGAAAAATGCAACTTATATATTCATCAATTCAAAAATTTTTGTATTATTTTTTATTTTATATGCTTTATTATTATTATATATTATTATTATAAGTAATATTATCAATATTTTTTTTTTATCTTATTACAATTATTATTCCTTTTTATCATTTATTAGTGAATTTTCTATTTTTTTTTCACTCATTCGGTAAATATAGGTTAAAATAATGAAGTTTTTTCTAAGAGCGCTCATCATTTTTGGGTTTGGCTCTCTTCATTGGCCTATCGTACCAGACAAATTTTGTCTAGAAGTCACTTGGTGATTCGAAATCCGAAATCGAAGTGAGTCGTCAACAATACCTGAATTTTTAAAGATAAGTTCATTCCTGCTAGAATAAGAGAACTTCACCATCGGTGCTAAGAGTTATTACGAATTAACGAATATTTATTTATTTTAAAAAAATTACGCCATGCGTTCGTAACAAAATAAAGAGTTCATAAAGAAAAAATTTGGCGATAAAGTAATTGATAAAATCTATCTGCGAAATAATTTAATAATTTAAATGGCTTTTTTATAAACGAAGAAATATATATACTTGAGGGCATCATAGCTGTTCCTGGTGGTGCACTCTTCTGGACGAAGATCCTTGATATTGTTCCTAAAATCTATTAAAATCATTTCTCTAGTTTAACCACTAGTGTTCTTATTATCACTGGTGCTATCTTCTCTAAGTCATCATTCAGCCTGGGGCATTTCTCTGACTTTTTATATTCATAATGTTTCTGTCACTTAATATAATTATCACCAGTGCTGATTTTTGGTTCTTGTTTAATTTATTACCAAAATTGTTTGAATGGTAAGTATACTTGCTTGATTGTCTTAATGAAGCAGACCCACACGATCCTCGTCTTATTCTGCACGATTTTCTCAGGAATCTGCCATCTAGCCTAAACCATATACCAAGTAGATATATGGTTATTCGGCAGATAACGCCACCTATTTGGCAGCCTTTCAGGACATGTTGTTTTTCCGTGCTGCCATTACGTAATTTCTTTTTTGCGCACATTGTACTTTGATTCTTGTGTGGATTTGGTGCTGAGAATATTAGTACCTATTCTTGCGCTGTTATAATCAATGCCTTAATGCCATCTTTTAGCCCAGCCTTTCCCAATCATTAGTATGATTTCTCAATGTTAGCCACTTCAATCATCGATTATAAACATGATTTGCGGATTTTCCAATAAATCCTTCATGGATTTAGAGCTAAGCCCAGATTTAAACTTATTTAAATATAGAAATTAGACAGTTAAATTATTAATTCTACCTTTAATTGAATTCGGCTTATTAACGTTTTTTTATAACATATTAATATTCTCAGCATACTTTTGTTTTTAGTTCGAAATGCCTCCATCATGAAATAATAGATAATGAGAAACATGGATGAGTTAACAACTGGTAACCATGATAAAATAGCTGTTACTTCAATCGATGTCTAAAAAATCGAATAGTTTTTACAAAATATAAATTCCAATAGGTCAATAAAGCGAAACTATGAGGAAAGAAATTAAATAAAATTCATTTCACCACGCGTAATTTGATTTTTAATAAAATCATTTAAAAATGAAAATTGCAAGTTTCATTTTTAATTTTACTCAAATAAGCGATCGAATAATTTAATTTTTATTAAATTTACAATTATGTAAAAATAAAAATATAATATGAAACATGAAAAATGAATTTTCATTTATTCGATCATTTTTAGACAAACATCAGTGATTAAAAATATCAAAAAAGAAGCTTTAGCGACGTAAAAAAAATGAACTGATGATATGGAAAATTCCACTTTGCTTTGTATGGAAAATCATATCAGATAAAACTGACTTCCCTTCTTTTTTTTTGAAAACGCTCACCATTATTGGTTAAACTCGTTCCGCTGGTTTGTCGCCAATATCACCCGGATTTTTGGATAAATTTTCTTGCGCTAAGATTTAGAGCCTCAATATCGGCGTCAATACGAATTGAGCAATAGCCGGCTAATCTATTCTACTTTCATTTGTTTTTTTCCATTAAGCGACAATGCCACACCACACGACTAAGGATTCGTATCCAACCTTCGATTCTCGGTGCTAATTATTTCTAAGCTACCAAAAGATTTATATTTACACTTTTTAAATTTGTAGTTTTTAAAGTTGTTTAGTTTTATAGTATAGTAGTTTATAGTAGAAAGAGTGAGAAAGATACTTTTAGGATACCAACGGATTTAATTGCTGCTATTGTATGAGGCAGTGCGACGAGTATACATGATAAGGTAGTGATTACTAGAGTGATTTTGAAACGATTCAACGACTGTAAACAATTACTGCAAATAATATCATTTAGTTCAAAAGAACTTTGGAACAACAATTTCTGAAATATTTTACGATTTTAATGATCCAATAAATTTTAATTGTAAATTTTCTCACTTGGTCTTACTCATTTGTTTAGCTCGGAGATAAGGAACTGCTGTAAGGATCAGTGCCGTAAAATATCCAATAATCTAAATAAAATTTCTCAAAAATAGGAAAATTATGATTTCAAATTGATGAAATGTAAAATATGTTATGTACCATGTTTTACGATTTTATTTACTTTGTTTATGATTGTTTTTATTATTATTTCATTATAAAATTATTATTAAAACTTGACAAAGATAAAAAATTTTAAAGAGTCAGTAGACTGAATAATTAAATCTAACAATTAACTATATTAAAGTCAATGAACTAATAATTAATAATAATTAAATGATGGACTAATAATAATTGAATGATAATCGGAAGCGATGTATGCCAATCAAGACCTGGCTGGACTGATACAGCCAGAAAAGATTTTGAAAATACAGAGGGACTAGCGATATATGGATTTAAACGCTAGAAAAAAGGAATGACTTCTATTATTATTAGCGAAGGCATCGGATCGAATAGTTTGGTGAACACCCTACCCTTGTAGCCAGTGGAACCAGCCTAACCACTAATGCTGAGATTTGTTAAAAAGAGAAAAAGATCGGCTTATTACCCCATAATTTGGAAGAATAATTTACGATCTAAAAAATTCTTTAAAATATAAAATAAATAAAAAAGAAAAAAGGTCAATAAAATTCCTAATGCCTAAAAAATATTTTTTAATAAAAATTTAATTAATGAAAAATATTTAATAATAAATAAAATATTTCTAAAAAATTTTAATGGAAAAACTTTTATTTTTATTTAATTTTCAATAAATTATCAATAAAAATCGCTTTATTGTTGTTAACTCCATTATTTTAAATTTTTTAGACCTTCGACCCCCTCTCCTTTCTCCTCCAAAAAAAAAAATAAATTTAAACTGTTCGAAACAATATACCTCGGCAAAATATAAAAATAGCGCATAACCATTTGTAAATGTTCCTTTCCGATTGCATCCTTGTTCTATTTCCTCGTCTTTACGTTTAAAAACGAGCAATAAGGCAATTAACATTGCAAAAACGACTACAATAGCACTTATACAACAGCCATAAATTTTTCTTAAAAAATTCAGAAATTAACTGAATAAAGAAAAATGAAATAGGAAAATTTTAAAAATTTAAATTTTAATATATGTGGTTCCACAATAGTCCGCTAATTGGCCCACATTGAGACAACAATTTGCGTACTACTTAATCCGAACTTTTCCTTCTTAATTCGATTTCCCATTTTTCCCTCTATTTTCGTGCTAATAATTGATTTCAAAATGTAGGTAATAATGTGTTGGGAATGTATTTATAATGCGTACAAGTGGTTCCTCATTAAATGCTGAATTGCTGATCTAATCACAACTGATCAAATGATCGAGAAGTACGAAAAAATTAATTTTTATGAAAACATAAAATATTTACAATTTCTTAGAATGTTTGCTATACCAAATTGGGCAAAAAACGCAAAAAGTTCTTTCGATTCCAATGCATATCTCAATTGCTGGTGGCCAAATTGCACCAATTAATCGAAACCATACATAAACTCGTGTTGAACATATTAATGGAGTCTGAAATATGGAATATTTTTATTCGAAGATTTACATCTATAAATTAAATTTTTCAAGGAAAATTTTATTATAATTATAATTTGCTAAATACTAATTATATTAGCATACCCTTCCTCCAAAAAAAAATAGCTGCAACCATAAACTTTTCCAAACTAATTCCTTTAAAACTCTTTCGAATTCCTTAAAATAACCTTACGATTTCTTAAAGTACCTTAAATTTTACTGAGCTGCTTAAATTTTTTTATACTTCTTCAATCTCTCAATGAGATCGTCAAAAAATTAATCGCTCACTGATTTTTCATTCCTCCAGAATTAAGCGATTTTTTCTTCATTAACCTCAATAAATTTTTTGGTTAAGCTCAGCCAAATTTTATCAATTGTTAGTTAAATTTTATTAATTAATTATATAAAGTAATAGCCTTTTATAGGATAACCTTCTTACAAATATGACCAGTTTTATATAAATCAGTTAATATTAGACGATCAATTGAAGCGAATAACAAACCCAAACAAAAAAACGAATCGCCTACAGCGAGACAAATATTCGACTAAAAAAATTAAATATTTGAAAATTAAGAAAATTTAACAACTAATAAGGTAATTAAAAAATATAATATTAATTAAAATATCTATAAATATATTCTCAACAAATTTAATGAGCGTTCATTGTGTTTTCTTTTTTCCAATAACGTTCGCAATGGTAACTAATTAGGTTCACTCCGCTGGTTTATTTTGCTGGACAAAATTTTGCCATGGAGCAATTATCATTTAACATAGAATTACAAGTATAGTGTCGCTAGCGTTATCCAAATTTTTGAAGGAAAAGGTTTATTCTTGTCAAGAAATAGATGTTCCGAGATTGCAGCAACAACCCATTGAATTATTCTATCGCTTTTGCTTTCTACCCAAAGTGGTGCAACGGACGGAATTGAAACCCCCGTTCTCGATAAATTTATCAGCAATTATTTTGCCACTAAGTCACCTCTGGTTCACTTCGCCTATCTATTATCCGTAAAATGACAAATGAAAAAACTGATGGATTTAGCCAGATGGTCAAAGGATGATCAAAATTAAATATCATTTCATTTCGCTTCGTATATAATTTTTGAAATGATTGACACCTTTAAATGTGATTAACATAGATTTTGATAGAAAATGCAATTTTTCTTTATAATAAATTTTAAATAATAAAAAAATTTTCGATAAAATTTTTTTTGAAAATCAGAAGAATAAAAAAATGAAAATATTATTTTTATTTATAATGCATAATTAATTATAGAATATGAAAAATTATTCCTTTTAAATATTGGGATTAAATAATTGAATAATCGAAATTTTGGAGAGAATTCTTAGAAATTATTGAAGAGACAAGAATTTTTCGCTGCCAAATATTTGGCTCGAGGCACTGTACGGCCTTTGCCTATTTGCTTATTTTCAACGATTTCAGTGCCTTCCATCAATTTATGTATATATATATATATATATAAATTCTATGTAAATATAATGAAGAAACTTGTCGTGCATGCCAATATTTCATTCATGCTATGTGATATTTGTCTTAATTTCCAAATCTTTTTTAAATTAAAATCCGCTTTTCCCTTTCGTTAATGATTTTTATTTATACTGCATAATTACTTATTTTTACTATTCTTATTTTAAGCTTTTATCCATTTTTTTACCAAAAAATATTTTGAATTAAAAACTATATTTCTATTCTATTAAAATTGATCTTTCACTATGAGTAATTTATCTAAAAATATAAATGGAATAGAGAAAAATAAGAAAAAAAAGAAAAGTTCATAAAAAAAAAAGAAAAATTTCAATGAGAATTAAAATAAATTACCGGAAATCTCCTTCGTAGTTCGTTTATGGATAAAAATACAATAATAACGAGTAAATTAGCAAAAAAACCTAAACTTCCGATAAATATGGAAATTTTCGACCAAATAACCCATTTCGTTGAATCACTGACGAAATTATTTGTAATTTCTATAATTGTTTGATTCTCACACATTCGATTATTTTCACCTATGATAAAGTAATTAATTTGATAAAAAATTCTTATTAAACCTTTTTTTTTGTTGATTTTTCATGTAAAAATATATTATTCAAAAACCCATAAGACTATAAAAAATAAAAATTACAATTTGCAAAAATATGTTGGAAAAATCGTAATAAAAATAAAATTCTTCCAGATTTCACATTAAATAGCCTAGAAATAGGCATAAAGAAAGTAAAAATTTTGCAAAATTTTTAAAAATAGATAAGCCGCTGGCTTAATAATAAGATAATTTGATAATCGAGTTCGAATCTGACCGACTATTACTCTTCTTTGGACTGCAGTATTGCCTAAACGAAGTAAACAAATTATTTGAGTGGCATGACTCAGAGAGGGTTGTTGCTCAATTCGGAACGCTGGAGGTTGAAGTTCCCCTCCCAACAGGGATATAAATCAAAAATCCTCAAGATGATTGTGGCTTAGTTCTATTTCTATTATCAAGCAACTCTCTGGCATATTTGTCTATTCTGTGAAGCCAGCGAAGCGAATCTAATCAGCATTACTAAATTCTCTTCAAAAAATAATGAATAAAAATAAAATTCTTTTAGATTTCTAGCGTAATAACATTAAATAGACGACGGAGAAAGAATGAAAATTTAATAAAATTCTAAAAAACGAATATAATAATTTTTAAAAAAATCTATTATAACCGATCTTTGTCTTAATAACGATCATAATGATCGTATTGCTCGATCGCTAATTTGCAATTAATGAGCAAATATTTTAATATAATTTATTTTAATAAGATTTTATTTGCTCATTAAATGTCAAATTCATTACCATAAACCATATTTCTGAAAATTTTATATTAAAAACTCTAATTGTACTAAAAAAATTAAATTAAATTATTTAGTTATTTCATTCGATTTTCACCTGTATTCTTTTATTTCACCTGTTTTATACAATTATTTACGTCTTTCTTATAAATTCACTTCTATTTTATATATATATTATTTATTTATATATTTTTATTTTATACGTATTTATAAATTATAAGAAAAATATATAATTTTTAATTAAAATAGCCTTTAAATCTTTTTATTTTTAAAATCTGGAAAAATAAATGGAAAAAATTAATTAAAAATACAATTGAAAGTGTGCAAACGAGATAAATTCGCATTAAAAAAAGATAATAAAACTAAACCTTTCTTACAACTGACTTTTATACTCAATTTTTCGAAAATTAACAAAAAAAATGTAAACCTTATGATGTTTTAACTTAGAATTAACCGTTTTGAAATCTTAGAATATCGTTGAATTAACTGTTAAATTTGTAAAAAAAATTAGAAATAAATAAAATCCCTCTTTCATTCTTTGTGGATAGGATTGATCACTCTGAAGCTCATCTCTACCAAAGGCATAAGGGTTCTTAGCAATATCGTAGTTGTCCCTAGCAAAAGAAAAATCCCTGATGTTGTTCCTGGAATTTTTAGAAACCACTTTTCTAGTTTAATCCATAGTGTCCTATTATCACTAGGACTATTTCGGCCTTTTACAGCTTTTCTAATATTTCTCTTTAAGCCCCTGATAATACTACCAACGAATAAAGGTCCTGAAATGCAATCCTCCATTTTCTGAGGAATCTCTCATATGATATAAAAAAAAAAAGCAAGATCCATACTTATCGTGTTAGTTATCAGATGCTGATACAGTAACCAAAAGAAGAAATAGAGGTTTCTAGTGTTAAGATCTGGATACAGTGGAACTTCCACTCTGAATCTAACGCTCAAAGACAGCAGTTGAAAAAAACGAGGATGAGGCTTGTAAGTGTTGGCGCCATATTTTATGCGACTTTAGCGCATCAACAGGATAAGCACTTAAAGATGGGCTGCTGAGATAACGCTTGAAGCAATAACAGATATTGAAGAAAAATCAAGAAAAAGAAAAGCTATGGCAAGGTCCTCCATAGGATATACCATCGACAGATAATAACCGACATTGAAATTCTACCAAAAAAAGTTGGGCTAAAAGACAGCGCTAAAAAATTTTTATGTTCACAATAGTGTAAGAACGGCTGATAAGCATTAAATTCATTCAAAAGTTAGGATCAACTACACAAAATAGAATCCAAAGTATATGCACTATGCAAAAAGACCTCAGACTCAATATACAATATCAATGTACAGTGATAGAACGTAAGCAAAGACATATACTGAATGGCATAACCAATTAGGTGACATTGCTTACAGAAATATCGGCATAATATTATGAGTTCGCCCATCAAACCACTTAGAATATTCTGTTAAAAATCACATAGAGTACATTTTCCCGACAGACAGGTAGACACTGGCCAACCAGCCAGACATCATGGTCGTAGACGAGAATCAGAAATCAACATTGGTGATAGATATGGCACTACCAAGTAGCAGAAACACAGGGAAGAAGAAATATGAGAAGCTAAATAAACATCAGAGGAAGAGAAATTAGAGATATGGATAGTGAAGGCCAAACGAGTCTCATTGGTAATAAAAGTAGGTGCTGCCAATCCTTAGACAGAATTGTAATTTCAACAGATTCCAGAAATCGGAGAACTTCGGAGAACTTTCTTCAGAACAGCGCACTGTTAGGAATCTTAGACATTGCGTAAGACCCTCAAAATCCCCAAATCTTTAGCAGAGGAAATTGCGAGAATGATTACCTGAGAATGATTACTAATAGAATGTGAAGGAGGGATTTATTTTTTTGTGTAAATGGTTAGCATTTTTGGTGAGAATTCATTTCACTGAATTCTGCTAGGATAGTTAGAAATTTTTTCCCATTTGTCTATAAAAATACTGTTGGATACCAATTCGATGTATGTATATATAAAATTTATATTTATTTTGCTAATTGTAGAAGAAAATTTATAGAGGAAAATTAAAGAATAAAAAATATCAATGAATTTGTGAAAATAATAAATATTTTAGCTTCATCGTAATTATCCTACAGGAGGATCTGAATTTTATTTTGCCCTTTATTTTTCTTACCCACTCATTTTTTTTCTGCGCAATAAATATTCTTCTCTCATGAATGATAAAAGCATTTACTATGATTGTTACTTCGATTTTAAAAGAAAAATTTCAATTCAAAGAAGAGTTTTAAAATTATAAAATTAAAAATATATCAAATATATTTATTATATTTCTTATTTTTTTTATTTATTCAAATATATTTAGTATATATTTTATTTTTTTTAATTGTTATATTTTTTATTGTTGAAACTACAGATTAACCTCTTTTATTCCATAATATACGAAATCTTAATCAGTTCTCTTAATCATTTATCATTTATAAAATATTTTATGAAATATGAGTGAATCATTTTAAAGATAATTAAGTTCTTTTTTTTTTACAACATAATTGAAGCAAATGCAAGTGCAAAAGAAATTTTTCTCAAATTTTAGAATTTTTAAAATATCTACGTATCAAATTTCTTACATATTTCGAAAGAATTTCAGATATTGTGATTTAAATTAAAAGCTGTTCCTAACGAATGAAGAAATGATATCTCTGTTTGCTTTTGCTTTTTGTTAGTAATTCTGAGGGATATCATTTTGAGATCGCTTCACCAGTGAGCTATTCGAGAATAAAGGTGTAAGTGACTCGTATGGTACTGAGAGAATCGAATCCTTAATAACTGCCTTGAAGACCAATTCTGCTACCCTGTCCTCCAATGTTACAAGCTTCCACTAGCAATATAAGATTTAAATCTTAAATTTTTAAATTTTTAAGCCATGCTTAAAATTAATTCGAACTATTCATTTTTCTCTACTGAACAATCGTAAATATCTTCGAAATCTTAAAAATGAATCTCTGAGCTTTCGAAACCATTGCTCAGATGATCTCCGATGAACGAAACAATAATACACTGTTAATCCACACTGGAAATGCTTTGTCGATATCGTATCAAAGCGAAAATTGGCTGAGATTTTATTGGTGCAGCGAATAGGGATGTAGCGTTGATATTTTATATTATTGTATATTATATTATTATATATTATATAATATTTTTATATATTATATAATATTTTTATATTCATGCATGCAATTTATTACATATTGGTACGAATATTTCCCACTTTTTAAATATGAAATTAAATTTAAATTTATAAATAAATATTTAAATTTATAAATAAATTTATAAATAAAATATATCCACTAGATTCCATTAAAATTTCATGGAAAATGGATATACTTTTTTGCAAATTATTTGTTTCACGCAATAAACGAATTGATATATATATATATATATATATAATGTATATTAAATTAAATATGAAAACCTAAAAATTTCCATATTTTTTATAGCAATTTACAAATTCAATAAAAAAATTTTCAAAACAATAAAAGAAATTTTTTCCTAACAAATTCCCAAACAGGAATTATGAAAATAATTATGGATTTCAGGGTGGAAGAATTCGCTCTATGAAGGAGACTAGGAAAAGAATTATAAAAAGAAGTTTATTCCACGTTTTGCTGCATGCACGGCATAAATACAATAAACTAATAAAAAGAAGTGAAATAAGTCGTGCAAATTGCTATTTTCTTTAAAATTTTCGATAAAAAAAGAAAGCAAAAGATGAAAATAAAAATAAATTAATAAGTGAAAAAAAGGAGTGAAAAGCAATTTCTACGAAAAATTTATGAAAAAAAAATAGAATAAAGATAAAAAAAATCCAATAGTTTTTTTTTTTAAGTTTTGATAATTTTTCAACCATTTTCATCAAAATTTGACGAAATTCGACGATATTTATATTTTCCTTCGTTAACTTATCGCATAGATCTTAGTTCTGCAAAAAAAAGAAATAATTACAAAAATATAGCCATTTATTTAAATATTAAATATTAAATAAAATATCATATTATTTATCATATAAAAATATTATAAATATTATAAAAATATTATTTATCATATCATTAAATATCATATAAAAAATATTATTCAATTAAATGAATTTACTAATTATTAATTATTCGATTCTATAGGGGCAATAATATATACACTGATAATATGTTCTTGGGTTTGGGCAGTTTGGGTACATGCTTCATGCTTATTCTTATTCTCTGTCAAGCATAAACTAAAAGAGTAAGAAATTCGAAGAGTACTACGGATCCACGTACCGTCGGTTCCCAAGAGATTTCCTAGTAAAATGCTAAAATGCCATCCAAATAATTAGTGGAGACGGCTAAACCAGAAATGGTGAATGCAGCTGATTAATTAATAATATTTTCACTTCAGTAGTTCAAGCAATACCTCAATTTTTGCTACAAATAATTCTGCGTCAACTTTTAAAGCAGTTTTATGCAGCTTTTCGTTGCTTTGATGAAATCGTGCATATAATTTTTTCATTAAATTCTAAAAAGTTGATTCAATTAAAAAAAAAGTGGATTAAAATAGTCGATTAAAAAAGAAAGGGAATGAAAAAGGTGGAAAACTTAAAAAATACAATTTTTTTGAGACATTAGAAATCTTTATAAAATAAATTTATTCATAAATATTCAAAAATCATTTCTATTATTTTCATGAAACGAAATATTATATAAAGAAGTTAACAATTATCAAAAAAAAAAACAACTTGATAGCACTGTTCACTTTCCACATTACTTTCAGATTTACTTTCAACAAGTGAGACTGGAACCCAAAAATCCTACACAGATTTCATTAAATTACTGATTAGTGATAATGATTGTGATTAGTGATTAAAGAAAAGTTTTCTTTTATTTTTCTCTCAAATTTCTTTCAAATTAAATTTAAATAAATTTTTCTATTTTTCACTACAATATATATATATATATATATATATATTAGTGTTTAGTTCGTTTAATTTAAAATTTTAATGAATTTTAATAATTATCAAATACGAATATAAAGAATAATAAATTTTAACTATTAATAACTCACGGGGAATACAAATTTATATTCTTTATGCACAATTCGATAGATACTATTTATTAATAAAAATACAATATTAAATGGCGGTGGTAAAGGTGAGTACCATTCAAAATATTCGAAATATATATGTAAACGAGTGTATTTCCATTCACAGTCTTCGTTTTTCTTAATTAAAAAAATCCAGGTAGAAATTTAATTTGTAAAATATAGATCGGTCCAAATTATTTGATATTGATATACATATAATTTTTTATTTAATAAATTAATTTAGCGAATTTAATCCAACAAATAATCTTACTGTAGCGGAAAATAAAACGGAAGAACGAACTTATTTCAATAAATTTTTTTAAAAAAAAGCATCTATTTAATATAATATTATTATTAAGAGATTTTATATGAAATTTTTCCACGGAATAAATGATTAAAGTGAAGAAATTTATTATTTACCATTTAAAGAATAAGAATGAATAAAAATAAAAATAAAAAATAAAATAAAATAAATATGATAAAAAAAATAAAAAAAGTTAATACCAAAACTCGATCAGCAGTTTGGATAAGCAATGATACCATTAAATTCAATAAACTTATAACTAAAGTTATATGATAAGCAGCGACAATAAATTCACCAGTCACAACAGTGATATAATGATGCATAATATCCTGCTGTGGTCCAGCATTTCCAACCACCAATGCATAATCCCAAGGTGCCAAATAACCATATAACGACCAATATAAATTTCGAACTGTTATAACGATGCTAAAAAATAACGTTATAATCCGTTAAATTTATGAATTCGAATTTAAATGAGATTTTCGAATATATAAAATTTCTTGATATCTATTAAAAATGGATTTAAAAATTCCTTCCAATTGAATTTTTAATTGCATTTATAATCCTCATAAATATTGACAAATGTTGATAAATGTTGATAACGATGCTAATGATAACTGATGATAAGAATTGTTTCTAGCTTCTTGAAATGTGCTTTTCTAGATTTATGATAAAAGTTTTCCATTTTAAGGCTGAATGACTGATTTGCAGCGATATGTTTATGCATTTATTTCAGTTTAATGTGAGAAGATTTTAATTAAATTTACTGAGCACTGTAGAATCGAATTATATCATTGTTATATCATATTTTAAAATTTGAATCATTTATTAATATTATATTATGGATATTCAAATAAAATTTTCAAAATTTTAGGTGATTTTTAAATATATCAAATATAATATAACAAAAATGGCGATTTTCACGATTCTCACATATTTCATTACTTACTAAACCTTTGTGATGAATGGCATCGAAAACGAGGAAGGCCAATCAACACTTAGGCTTGGATAGAATTAGGAAAGATTTTGAAGTATATGGATATATGGACTCAGGCGATAAGAGAAAAAGAATGGCTTCTATTATTATCAGAACTAGCATCAGTTTACACCTTGCAGCTTATATCTTATCCTTCTAGGTAATCACTCTAATCAGTAATCAGTAATGATAAAAAGAAAATAGCGATTAAAAAAATAGTTTTTTCTTTGAAAAATCGAAAAAAATTAAGCATATATTTACTTGGAAAAGGAACTTTTCATTTTTACAATTTGTCCATCTGAATCGATCATTTCATTATTCGTATACGATTCAAATATTGTATTAATACCAAAACCAAAACAAAGCATTACAACGAACATTATTATTATAAAAAGAACAACAGCACTCGCACATTTTCCAATCGAAATCTATATTTTTATTTTATAGAAATTATTTGCTTTTTTTTTTAATAATTATTTAATTTTTAATAATTAAAAATCTACGAGCGAAAAAATGAATTGAAACCTACAATAGTCGAACCAATTGAACGTTGTAATTGCATAAAATAAAAAATTCGCCAAAATGCCATAATACATGCACTACCGAAGCAAATCTCGTAAATCAACGCAAAATCATATTGGACCTTAATTTTTGGGAAAAATCTTTATTTTCTTCACATTTAAAATTATACTGCAACATACTGGAATTTTTTTTTTCAGTTAAAAACTTTTGCACAAAAATCAAGAGAAATTTTACACTACGAGAGGTGAGAGGTGAAATCCCTCTCTTCGTTTAGAGATTTTTTGTCGCTTGGAACAATGGAAGCGTAGATGGATCGAGAGGATCGAAATTCAAGTTCCACTTTTATTCCTAAGAGATTTGCATCGAATCTAAGCTATTTCCAGCCAGACATAAATCATATATCACTCGACTAATCTCTCTTCTTTTTTTAGCACTCATCATTCTTGGTTTAGATAAGGCTCCGAGTGGCTATTAAAATGAAATATTGGCACATACCATTAATGGGAATTCTGTCAAATGATTAGAATCGAACCCGTTCTATTTATTCTCATACGAAGCAATATGGACTACACACTTGGAATATTTTCAATTTCATAGCCTGATTAAGCCTGATTTTTGATTATTTTTTTTTTTTAATACGTTCATAGTCGATATAGACTATTTAATGAGTAATAATATAAGGATCGGCAAATTTATTTAATTTATTAAACTAATTTATTATCACCCACCCAATGTCTTCGATGTAATACGGCAATACCATCTTGTGCTACCGTTGCCATTGACATAATCCAACAAAAAAATGAACCAGAAAACAGCCATAAAAGTAATAAATCATACCTAAAAAAAAAAAGTGAAAAAAATTTGAATAAAAATTGAATAAAAATTTTTGATTAATTTTTTTGCGTTTATTTTTACTGATCTTCCATCGAAAATTTTTTTATTAATATAATATAAATATAATAATTTTTTTAATTGATATTTATAATTTTATTAATAATTTTTATAAATTTATTAATCATAAGAATCGAATAATTTAGTTTAAAAAAATTTTCTACGGAGAATAAAAAAAGAAAACTCAAAAAACGATAAGAACGATAGTAGTAACAAATAGTAAAATCTTAATAAGTGCTAATATTTTTAAAATACATCGCAGATAAAATAAATAAAATTTATTTTTAGTTGAAAAAATATAAAAATGATAAAAGATGATAAATGATAAAAAGATGATAAAAAAAATGAATTGCCACCATCTCCACCACATTTCATAATATCTTGCTAAACCATGATTACAAAAATCGCAATAATGTGATACCACCATACCATAGAAATATATATAAATATAACATTCGAGAAAAAATTTGATTGCTAAAAATAGCAGAAAAACGATACGATGAGATAAAATAACGGAAAAAAACAATTTTACATGAATCTTATTTAAGGTAAAAGGTAAGGTTTAAGGCTTTATTGATCATATTTCTTGGTGTTTCCAGTAAAATTTTTTAAATTTTACAATAATTTTATTTTAGCCTCGACCGTTCTATCAGTCATTTTTTTAGCGTCGTCAATTAATGTTGGATAGAGCAATAACGAAGATTGCCAATAGCCAAATAGAGCCAAGCAAAACCAGAAATGGCGTTAATAGAAAAATATTAAATTTTAAATTTTTTAATGAAAATTTCCATTTTTTAGTTTTTTTTCCATATTTCCAAATCTTAGATTAATTAAATATCGAATTTTAGCCACATTAAAAAAAGAATAAGCATTATAAAAGGAAGAAAAAAAGGTGAGAAAAATTCGTCTTCTGTAAATTCGCCTATAATTCAATCAAGACAGACAATCCTATCGCTTAAATATTCACATAGGGTAATTTAAATTTAGAATAAAATTAATGAATTAATCTTACGATTTTCTGTATGGGAACGATTAGCCGCACTATCACCAGCCCATCCGCTAACACGAATTATCACTAAGATACAAAGAAAGACAATATAGCTCGTCAGCCGACTAATGAATCTGAATAATTCTAATTTCTGATTGTGAGTGTAAATTTATCAATTTAAACAATTCTTTCATAAAATAATATGAAATATGAAAATAATTTAGAATATGAAATATGAAAATAATTTAGAACTCACCAAAAAAATTGTAGAATATAAGCACGTTAACTTTTATTAACTTATATTTCTGCGCATAAAAGCTTATTATTATTATTAATATTGCTATTATTGTTATCAATATTAATTATCATTATCTTTAATGCACGATAATTGTTGATTATTATTAATTACAATACAAATTATTAATTTTTCTGTTTTTTGAAAACGCCTATTATTGCGGGTTAAATTGGTTTATCAGACTGGCGATTATGCCAGGAGTTGGCTATAGAAATATAGGTTAGTCAACCGGATTTTCGGAAAGATACTATCACTGTGGACTGATAATGGAATCATAGCATCAGCGCTGTTGAGCAACAACCCATTGAACTATTTCTATTCCTTCTTTCTCTTTTAGGCGACGCATGCCGGATTCAAATCCAAACCTCGATTTTTTCTTTCCTTCCTATTATTATTGATAATCTATATAAAATAAAATACGATATAAAGTAATAATAATTATAATTGTAATAAAATAATTATAATTATCATTTGTTTTCGTTGTTATCATTTATTATTATTTGTTTTTTTTTACCATTAGTTATTATTTAAATTAATTATTAAATTAATTAATTTATTATTTAAATTAATATTATCGCTAAATATTAATATTACTAGTATTATTAGCATTATTATTATTATTATTATTATTATTATTATTATTATTATTATTATTATTGCCGCTGGCTTTTTTAAATTCAGTTATGTGCTATTATCAGTTTTAAAACCATACGATCGATAAATCATATTATCCATAATGATCAATCAATCATTCTATTATTATGAAGCAATTTAAAACTTTAATCACAAGTATAGATTAACGAATCGCAAAATTTACAAAGGTTTGCAATTCGCTGCTCACAATTTATTTGATTTCTAAAAAAAAAACAATTTCTGGATTTCTAGAATTATAACCTTGCAATGGGGTAGTTAAAGGATTCGATCAACTTTCCAGCTGATAAAATATATATCACTGATAATATTGGGTAAAATATTGTATGTCCAAGTAATCTAGCAAAATTGATTAACGCATTTTCTCCATAATCATTCCAGCGACCGTACCAATATTCGCGAATTTGAGTTTGAACATTTAAACTCGCCAAAAACTATAAATGTATGATAATTAATTAATTCATTAATACTTTATATCACATTTCGATTTGAAATGTTCGCCTATGCCAATGTTCTAAATGAATAAATAAAAAATTATTTGCTTGGAATTTTTTAAATAGGAATTTTGAAGAGAGAACAAATTTAAAATTTCGATATAATAAAAAATTAAAAAATGATGTCTTATAAAATTGATAATTATTTATTATTATTATTTATTAATTTATGAAATTTTTTTATCAGTTTTGATAAATTATTTAAGATGGCTGATAAATTTAGATTATTAAGATTATTAAGCGTGAGTTTAAAATGATAAGCATTCTTTTCAACTATACTAATATATTTACTTACACTTTTCATATGTGAATCAAGCGCGACTCGAACTCGGGGATAATATAATTCACATTGACATAATGTAGCTCCATCTTTTCTTCTCAACAATAAATCAACTTCTTGCACATTCCAACAATTTTCAATTAATTTTACGCTAAATGCAATTACTTGTTGCTTTAGACGATTGTAAATGACCTCAAATTGACCTTTATTTAAATTGATTTTTATTTTATCAATCTTAGGAATTTTTATCGCTCTTTGGCCTTTTTATTTTTTAATTACGTTTTTATGATATAATCATCAGTTCTCTTTTTATTTAAAGCTGCAATAATCATTATCTATTATTATTATTATTATTTTATTATTATTATTATTATGATTATTATTGCTGTGATTATTCTTATCGTTATCATTTTTATTGTTATTATCATCTTTCTGATATAAATATTATTTCATATTATTGCTATGTTAAAATTAAATCATTTATAATAATTTCCTTCATTAATTTCATCATACAAATTGCTATTATGCCACGAACGTATTACCAGCAATTTAATAAATTTAACATTAAAATTTTCAAGAATGAATGAGCGTGGTGCATCGGTGGCTCACTAGCAAGATGAACGCCAGTGAGAATCAAGATTTGGATTCGAATCCGACCGACGCTTCGCCCAGTCTCACTTAATGGAGAACGGAAATGAGATTAGAATGGCTTAGTGCGTTGTTGCCCGAGCATCGATACGAGGTACTCCAGGCAGGACTATCCTTCAAAAACCAGGTTATACTGGTGATTCATCTATATCTCTATCGCTAAAGGCATATTTCCCTAACTCAAGTCCAGCGGAGCGGGCTTAATCGGCATTGGTGATTTTTAAACTCTTAAAAAAAAAAGAAGAAAATTACAAAATTATTCATAACGATATGATTTTTACATTAAATTATGCTTCTATGTTCTTTTTTACAACTTTAAATTAAGTTCGAAAAAAATATGAAAAAAAATATATAAAATTAAAAATATATAAAGTAAAAAGCAATATTTTTTTCCCGATTTTTTTGCAAAAAAAAAATATTACAAAAGATTTTTTCAGTAGAATTATTTTTATTTTTAATTAATTTTTTAATGATTTTATAAATTAATTTTATAAATTTTATAAATTATAATTTAAAAATATTTATAAATTAATTTAGAATTTTATAAAAATTTATTTAAATTTATTATTCTCGATATGAAACTATTTTTTCACTTTATGTTCAACTTCGATTCGCTCACAAACTTCGAGGTCATGCGCTAAACTATTTGCGGCCAGTAATGGATCCGAACAAGCCAACCAAAGAAACGGTTCACTTGAAATCGCTCTATATGTATCCAGTTTGATTATTGTACTTAAAAGATTTTTAGTCTCTCGCCTGCATTCTTTGCATCGGCCTAAAAAAAAAAGAAAAAAAACAAGAAAAAACTATATATGAAAATTAATCTTCGTGTAATAATTTATAATAAATAAATAAATAAATAAATAAGGAAAGGCAAAAAAGAAAATTCATTTACAATCGCAACGATGAGGCAGAACGATTTCATGACCGCGTAAAAGAAGATATTCGGTTATAGCGAAATTATTGCAAATACATGCAAGCATTAAAGGCGTTATATGTGGTTGAAACGAATTCGAATTCTTGCATCCTAAAAAAAAAACCTAGCAAAATCTAATTTACAACTGGTGCTTTGGACCTATTCAAACCTTTATTCTCACTCTATAGCAAAATCATCGCATCATTCGACTAATCCTAGTAATCGACGAAACCAGTTTAATCAGAATATATCCAGTATATTCCAAATTTTAAGCATCCTGAATATTTACAGTATTGCATTATATTTTTTGCTACTCGATTTATGATATTTTGATTTTTTGAAAATTCTCTTCAATTTCCACTACCTGTTTGCTCTTCGCCTGGATAGTCAGAAAATAAAGAAATTATAAGTTCAACAATTGGTAAACTTCCGATATATATCGCCGTTAGTAAAGCATCTTTTATCGTATCGGCTGTTCGATCAATTAGCAATGAGAGCAGATCATCGATTTGTTTATCATAAAAAAATATTTTAACGATAGAAATTTCAACGTCGATTAAGTATTTTAAGAATATTTCTTATAGTCTTCTATGGGTATATCAAAAAATCTCAAATTTTTTTTAAAGTTATAAAAGTGAATAAATTTTTTACAGTTAAAAATTCCTCGAGAATTTTTTTTAAAGCATCGACATTCTTCTCACGAATATTGCTACGAAACGATTCAATTAAATGATCAACTGATACGCGACTTCGTGGATTCGATTGTCCGGTAAATTTCTCATTAGGCGAATCGTGCGATAACGAATGTCTACGTGAAACATTCTTTAATAATTTTATCACTAAAAAATTATTATCGTTTATTATCATTGCTCATTATTGCTTTTTATTATTACTAAAAATATTATGTAAGTTTTTCATTTTTTGGTTTTTCCCAAGAAATTATTTTTGAAAATTTTTTAATAAAATTTTCTCAATAATTAATAAATAAAAAACAACCAACTTCTTTCGCATTAACATTTATAAATAAAACGGAAGAATGCATTTTCATGCAAAAATACATTTTAATTAATTTAATAGAATCAGTTGGTTTTTATTTCGAAAAACTGATAAAAATTTAAAAAATCAAATTTAAAAATTTTAAAAATTTAAATAATTGCTGATAAATGAACTCTTTTTTTCCCTCATTTTATTCCATATTTCATAAAAAAATAATAACAATAATCATCGCTGCTTTTAATAAATTAGCAAACTGTGTGAATCCACTAGTGATAAAGTATGATAAAGTAAGTGTGTTCAACTGAGACGATTCCACAAGGAAATCACCTCGGATTATTAGAAGAACCTCAGATTATCTGCCGAATAGCCGAATTTCAACTTCAATTGATGAGTGATTTTTTTCCTATCAATTAATTCGAATCGAACTCATCAAACTTGCTTCCAGTTAAAATAATATGCAACTCTGCAAAAATTAAAAAATAATAAAATCCTTTAAATTTTTTTGCTGAATTTTCAGCCTGAAATCTCGTAAAAAATTAAAATCTCAAAAAATATCGAAGAAAATCGTAGACTTTTTCAGTCATTTCGATCCTTATCGAAGAAAAAAAAAATCCAAATACCTATAAAGAAAAAACTTAGCTAGGGAATTAGCTCGAACAATGCCCATATATGTACAAAATTTTGGCAAATCTATATTGAATTATCTTAAATTCTTAAATTTGGAGTCGCCAAGCGAATAGCTCCTAAATTTTCAGCCAGTCGCCAGTCATTAAATTTGGCAATATGGATTTTAAACTCTGATAAACGAGATATCAAGTAGATTCCTTCGAATCGAAATTCATTATAGAATGGTAGGCTAAACGACATCTTCGCCATATGATAAAGAGGAAAGAGCAAAATCATCATTCTATTACAAACATTTCAATTATTAGCCAATTAAAATATGAAATTTTAAGCGAATGTTTACTGATCATGGGCTATTCCATTCGCTGTTAAGGCTAAAAATATATATGCAGCGGGATCACCCGATTTTGAAGATACAAATGGATCGCCAGTACTATTGCAATTTTTTAATGATAAATTTATTCCCACTGGAATCCATGATGCGCAGCTTGACTCGACTTGAGGCAACTAACTGCACAATTCGTTTTCGAAAATTTTTCAGTATGTCTCGACAGTTTCTTCTCATCTTAATGGCCACTACAGCCAAACCTAATTAGAAACTCTGAGAGTTATAGGAAAAAAAAAGAAAGAAATATCTTTAAAAATATAAAATGAAAAAACAAATGTTAAATATTTTCTATGTAAAAATAAAAAAATAATTATTTATTTTTATTAAAATAAGACTAAAGGAAATAATATAAATATAAAAAATGCAATTTACGAAAAAAATTTTAAAGTTTTAAAATAAATTGAATTTTGCAAATTTATAAAAATATAAAATTTGGATCGACTTAAAAATTTAAAAATAAAATGTAAAGACTTTCTTAAATTTTAAAATTTTCGAACTTTTAAAATTTCAATTTTTGAAGATTTTAAAATTGAAAATTATAAAACCTTTTTCATTTATAAAATATTATTTATATTTCGTATCAAAAACGATTTAAAAAAATTCAGAAAATGAGAAATAAATTTTTTGGGTCAATTAAATGACCTAAAACATTTTATATTTTTTTTTCGGATTTTTACAATAAAATTCAGTTTTATTTCGACTTTTTAGCGAAATTTATTTCATTTCATTGCTTTGGATTAATTAGCGTAAATTTAATCGTTCTTTAGTATTTCGAATTTCGAATCTGGAATCTTAGATTTTTTATTAATTATAATTATATATTCCTTAGTTAATTGAATAGAAAGGCAGTATCGTTTCGAATTCATGCATCGTAAAACATATGCAAGATAAAACCATATTGCATTCGCATAAATCCATAGATTCCAGATTTTCTCTATTTATCTATTTGTTTAATATTATAATTCGTTATCGCGATTACTGGCTAGACTCACTGCGATGGGTAAAATCTCTCCAAGCTGTTCGACGCCATGGTTTTCAATAATAGAAGCCATTTCTTTTTCCACTCTCTAAGTCCATATTGCTGGTCTATCTATACGTTTGAAATCTTTTATCAATCCGAATCTTGATTGGCTCCGCGATTTGAGAGGATCCATTAACAAATAGCGAAATGGGTGTAATTCCGTAGTGGATGATGAAGAACATGCCATAACAAGCTAGGGTGATGGTACTTTAAGTGGTCTTTTTGATACAATTCCCTCATTCGTTAATATCTCTTGCTTTTTTTCACATCATTTTTATATTTTCTTTAAAGCGATTTTCGAGCAACACAACTGGGTTTCCAAATGGCAACTTCCATTGCTTATACAGTTATTATCTAAGCAGAATGGCAAATTTTATCTGGTTTGATAAGCTCGATCAGTGAGCTTAACAAGAAACTAAATGGCAAGTAATGAGAGGTCCTAAAAAAAAAGTCCAGAATAAATTACGAACCGTGAATCCAAGTACAAATTCATTTTAGTAATATATATATTCCAGAAACTTCTCGCGGATTTTCTCCGTTATCATCATATCATCTTATTAAATAAAACGTATATGAAACATAGCATATCTCTTAATCCACGATTTGATTAATCGAACATGGCCTCATTGTCGTTATTATTAAATACAGGTTCAATTTTTATATCGCTTTAAAATTTTACAATTTAGCAGCAATTTAAATGCTAAATATTCACTGGGGTATTCCTATCGTTAAATGGCTGCTCTTTTAGTGGCCATTCCGATTATTGAGCCTAGCTAAACTAGGAAGAGGGAAAACTGAACAAATCGGTCCGTTCCTGATTTTATTTATTTGTTTTCTCTAACCAATTTCAGTGATCAGAATTTTAATAATAATTGTCAATTTAAAGAATTAACTAAATTTTAGCAATTAATTAAAATTTTTCATTCATCGAATAATTTTTTTTTACTTTTTTACTATTCATTTTTTTACTCGATTCATTAATATTCTGAAAAATAGGACGCAGATTATCCGTTGTTGGTTTTCCTTTGATGGATTGAATATTTTCAATAGCCCAGTTAGCCGAAACGGTTGATTGACCTTGAGAAATGTCGTATTTATGTTTTTCCTTTTTTGATAAATAATGACAATAAAGATTTGTAGAATTTTTTTTTCGCTATCGATGATATTTTCTTGTTTTTAAAAATTGTCAATTGGTCTAATAAAAACGAATATTTTAAGTTTTTCTAATACTAAAAAGCGAAAAAAATTATCATAAAAATATAAAAAAGAATCGAAATCAATTTCGCCAATTATCAATTTTTATCAATTTTATCAATTTTTCAGTATATTTATTGTGGCTTCAATTTTTTATGATAAATGCATTAGCCAAAAATCCATATCAAACGCAATCGGTATTTCTTATTTTTTAAATATTTTTAAATATTTTTTTATATGAATTTTTTAAAATATATTTAGAAAAGATGCAATAAATAAATAAATTTAAAATAATTGCAAAAATTTCGTTCAATTGCGAGATACTATAGGCTAATAACATATGCTATATTCCAGACAAATTTCTTTTCTATATTTTATTTATTATTTTAAATCTTTAAAAATTATTATTGTTTTTATTATTATTTTATTATTTTTATTACTATTTGCTATTATTAAAATTGTTATTTTTTATTATTTTTAAATTTATTTTTTTTTAATTTTTAAAAGTTTTTCAAGTGAAATAATTTTAAAAATTTAAAATTGAATCTAATTAGCTTTATAATTTATAATTTGATACGTTTATGATTGCTAAAATGCTGATAACTGCTGAATATTTCCGAAAAAATATTTATTTTTTCATAATCGTCGATAATGATTTTTGAAAATATTGTAATTTGAAGGTTAAACCTAGCGAAAGAGAAGGAAATAAAACAAATGGTGCGCTAATTTTGGAAATTCACGAAATCGCGTTGGAATTAATCAAAAAAATTGAAGAAATGTTGGAAAATGACGGTTGGAATATGGAAAAATACAATTCGAAATTTGTTAAAAAACAAGAAAAAATAAATTTATTTAATGAAACAAAATTTATTGGAAAAAATAGCGACGAAAGAAAGATCAAGAAAGATGAAAAAAAAGCAAATCAAACGTTTATTACGAAAAGCGAAATTTTAAACGAAACGAATAGCGACAATAATAAAAATGCAACAATTATTGAAACAACTGATAAGAGATTTGATAAATTCGAATCCGCTACAATGGATGAAAAACGAAATGAAATTTCTCAAAATTTTCACTTTATTGAAACAAACGAAACTATAAATCTCTTTAAAAATAATAATAATAGTGAAAATCAAAAAAACATTGCCTATGGCGTTGTTTTACAAAAAATACCACTAATTTCGAAAATGGAAACGCTTAAAACGCTAAAAAATAGAGACGAAAAAATTAGCGAATTATTTAGTGAATTAAAAAAATTTTTAAATCAAGCAAAAGGAAGCGACGAATTACGCGCATTACTCGATAATAATAAAAATTCGAAAAAAAGTTTATTTGAACGACTCAAAGATGAAATTCAACGACGAAATAATCGTAGAAACGAATGGGAAACAACGACTAATAATGAAAAAATTATTACCGAATTTATTCACGACGATTATTCATTTATGAAAGAACTTGATGAAGAAATAACCAATGAACTAATTAAATCTCTAAATGAAATTACAAAAAAAAAGAATGATAAGGTGATAAAGAAATGTGATAATAATTTGAAAAAAACAAAAGATTTACCTATGAAAGAGATATTATTATCAGAATTGAGCGAAAATATAACGAAAGAAGCGATTAGAACAAATAATTTCAATAATAATTCGAAAAATTCGAATTTTTCTCGTCGTTTAGAATCCACTGAAAAATTACCGAAATCGATAAAACTTGAAGAAATTGTAAAAAATAGTTTTAAAATACCCGCTGATATAATTCAAAAGGAGCAAAATTATTATTTCGCTGATCGTTTACAATCTGCAATGGTCAATTTGAATAATTTAATAAATATCGCTAATGATGAAATTATAAAAGTTTTAAATAAATCTGGAAAATGAGAATTTCCTTTTTTTTCTTTTTTTGTTTTACAATAAAAATTTTTATTAAAAATATAAATAAAGCGTTCACATGTAAATATTATTTTTAAGATAAGTAAATTTTTGGAAATATTTTTGAGGAGAATATTTGTTTTTTGCGTGAAAATCACATCACAAATTTCGCACGCTAAACAAAATATTAAGAAAATTAATAAAATCCGTTTTGCTTTTCCAGAATTTCGATTAATCAAAAGGAATTGGAAATTTTTTGCAATAAGGAAAACTAATTCCGATAAAATTGCAATTTAACCGAAATTCTTTAGAGTTTTTAGATAAAATTAATTCTCGGAGGTTGAAAGGATAAATTTCGCATATTTCCTATCTCTGCTGCGCCTAAAAATCTCGACTTTTTGTTTTGCATAATACAACTTTTCAACAATTTTATTCAATTAGTAATAAATTTTTTATTATTCGAAAATTAAGAGATGCCTATAGACGACGTTTAAAATTGATACAACAATAAAAACTAGTCTAAAATAGCAAATGATTTTCATCCTTTCCCTTGAGAAATACTGATAAAATGATAAATTATATGATATATTATGATTGGCGTTTAATAGTGGTGGAAACTTGAAAATAATAGGTTCACTATAAGATTTCGATGAAAATATTATAATAGATTCATCATCGAATTTCGATAAAAGTCCCTCTGGCTCTTTTTTTCAAAAAGATAGTTTACAACTGGCATACTTTCATGGCTGACTGCTGAATTCGAGGCCGATTGAATGAGTTCGATTAGTACAATTGAATATGTTTTTTTCGAAAATCTAATGTTATGATGGTGAATCTATTTTTTTCGCATTCTTAGGACAAACCTATTATTTTTGAAGCCCTCAATCATAACCAAACACCATGGTGTAGCAGACGTGTTGCGGATGGCCCACTCTAAATTATGGAACTTTGCCATTCAGCGACAACAATAATGAAAAAAAAAATCTAAGAAAAAAATCTAAGCTAAGAAAATTATGGTTATTATGGTTAAATTTATTGGCAATAAAAAAAAAACATGTTAATCTGCCTTAAAAGAGCTGAGAAATAACAACTGGACCAACAATAAATAAGTGAAATAGAATATTAATAAAAGTGAAGCAATATATGGATTGAATTAGCAAAATTTGAGCTATATAACTATTTGAAGTAGATAAAAAAAAATAACAAAAACAAAAATATACAAAAAAAATATTTTAAGACAATAGTTTTATAAAATGTGATTTACAAATATGATTTGATAGTCGTTAAACGATTGTGAAATATGAATATGGCATATTTTATATTGCTGTACGAATAGGAGCCGAGTGCTGAAAAAAGAAGGAATTTGTTTCAAAATAAAAATGAAATAAAATTATATATCAATTATAAAACTTCATCAATGAGCCAATAGTTTTTTTATTCATATTGAAAATTATTAGAACAAATTTTTATGAATTAGGAAAGTAGTTAAAGCTCGTTTTAATGGTAGTATATAAAATAAATTTTTCTCTTAGAATAAATTCCAGTATATTCCTTATTTTATTATTATTATTATAACCAGTATTAATATTATTTTATTATAACCAGTTTGTTTCACATAATAATTATTAATTATCAAAATAACGATTTATTTCTTCCAAATTTTAAATAGTAATTAAATTATCATCATTGTTTTTTAGAATTTTTATCTAAATTTATTGTTTACGAATACAACGTTCTTTGCCTTGTTGAGTTAATTTCTAAATAAAGAGAAAAAAATTATTTTCGGAATAAAATTCATTAATGACGACAATTATCCATAAAAGTTTGCTTACCTTTGCTATTTTATTCTCGATAAAATAACTAGTTTCTCGGGATAATGAGCCTGCATTAGGCATCGGTGATCTTGGTGGTAAAGGAGGAGGTACCAAAGGAGAATCAATCGATCTGAATAAAAATTGGAAAATATAAACTGTTAAATAGAAAAAATTAAACAATAAAATTAAAAGTGCACAAAAAAAGGAAAAAATAACCTAGTGGATACCGCAGATACTGCAGAAACATGACGGCTATGGCCATCTCCTGTATAAGATGACAGCGAAGATGGAGACTGGAATGAATGTTCGAATCGTGATAAATCTAACGTCGATCGCGGTGTACCATTATTCAAATCGTTGAATACACTATCCATACTATGATCAGATGATGAAGAGATTCGTTTTGAAGAACTAAAATTTTGAAATGGATCCGTAACTGCTAACCAAACAACCAGATAAATCAAATGAATTTTCCGTTTTGAAAATCCTGAAGAAATACCTCGTTTCCGTAGTACTCTTTATATCACCTCTAGATGATTTTTTCGGAGTATTTCGGCCACTTTTTGTATTGTAAAGACCACCGCCTCTACGGAATACACCAGTTATGCTCATAACAGTTGGAGAGCTACAATCAAAAATATCCAATCAAAAAAATCTTGAAATATAAATTTAACAAAAAACTTGGAAGAAATATTTGGCTTAATGCTTGGAGCTATAAAAAAAACGAGATAATTGTTTGCTCAATAATTGTTTCAATTAGATATTATTTATTAGGAAAAAATAGCAATACAAACAAGATTGATGAATTTGCAATAGTACTACTAAAACAATCCTCCAATTCAATTTACGCCTTAGCTGTTGTCATATTTTCAGATAAAAACTGCACTAATAAAACAAATTAAGCAGCTTAACCAGCCGCGACATTTCTACTTAAAAATTCACTGAAAGCAAGATAAGCGAGGGGAGCAAAATAGGAGATATATTCACCGAATGAACTGCGCTAAAAATCACATCTCAGATAATAGTATCAGTTAATCCCTTCTATATTATAAAAATGACTTTCGTAAAGACATCGAATAATAGGAAAAACTTTTATCGGAAATATTGTGAAACTTACATGGATGAATCGAAATTATTCATTTTCCGTTCTTCAATATTTTTGTGAGAATGCGAAATATGAATCGAACAACCTGGAGGAAGCTGAGAAGGCTAAATATGAAAAAAAGTTATTATTAAGAATCTATCGATAACAGCACTATCATAAGTTATAAAAATTATATAAGCCAGTATCAATCAAAATATAGAAATCACCGAAAAGACCAATAAGGATGAAAAAAAATCAAAGGATACAGAAAACTCACAATTTTACCGAATCTTTCTTCAACGCTGATTTTATATTCATTAAATGATTGAGCAAGTGATTCATGGAACTGTAAGTCAATCTGATGTTCACGAGAAGCATGAACATATAAACTGAATTCAAGAATTGGAATCTGAAAGAAAATTATAATATTAAACTGTATTTTACTTCCAATAAATTCAATAATTCATTTTTTAAATAGGAATAACCTGATTCTTTATTAAAGCCTCTAATTGAAGAACAAGCTCCCGCTCGGACTGATTTAAAACTGCTTTGCATTCTTCCGTGAAAAATACCTAAATTCATTCAAAATGATTCAAAAATAAATAAAAAAGAATAAAAATATTATTACCAACAATTCTAAAAATTTAAGAATGCAATAATTTTGACTTTATAATTTTTTATTCCTCCTTGCACAAAGGCTTGCACAATTCCTCTGATTTTTCCACCAAGGGGAACCACAGATTCAAGCGGAGTGGAAAAGACGACATGTGCCATTTCTTCTAATTCATCATTATTTCTTTGCATCGTTCGAACAGCTTCCATTAAAGGAGAATATTCAATCTAAATTTTATCCGAATTTTCCTTTAACACTGCACAAATACATATTTCAAAAAGAATAAGTAAATATTAACAAATAGAAGTTTGTTTTAAAGAAAGAATCTTCGTAAATTTTTTGAAATTTTTTTTTTGAGATATTTAACATACTGGCTCAGAAATTGAAGCGACAAGTGACCATTTTAAAATATTTGGAAGTGGTTCGACTGATTTAACGAAACGACGAATAACCCACGATCGCATAATTTCGCTATCTTCTAATTCGGTCCATTTTGTTCCTTTTCGAAACTGGCCTTTACAATACTCAAAGTTTTCAATCTTAAAAAATTCAAGGTTGAAATCCATTTAAAATTTCTGACCAAAATTTTGAAAAAGTTTGAAACTGTGGTAAGGTAAATGTTTTTATATTATATATTATATATTTTAGAATTTTAATTATAATATTATATAATATTTCAATTTATTGTAGAAAGAGATTTCAAAAGGGTAAAATATCTTTAAAAAAATATTCGCAGAATTAACTTAAGAGAAACGATAAAAAAGCTTTAAAATCAAGAAAAATATCCATTTTTTCATTTGAAGAACGAATTAAAAAGGATAAAAACAAAATTAAAATTAAAAAAAATAAAAAGAAAGGTAAGAATAAGAGAAAAATTAAACAAAGGAAGAAAAAAAAATTAAGAAATAACCCGATTGTTTTTCCAGTACCAGCAAATCAAACGGTTGGCACATTTCTTCTGAGGTTTATTCTCACAATATGTTTGTACTGGAAAAATCTGAAGATACCGTCCACTTTTTTCTGATAAATGAGAACAATCATCCATAGATGTAACTAATTCAGTACCGGGAAATGTGGATAACATTCGATGTTGGAAACTCGAGATTGCCTTATAAATATAATCATTATAAATGAGAAAACGAAAGAGAACTCAAAAAAAGAGTCTTAAATAGGAATTATTCACAATCGTAGATGAAATTTAAAATTCGCGTTTCCATACTTTTAAAATATAAAAAAGATTAATTTCTTAATAATTTTTTAGGAAATGGAAATAATACTGAGTACTTAAAATTACCCTTTTAGAAGCATACTTATGGGAATCCTTATAAATTATAATTTTGTTAAAAAATTGAATACAATTATATAGATCGAAAATGTAAACATAATACCTCACATTCATTTCCTCGATATATATATTGCTGATTATTTAAATACACTGGAAAATCAAGACCATAAAATCCGACCAAATAAAATGTGAATCCAACACGACTTTGAGCACTTATTTTGTGATATAGATCAGCAAGCCGCTTCTATAAACTTAAATTATAACAACCTTTCCTGGTTATTTTCTTGATTATAAATCTTGAAACGAAGAGAAAAGAAAATGGCAAAATAAACTGATCAGAATCAATCTTTTTTTCTTTTTTAAAGACTTCTCACCATAACTAGCTCCACTGACTTATCCCATTGGGTAATATGCCACGGAGAGTCCTTTGGCGATAGAAATAGGGGTGAATCGCCAGCATCACCCGGATTTTTGTACCCTCGGCATCGGCGCTCCCAATTGAGCAACAACCCATTGAGCAATTCTATCCCCATTAGAATCAATATAAGATAAGAATCAATATAAAATGATGAAGTGAAAAAGAAATACCAGGAGAAGCGATAACTTTTCATATTCAAAATCCTTTTCATATTCAGGAACTATTTCTTTAAGGATAGAGATAGCATCTTCCCACATTTCTTTCTCGTCAAAAAGATTGGCTACTTCGGTGTATAGAGCTTCTTTCAACTGTCGATGAGTTCCGCAGTGACGATTCAAATGGGCACTTAATAATGCTGGAGAGAGTTCGCGATCTTCCCACTATTTGAAAAAAAAATTTATAATAGATAAATCCTTTTGATAAAAAAAAGGTAGAAAATCGATTTGGTCAATCATATTAGAAAATATCAATCTAGAAAAATTCTTCAAAAACTTCTTGGAATTGTAACTTACTGTTAGCGTTTCACCATGCTTAAGTAGAGTATATGCGGCTTCAACTTTACTATTGCTTAACATATGCAAATCGTATAATTTATAAACATAACTAATATAAAGATCATGTTGACCAATCGCATCATAGTATTTCTGAAAATGAGATAAATAAAGTGAAGAGATTATTGATAAATTCAACACTACACCAAAAGATATAAAGAAACATTTCCCTCCATTCGCTCCAATTTTTTTCCTCATTTTTCTCATTTAATGGAAGAAAATCTTTTTTACTGCGATTATTGTGATTTTCTCCCATAAAATAAGCAAAGAAACAAAGATTTGCGATAAAAAATGGAAATTTTATAGAATTCATTTTAAGAATCGAATCAAATAATCAATCGAAACTCTTACCAACAGTTGGACGGTACGATCCATACCATTCTCAATACAGTACGCATTTGTTCTGACTTCGCGATATTCAAATAAGTGTTTCAACAAGGTGTCTATGGTATGCACAAATCTGCATCCTTCAGTTTTAAGTTCAGGATCAGTGCTGCACCTAGAAAGAACGCAAAAAATTCGTTGTATTTAAATAAAATATAAATTAGCCCAAAATACAGAAAATTTAAAAAAACTTACATTTGTAACATAATACGTTTAAGTTGTTCTTTGAAAGATAAGTCGCCTCGATCTTCATCTACCAGACAATCGAGTTGTATAATCATTTCATTTGCGAACTAAATTTTAGATTTACTAACGATTTAAGATTCACTGAATTAACCTGAATTAAAATTTTAAGAAAAAGTTCAACAAAATATTAGCAAAAAATAACCCGAGAAAAATCTCTAAAGGGATGTGAGAGAAATTCACACTGGAGCATATCGAAAAAAATTGGAATGACAGTTTCTCTAACGACATCATCATCAATGAGAGCAACTTGTAGAAAAGATCCAACCATAAAAGGAATGAAGATACCCTTATCTTTCACTGAAATGATGCAATTTAATTCATAATGTAATAAAACAAAAAGATTGACGATTTTTCGAAAATTTTTGAAAAAAATTTTTTACTCGACAAACGGAACCACATTGAACGAAGATCAGCAACAGCAATTTTTCGAAGATCGAGTTGAGAAGAGAGATAGCGAGATCGTTTTGTAGTTGGTAACGAACCAATTTGAAGAGATTTTTGACAGGAAAATGTTACCATTGTTAACATATATTCCCGCCAAAGCTATGATAATCATAAATTACAAATAATTATTTTGAATCTTGAATTTTGAATCTAAAATGTTCGAATTTTCCGAATAAATATCAACTAAAAAATATTGTGATCAGAAAAATATATTGTTATTATCATAAATTTAACTCAAATTTTATAAATTTGAAATATCTAAAAAAACAATACATCAAGATCGAATTCGATACCATAAAATTGTTCTACGATAGTCTGCATTATAAATTTAAGTGTTTTTAATATTGTTCTGAAATATAAATGAGAATAATCAAAGTGAGAAAGATGAGAAAGAATTGAAAAACAAAACATATTTTAAAAATCATAAAAGATTACTTATTGAGCAAATAAATCATGTAAAACCATGACGAAGAGAAAGGAGATCTATTTATAAGATCACGAAAAAGATGCAATAATTCCATCAAAAAATCATGTTTATCAATGCGAGTATGCAATCCATCAACATAAATTTTATACATTTGAGCAGACATTTTATTTAATAAAACGGCAAGAAGAGCAGCGAACGTTGACTGAAATTGTTTAATTAATAAAAATAACAAAAATTAGAATAGCAGAAAAAATCCGAATAAGATGATTTTTAAATATTTTGAAATGATTGAAATAATTCAAAGCTACAAATTTCTAAAATTTAAAAAAAAATTTGTAATAACAAAATCTAAACTATTATTATTTCATAAAATGCAAAAATGAAATCCTCAAGAATTGATTTTGAAAAAATTATGATAATTTAAAAAAAATTTAAATTAATTTTTTTTAAAGAATTTGAAAACTTACGAATACTATTTTTTCATTGATCAGATAAATGGATGTTTGAACTATTGAGCGAAAAACCTTTGAAATTATTAAACAAAGTTCATCTTCACTTCCATTTTCAAACTGTGAATTCTACAATTAAAAAATAAAAACATGAATAGTACGCTTCAATACATACCAAAGTTGAAGAAACTATAAAAAATACCGTTCTAAAAAGTCGATCAAATATGTCAAATATTATATCTGCACATGTAACAACACAATCTTCAATTTTGTGCCGATCGATATTAGGTGTTTGCGAAACAATATCATCCAATTCTTCAAGTACTTTATCGAGAACCTTAAAGTTATAAATAGAGCAAAATCATTTTAATCATAAAAATCATTTGAAATTAGTGCAGCAACAGTATTTCCAAGCTTATGTAATATAATCTAAAGACCGGAATTGAATATTGATAAAACAAGAAATTAATAAATAAATTTACGAAGGAAAATTTAAAATTAATTAAAAATTTAAAAATTTAAAATATTAACTTTTAAATAATATCCGTAACAATCACTCCGATGAATGTCAACATCACAGACCAAAAAAAAATCACATAAATGGATTATCGCGGAAAAAAAAATTAAACAAACAAAACAGATTTACTTTTGGAAGAAGATGGCATCGATTATGACCTTCTAGAAACAGATTTGACTGAATGATCTCTCTGATGAAATTTAAACGATAGCGAGGACTTATACTACCATTTATATGATCCAAAATATTGACCAAAAATGCTCTATAAAAAAATTTTTTTAAATAGAGTCTTAACTCAAAGCAAATATTAAAAACGAAGAGACTGCGTGACTAAAAAAAAATAAAACTAACGTTAGTTCTTGTGGACTGTAAATATCTGGAGAGCAAACATGTGGGAATATAGTTGGCAAATATTTCAATGCTGTATTTTGGCATGTCATACGTACCCGTTTATTTCGTAAAAAAAGAATAACTGCATTTAAAAATTCAGCCATCAATTGATGAAAATCAGCTTGAGTTACGCCCAACCTTAAAAAATAAATTTATTAATTTTTAAAAAAAAAGAAAAAGTTTATCAGTTAATAATTAATTGCGATAATGGCTATTTGCTTGTAAAAAAAAATTATAATACCTGTCACTACAGCGTTTTGACTTCACGATAATTTGCATTAAAATACCAAGAGATTTGATTGTGCTTAAAGTCCATTCATGAGTTTCTTCTGCATTTTCGATTCGTTTTTGCAGGAGAGGCATTAATTTTCTGAAAATCAATATGATTTAATATAATTAAAAAAGAATATTAATTATATTAATTATTAATATTATTAATAATAAAATATTAATTATAACTAATCAAGTTTACTATTTTAGCACGTGAAAATTTTAGAAGATTCATAAAAATTTATTTATTATGGAAAAAAAGGTTTTCTTCATTTTATGAATTCTATATGAGAACGAGAAACAATTTTCTAAAATTATTACGCGAAAGCTATTGTTGAATGGAAGTTTTCCACATATTTTTGCAAAATAATGCGAAAATTTTTGTAACGTTCCTCACAGACTAACTGTATTACAAAAATCTGAAAATTTAATATAAAATATAAAAGATAAAAAATTTAATAAAAGAAAAACTGCAGTTTTATTCAACTGTAGAGCAAATTCTTTTTTTGAATTTAAATGCGAGGAAAATAAATTCGATAATTCAATCCTGGTTAATCGTAGAACAAATATTAAGCGAAATCACTAAAAGAATTAAACATTTCTAAGCAAGTACCAATGCAAATAAACTCAATTTTCATCTCAAGAAGATTTCAGTCAGAATGTAAATCTCTCTGAATTACAATTAAAATGCTATTTTTGTAAAACGCATCAAATTATGGCAAACAAAGGAACGTATAGAATAGAAATAGTTATGATAGGAGCAAAAAATAAACGAGATAGATGAGTTCCCTCGAAAAAAAATATTTACAATTTGGAACAAACCAGAGAATCAAAAATAAGTTCATCGTAATCGGAATACTGATCCATTATTTCGAAAAGTACATCACAGAAATTAGGAATAAACTTAACAATTTCTTCACTGACCATTATGCCTTTCGATTTCGAAATTTCTTCTAATCGTAATTTTAGATTCCCACTGCAAAAAATTCAACTGGAAAATAGGAAAATTTTAATGCAACAAAATTATTAAAAGATTTAGAAGATATTAAAAATCAGTAAAATAAAAAGAATTAAACAAATCAGATTTCTTCTTTACGAACTTACCGGTTGGCTTTCCACTGAAGAATATCTAATAAATTTTTATTGTGCGTTAAAGTTGTTGAACATGTGATTGTTTGGATTATAATGTAATTCTTTTCATAATATATGAAAGTTGTTGTTTGAGGGCGCATCTGTGATTGTGATGCTTTCAATTCGTTACGAGTCGCAGGAAGACGAGTATAGGTTATATCGTTTATGTCAAATTTTCCTGGCTCTATCTGGAATTACCTAGCTCGAATTTATTTTTATCTTATATTGTCTTATTTAAATCTCATCCATGAAACGTGATACTCATTTTACTCAAAAAGATCCACAAAAAATATGGAATAACAGAAATAAATACAAGTGAACAGGATTATTTCAGAATTTCGCAATTTTTGTAAGAAAATGTATAAAAAATATTCTTAAAATATAAAATGATTTTAAACAGGCCAGTCATTTTTTGAAAATTATTTTTAAGATGAAATGAAAAACAGTCGTTTCTCAAAAAATGTACCTTATAAACAAGCAACTCATGAGTACCATCTCCTATCAAGGTAGATCCCTCCATGATTCGAGCAAATGCTAAGGCAAAAGGACCCTTTTCTTGTTTTGTTTTATCATAGCTTTTCTTAAAATGAAACGTTATACGAAGATGCACGTTTTGATCTGCTTCATCCGGTATTTGTATCTAAAACTTCGGATGTATTGATAAAAATACAAATTACTGATAAAAATAAAAATTATTCATATTAAAGAAAAAGTGAAAAATAAACATCTAAAAATATTCATGGGTTTTCAAATTGAAAACATTTCATTAGAAAAAGCCTTGCAAACTAACCTTAATAGTTTCATTCCATTTAGGCTTATCTTCATGATAGAAAACAAGGCTATGATAAGTTGATCGATGCAAAGTCCCATCAGCCGTGCAAATTTCAATGCTCTGCAATCATATATATTTATTCGATCGATATTAATCCTAAGTACATCAAGTCCTTAGTGATAATATTTCCATTGTCACATACATTAAGCCTAAGAAAAAATATTAAAACAGATTATGCATATTTCGTATGACATAATGAAAATTTCACATTGTTAACAACTCCATTAGAATCAACCACGGAAACACGGGCTTCGATATTTTTGTCAGAACCTTTTCCACCATGGAAATCACCGTGCAAAAGTGTTAAATAAAGATCATTACGAGATTCATCTAAATTTCAATCAAGTAAAAAAGTGAAAAAAAAATTTTTAAAATATTTTTCATCTAAAATAAAAGAGAAATAATAACCGCAAGATATAACATCCGCAAAATACATTTTTTTCACTTCAACAGGAGGGTTGATTGAAAAAATATGTAGATTCGACTTTTTTATTTCTGTCAATGATCCGATTAAAATTTCTGTTGATAGCATTAATTTAGAACGTCCAAATGCTTAAATATTTCAATATTATTTAGGAAAAAAATGATGAATATGTTTTCCCAGAAAATATTTCAAGATGAATTGTCTCAATTGTATTTTTAAAAAAATGATTTACAAATTTAACTAAGGTGACGAAAAAATTTTTAGCAAAAATTTGCAAAATTTTTAATTTTTGAATTTTGGACACATTTTCATATATTACTGGAGGAATAATTTTGAATAAATGGCAGTATTACCGGCACTATTCTCGCCATTTGAAATTTTCATTGAGTTAGTTGATCGAGCCTTCGCAATCAATTGCTCTAATGTGTCTTCTCTAAAATGATGCATTTCGATATTGTATAGTGTAAAGAAGCAAATGAAATATGGAAATTAAATATGGGCTGCAATTGAGTCAAATAAGAATATAAGCAAATTAATTTTAAAAAAATCTTAAAATATTAACCTATTCAATGGAACGATATGGTCATTGACTGGTCTATCAAATATATCAGAAAGATCAAGTAGCGCTGCAGCATATGGTTGACGAGACCATAACTGTGGTGGGCCAGCATCAAATACCTTTTTCATTGTTGCTGATGATGGATCAATAGGTGCTATGCGCGACACTCTAATACATAGAAAAATACGATGAGTTTTAGTTGATGCCGGAAATGATGGATATTCCTTTGAGCCAAGATCCTGAAGCATGGTTATTTTGGAAAATTTTCATCGAATAAGTTTGTATAAAAAATTTCTTAAGACATAGAAAATCAAAATGTACAATGAAAAGAGCCTTGCTGCTACGATTTGAGAGGGCACCAATCTGAGGACTCCAGTAGAAAATGAAATTCTCGCTGCAAATAATTTAACTATGTCGAATTCTTTTAGGATATACTGGAAAATTCTTTTAGGATACACTCTTCGTAATACTGGAAAAATGAAATTTTCATAAAGGACAATTAATTGACTTGTTTATTCAAGAATCGATTCGTAATTTGCTAAACATTTTTGCAAAAGCAAAAAATTTAAAACTAATTTCGAATTTACTCTTAGAATTAAGTAATTTTAATAACTAACGATATGAACTTCTGATCAGTAGAATCATATAAAGATAAAGAGAACTCGCATTCAGATTTACAATCTACAGTAGCTGACTGTGCATGAACAAGTAAAGAGAAAGCATTTACAACACGTATATCACTGGGTTTCTGTAACTGATTATGCATAATTTTTTATCACAGAAAATAAATTAAATAAATAAAATTAAATTAAATAAAAAATGCTCTCTCTATTGAAGAATTGTTGTTTTTAGTAATGAACAACCGAATCATTCAGAATTTTTTCAGCAGCAGTGATATGCGCTCGAAAAATCTGCACAACAGAAACAGAATCAAGGTCAATGGATCGACCAGTTTCATCGCGTATAATCATATCCAGACCTAGCCACCTATAATTTTAGCTCACTATTACCAGTGCTTGGATCATGAGCGCTTCTGGCTTTCATAAAGCATATAAATTAATAATTTGTAATTTTTTAAATGAATTTTGAAATATTAACTGATTGCCGAGATCGATTTTTTTTGCCAACTGTAATCTCATATCTTTCAGTTCTTCTATTGGAACATTCCCCGAGAGAATTTTTTTACGCATTACCATCAAATCTTCCATAAAAAGTAAAACATCATCCTGACAACCAATTCTTGCTTGTTTCCCATAAGTCTCCTTTAAAAGTTGCGGATTAGATTTAAATTCGGAAATTATAAAGAAATAAAAATGTTATATTTAATTTAATGTTATAATTATATTATTAAGTAAATAAAACAAATAAATATAACAAATAAAAAATAAAAGACGCAATAAATCAAGACTGAAAAGAAAACATACCAGCATGCATAATTATCAATACAAAATTATATAAACCTTTATAGAAATCCACCATTCCTCTAGAGTCTCATTTAATTCTAAAATTATTTCTTGGGCCTCTCTTGAAAAAGGCCATAAGGATGGATCTGGTAATAAAAAAACTGCAGAACGTGGGAAAAGCCCACAAACTGATTCATCGCCTTCTTTATTTCCATAGCACCAATCTTTAAAAAAATAAATCAAATTTCATAACAACTAATTTAAACTAATTGAAAAATGAAAATCAGAAAGAAAGAAAAAACCCCTTATTTCCTCTATTGAATATATTAAGAGGCAACAATCTATACTGGCTGGAAAATAATTTCAAATAATTGCCCGGGAATTTTATGTTTATTTCCAAAAAAAAATGTATATGAGTTGATTTGAAAAAAGTTATGAGAAACCAACCTTGAGTTGAATTAATAATATTCACATATTCACCAATATACAAAATTAAAAAATTATAATCAACAGCTTCCAATGTTGCATATGTATCATTTGTTAAATTGTACTGTACTAAAGTATTAAAGTATTAAAATATATTAGTTTATTAATTATATTAGGAAAAGAACCTAAAATTTTTATGGATATTTTTTATTTTTCAGAAACAATAAACTTTTTAATATTAAATATAGAAAATTAAGTATAGAAAATACTGAAAAATATAGAAATTATAAAATGGAGACGACTGAAAAAAAAATATTTGATTATTTTGACTACTCTCACTAAATATTTCAATAACGAATATATGAAAATTCGAAAAATTTCGTGAAATATTTATTATTATGAATTTATGTGAACTGAAAAAAAAAATTTATAAAAAAAATCATGAAACCTATTAGATTGCATTTCCATTCAATTTTTTCAAGACATTTTAACCAATTTTTACTTAACTATATACAATTCTTTCTATCTAATAAGTCGGACCATTAAATTTTCTCTGATTCTTCTCGAAAAATTTGCTCTCATAAATTTACTCGGACGACCAAATTTCCTCCTATTCCTCTCATATAATTCTTTCTATCTAATAAGTCGGACCATTAAATTTTCTCTGATTCCTCTCGAAAAATTTGCTCTCATAAATTTACTCGGACGACCAAATTTCCTCCTATTCCTCTCATATAATTCTTTCTATCTAATAAGTCGGACCATTAAATTTTCTCTGATTCTTCTCGAAAAATTTGCTCTCATAAATTTACTCGGACGACCAAATTTCCTCTTATTCCTCTCATATAATTCTTTTTATCTAATAAGTCGGACCATTAAATTCTCTATAATTCCTCTCGAATAATTGCCTTTCTTTACAAATTTGTTCAGACCACTAAAATTCCTCTATTTTTTGCTATGAAATATGAATTTTAATATACCAAAAAAGTTTTAAAAAATTTATTTATTGAACTATCATTAAATTATGATATGACTAAGTTGATTTTCTGATTTAAAAAAGTTTTTAAAATTGAAAGAGAAATTTTCCGCCAGATTAGCCGTGAAATCCCCTTAATTTTTGATTGGTATTTATTCACTCTCAATTTTTTTCTTGAACTTTCTTCCAACTTTCTTCTACTAGAAAATGACTTGAAATATCCATCCTATTTTCGTTTGTAATATTAAAACTGGGGATTGATTATTTTTTTAAACAGTAATATATCGATTACACTAGGCAAGTTAAGTAAGCGGCTGGCATTCAACATCTGGTTAGATTCTCTCTACCTGCTTCTAAAACAATAGAATTATTTCTCAGAGAGAAATTAGCGACAAGAACGCATGTTGGCCGCAAACTTTCGCTATTTTTATGATATCTTCGTGCCAATCAGAGACATCATATAAACGCTGACCATTAAGGCGATAATTTTTGCAATAATCGACTAATCTACTATTTAAGAATATTTAAATAAGAACGCACAGGTATATACTATTCAAAATTTTTTATATTTATCGCATATTTAAACGAATGTTCAGTTGATTCTAAATTTAATTAAAGAAATTTCAAAAATTCCATGAAAATTCCATGAAAACTCCATCCGATCTTCCTCATTATTTCATTAATAGTAATGGTAATGGTGACCGCTGAATATTTTAGATATTTTAGAACTTGGCATGAAAAATTCTTGAAAACCTTGACTTCGACCATCATTACAGAACGACAATTAAGAATACCAAAATATAAAAAACATTCGTTCGACCCCTTCTTGAATATAATACAACCTGTTATTCCTCTATATATATATCAGAAATCATTATGTATATTAATTGAAAGACTCTATATTAATTGAAATGCTTTGTACTTGCCTCTCAGCCAATAGCAATCTTGATTACAAAATAAAACTTCAATTTTATAACTTAGAATCCATGTTAGTTCGACGAATTAAACAAGTTTTATTTTTTATATATAATTTTAAATGGTTCTGTCGAATTAAATTATTCCAAATATTATAATTTTAGTTCAAATTTGGGTCCAACAGGATCTAATGAGCTAAAATCATTAAAGCCTAAATGCAAAACCAAACACCCATAACTCTCACTCGCACCATTAATTACTGGAATAAGATGCCTATTACTTTCTGCGTCAACCTTAGCTACTTTATCACCCATAATATTATTTATTTTTGTCTCTTCGTCTCTCTCATGCGACTAAATGCCAGTAACAAATTTATATTAAAATAATAAAAATTATAATCCTTTAAAATTAAAAATTACAATTAAAATTCTTTTTTTGATCAAATAGAGTTTATTTTGTTTGATGAAATATAAGGATTATAATTGATGAAAGGATTATAATTATAATAAAAAATAAAAATTATAATAAATACAATAAAATCTGCCTTCTGCAATCCCTTTACATTACTCACTCACCATTTGCTCACCAATCTCTTTTTGTATTTTATATTGATATCGTACAATTTCTCTTTATTTGACTCCGCATTTATTTTTCTTACTACAAGCATAAGGCACTTATCGCTCCGCCTAACTGACTGTTTAAATAACAACCAAATAATTAAATAAATAATTAAATAAATAAACAAATAAATAAAATATGCTGAAAAAGTGATTCGAATAGCACAAATAATTTTCAAAATATTAGAAATATCCATAAAATTTTTTAAAAGAATAAAAAAACTAACCAACGGCTCTCATCTTTTTTTTTTACTGAAACATTTTTTGCATATTTCTCATTCGATAAATTTTCTATAAAATTTATAAAATCACAAATTAAATAAATAAATAAAATCGATTCAAGTAAATCGACTTTTTTTGAACGAAATTCGAGATTTCGAGAAAATTGAAAAAAAAAAAAAACGAAAATAATAAGGAATTTCGTTCAGAAAAAAAAGTGTTTACACAAAGTGCAAAAATATAAAAGCGCAAGAAAGAATATTTTCACATAAATAAATAAAAAATTAGTTAAATTAAATTAAAATCGTAAAATTAGAAAATGAAATAAATTCAAAAGTAAATATAAAATAAAAGGAAAAAATTTAAAAATAATTTTTAAATAATTTAAAAATTAAAATTTAATTTTTGAATTATTTAATTTTATTATTTATTAATAATTTTATTAATAATTAATAATAATTTATTAATAATAATTTTTATTTATTAATAATTTTTTTAAAATTATTTTCCCCAATAAATTTTAATAGATTTTTTAATTTAATTCAGTGGAAATTTAAATATTCAAAATTTTTTTGGATAAATTTTATTTATTTACTAATTAAATCATTTTCAATACAAAAAAATTGAAAAGAATAGTAGAAAAACGTTCGGTAAAAAAAGACAAAAAATCGCATACGTTTAAAAAATCCCGCGACCGCTGAATTTTATTTTGCATTTTCCGTTATGCGGTTAATATGCTAATAGTCAGCTTCAGCTTCAGACACGGTGTCGATTTTTTTTTTAATGTAAAAAATATATATACAAGAGGTGACCGATTTCTGTCACCTCGTTATAATTTTGGTACTTATGAAATTTGTAGAGTGGTGTGAGATTTTACTGGTAGTATTGGTTTGGAAGCGAAGCTAAAATTGAGTGCTGAGAACTAAGCGTTTATTTCAATAAATAGACTAATACGATTATTTGAATAAAAAATTCTCGTCTTTTCTAATTTTTAAATATTTCTTTTATATTTAATGAAAATTTCGAAGTTATTTCTCGAATCATTTTCGTGAAATTCATCAATTTTTAATCGAATATATTTTTATTTATTAAAAAAAAAAGAATTTATTCGATTAAATTATTTTATTGCAGCTTTTTATTGATCAAAAATACAAAAAGTACAAAAATACAAAATAAAATATCAAATAGGAAAAAAAAAATGAGAAATGGGAAAATAGTAAATCAATTAATAAATTTTTTGCAACATTTTTATCAACAATAAATAATTGTTTATTTTGTTCAATTTTTAGTGATAATTATGATGAAAGGAAAAATAAAAAAAAAAATAAAAAATTATAGAAATGTGATAAAATATTAAGATTAAGTGACGAAATAAAATTATTGATTTATAAGATTACAATATTGATAAGAGAATTTTAATAGAGAGTGAAATCCGTTTTTGTGACAGTTGTTTCGCATTTTTTTCTATCATTTCCACTATTTTTTGTAATAAATGATAAAATAGTTGATAAAAGTAATAAAATTATTGCAAATATATTTAAATAAAATGAAAAACTTAGCCTAAAATATAATTTTTATTATTTTCTTTTCTTTGTTTTTTAAATAATATTTACCGTTGTTTCGTTTGAAAAAGATTTTTATTTTAAAATTTAGGTTTTTTTTCTTTTTTAAATAATTATTTTAAAAAAAATTTAAAACAGCCTATAGAATTGATAAAATTAACAGTTCTTTCATAATGCTTGGATTTGATTTCTATAAAAATTTGTCAGATCAGATATATGTGATAAGATGTGATAAAGTAAGTGATAACCTTGTTCGTTTAGACGAGGAAAATCCGTTATCAATTTGCTCTTTTAATAAAACATTATATTGAATAGAAAAGAAATATTGTAATAAAAATAAAATTGTTGCCAACATATATGAAATAGCTGCAATTTAAATCAATTTTTACCATAAATATCACAATATTTTTAATGTTTTAATAAATAAAATACTTCTTAAAATGAGGAAATTTTTCCTTATCAAATTTCGCCAGTCGAATTAATGAATTAAAGATTTTTTATTCCTTTATTCCTTTATTCCTTATAAGCTTTATTCCTTTTTTTTTTTGAACAATACCCAACGGTCTATCGAATCAGTAATAGAACTAATTCTTCTTCTTCTAACAATTCTCAGCCCTTACTGGCTCCGCTGGCTACAAGAGTAAGGCGTCTCTAAGCCGCCCGGTCCAACGCCATCGCTAGTAGTAATAGAAGCCATTCCTTTTTCCATAGTCTAAGTCCATATATCGCTGGTTCCCCTGTATGTTCTTTCTTGACTGTATCAGTCCAGGTCTGGACTGGTCCTCCTCGCTTTCAAGCCAATCATCACAAGGTATAGCAAATAGTGAAATATGCGTCAACTTCTGTGGTGACGACGAAGAATGTGACCTAATCAGCGAAAGCAACGCTCTGTGATAATATTATTTAATGCAGGTGGTATTTAAGCGAAGGTGGATACAATCATGTGCGATTTTATCTGCTCGGGGGATCCGTAAAAATAATTAGGTTATTACCGCTCATAACTAGATCAGTTCCACTTCCAGTACGTTTAGAACTTTTTGCCAGGAATTCGTATGGCCATAGAAATACAGAAGATTCGCCAATACTGGGATTTTTTAGTATAACATTTATCCGTTTTTCTAGGAGGCGCGAAATCCCTTTATTTTCTTTCTTCTTTCCTAGTATTATAATTTAATTTAAGCAAATCTCCGCTCCATTCCTCTCAATCTTTCTTGTGCAATTAAATGTTTCATCAATATGCAATAATTTTTAATTTTTCGGATCATCGGAGATACATTTTACATCTTATTTTTTATCAAATATTCTAAAGTTAAAAGTTAAAAAAAAAAAGAAAGAAAAATCGCGAAAAAGAGCGAAAATAAAAAAATTTGAAACGTTACCAAAGAATTAAAAAATTTAATATAAAATAAATTTAATAAAAAATAAACTTCAATTTTTTATAAAATTATCGAATTTTTAAAAAAAACAAAATAAATAAATATAAGTAAAACAGTTGGTTATTTCTGTCATTTGTGGAGCGCTAATATTGAAATTTCCATTCTCAAATTTGAATAAACTTGTTTTTTTGAAAAATTTTGGACAATCTTGAAGATTCATCTGTACTTCAGCCAAGTGATTCCCTCTAGCAGAATTTATCTGGTCGAATAAGCGAATTGAACAACTCCAATCAGCGAAAAATCTATGCAAATGAAAATTTAACCAGTGAGTAAACTCCATACGTAAATTCCATCTGAACCAATCACTGTATTTCGATCTTTCATTGCGGTATTCATTAATGCAACAATTATTCCAACAATATTCCATAATATACCAACAACAATGAAAAATATTGTTAAAATCCATGGTACTTTCAACAATGGACCAATGCCTTGACGTACTTCATCATACACTGCAATTTATAGACGTTATACAATTAATCTATTAAATAAAAACGGAAGGCTTCGGTGTCCTCGTAGTCAGCGGGGCTAACCAAACCAGAAATGTCGAATGGTGTAGAAAAAAAATTATTGCCCTCGAATCAAGCAATTTCTTTAATACAACAGTCAAGTCAATCATTGGTTTAGGGAATGTTTCATTCTAGGATTTTTGCAAGTGAAATGTCTAATTTTTCTTATAAAACTCAATAATTTAGGAACGTATAAAGTTTTAGGAGCGGCTACACTAGCGATTTTCCTAAGATCCTTATGGTCTTATAATCTATTAAGTTAAGTAACATCGGTTAGACATAGAATGTATTTTGTTTTATCCGTAATCGAAAAATCACTGATAAAACTGATAAAATATTTCGAAATGCACCTGAAAATGGAACATAACGCGGTCCAAGGCCCCAATCTAATTGACGGACTCCATTGAATAAACCGCAATGTACGAAATTGTTCTTTTGTTTATCATCATCGCTATTCTTATAAATCGGATAACTTTCATACCAGAAATTAGTCAAAAGTGATGTTATTATTAGTGATAATGATGATATGAAAATCATTAATGATATAAATACTATAAATCGTTTCAAATTATTCATTTGCTTGTTTGATAAATATTTTTAATGGTGCACTGAAAAAGAATTTTTTTAAGAAAATTAACAGTATTAACTGATAACAACTGATAACTTTTTGAATAATAACTGATCAATCGCATATTTATACAGTTTTTAGTTGATAACATTGGAAAAGATTGATAATATTGAAGAAAAAAAATGGAATAAAAAAGTATTTATGTTTATAGCCCACATGCTTCTTTTATTATTTATTAACAGTAGGACTGACCCAGTATAAAAGTATTTTTAAAAAAAATTGTCATAATAGGCCAAGCATTTCTTTTTTGAAAGTTCTAATCATTATTGATTAGACTCGCTCCTCTGGCTCTTCGAACTAAACAACCTTTGGACTATGGCACCATCCAGATTTTCGGACTAGTTTACTCCTGCGGCGAGTAGAGCCTCAACATCAGCTTCGAACTGACCAATAACCCACTGAGCCATTGTATGCCTCAAGGAATACAACGACTACTTATATCCACAAAAATAAGAACAACTCAGCTATCGCGGTTTACTTAATATTAGGCCCTTAAGATAATTAATATTTACGATTACTTTGAGCTAGAGGAGCAATTAAAAGAAGATGAGCGGCACCTATAATCGATAATGAATTAATTTTATTTTTTCTAATAAATAATAATTATAAGTGATACGAAAATCGCATGAAAATTAAATAGCAAATGGGTTAACAACGTTTTATCATCATTTCCTGTGAAATTCGTTTCGCTGACTGTTAGTACATTTAGAAATTTTTACCGCGTAATTAGTGAAATACAAGCGGTACTTGGAGTTTTTTAATGGGTTTGTTTCTGTTAGAGGAGGTGAACCATTGATTCTAAGTCATTTCAGCAATCATGCCTCCTATATTCACAATTTTGGGCAATTTTTTCTAGTGAATAATGCTAATATGAAAAATCTAATATGGAAATATGAAAAATCATAGGAACAGATTTCTATATCTTCAATTCCTTGTTTATGTGGGGGTAGGATGGCTCAGTGGAGTCGCGGGTACTGAGGTTCACTCCGCAGGAGTAAACCTGTCCAAAAGACCCGGTGATATTGGCGGTTCATCTTTTTTTCTCGTCGGCATACTTGTCTAGTGCGAAAAGTCAGTGGTGCGAGTTTAACCAGTAATGTTAAGGACTAAAAAAATCCATTACATCTGGCAGAAATTATTATTATTAATATTATTATTAATAATATTATTTTATTATATTACAGAAATTATTATTATTAATATTATTATTATTAACACTATTATTATTGTTAATAGCTATTTAGCATTAATTATTATAATTATTATAAATTATTATAATTATTATAAATCTTATAAGTATCTATATTATCATTAATATTAATTTTTATTATTTATCATTGCCATTACTATTATCAATTATTTTTATTTTTAATATTATTATTACTTATTACTTATTATTACTAATGTCATTATTATTAATAATAATAATATAATAATATATTATTAATTAGAAAAATCAACGCTTAAAGATTTGATTTACTTCTATTCAAAACTTAACCTAATATATTAACCTAATTCAGGCTTCGCATCTGAGTACCACAAAAAAAAGGAAACTCTAGAAAATTTTTTTATTTTTTAAAATAAATATTATTTTAATTAATTTAATTAATAAAATAAAATGTAAAGAATAAATATCGATTTAAAATGTGAAAAAAAAAAGCGTTTAATTCATTAGAATTGTATGGAATTCGAATGGACGTCGTTGACCTTTTTCTCGTTTTCATACGTTTTTCAGAGGTTTTATCTTCTTCTTTTTTCAGACCGTTCACCATTTCCGATTAGATTCACTCTGCTGGCTTATTGAATTAGGTCTTTGCCATGGAGTTATTTGGTTAGAAAGTACACTCTGCTGGCTTTTATTGAACTAGGCACCAGGTCTTTGCCATGGAGCTATTTAGTTAGAAGGCACACTCTGCTGGCTTTTATTGAACTAGGCACCAGTTCTTTGCCATGGAGCTATTTGCTTAGAAGTGTAGTTGGATTGTTAGCACAACTCGGATTTGTGAAAGGCCGATTTATTCTTGCCAGGAATGCATCATCGCTACTCCATCGTGGAAGACCATTTTATTTCCGAAATATAACCACTTTAATAATATTTATTAGATGCTTAGAATATTTATATTTATTATTAAATATTTAATATTATTTATTAAATGCGTAAATATTTCAATTTTATTTTTCATAAAAATTATTCAATAATTCATAAAAAAATTTGCAATAAACGAAATATTGGTTTCTTTCTTTATTTTATTGCTAAATAGCAAATAAACAAAACACAAAAATGTATTAATATTTTGTCAATTAAATAGGTTTGGAAATGTATTTCGAGCATCGTGGCCAATGCAAATAGCCCAAAATAGAAGCGAAAAATGAATTCTTATAAAGAATTATAAAGAATTTTTCTTTAAATATTTTTAAAATATTCAAATGTGATTGTTGCAAAATAAATTTTAAAATACAATATGAAATAAATATTCAAAATATATAAATTTAAATGATTACGCCAAATAATTCCAAAGCAATAAACTTTTTATTTCACTGGACATTTCAATTTATTGTATTGGGCGTATTGAAATTTATTTGAGCCCGTAAGGCACAAAAATTTTGTCAAAATGGCTATGGATAGGGATACTTGGGATGCTTTCATAAAGCCTCGTCCCATATGTTTCGGTTAAATAGTTTTCGGGTGAAGTTCAACCAAAGTTATGTTTGCTAATGTTGCTTTGAAATCAATGCGATAAATAATAAAGTACAAAATTAGAAATAATTTTAAAAATTCAATTTTTTTTTTTTTTATTTTTTAAACATTTGTAGCATTAAAACCAAATTTTGCATGATCAATACCTTCTTCGATTATTTCTCCTCGGTTATCGCTTATATTATAACTTCTCTCTTTTGAATACATCTTTTGTCTATTTATTATGTGATTTTCAGGTTGCCTTATTCGATTATCACTACCACTTGGTATTGTTGTCATTCCACTATTATCATTTATGATAACTTTTTTTCCAGAAAATGGTGTCCCACGACCATTTCTAATTAATTCAGCCGTATGTGATGGACTTACATTTGGTGCAGTTGTCATCGTATTAAAATTATCAATTTTTCTATTATCTTCATTATCGTTAATATTACCAAAATCTTTTATCGAATCACGTTTTTTTCTAATTTTTTCAATTTCATTAATAATTCTTTGTCTTTTATCGCGATTTGTTTTTCTTTTAAATAAAAGGAAAAGAATTAAAATACAACAACAAATTAGAATAATGATAACTAATAAGATGATAAGCCATAGCCACCATAATCTTTCAAATATACTTAAATCATTGTAGATAAATGGATGAGAATTTCCGATCATTTCAATATTTATATTATTATAGTGATAATTCTCGAGTAATGGAAGAATGTTGAACTCGCATGCACGCTAAAATTATCGTCTTTCATGTAGATTTTATAATTAAGGCATATTTTTCTTTGAGGAATACAAAAGGCCTACCAATTTTTAATATCAAGTCTTATGAATGCCCATAGTAAGATTCTATTCCTCGTTGGGATAAACTTGTTGGAAAAATTCGAGTGATGCTGGCGACTCACATCTACAGCTATCGACAATCAGTGTACTACTTGGAATATTCGTTCAATAAGTAATGCCACAATAAGATTGGTTAAATGGCATGGTTCAGTTCATAGCTCGCAATGGAAAATAGTCCAAATGGTGCCAAAGTAACTTTTTAGCAATTATGCGAATACTGAATTAATCAGTGAAGGAATCAGATGCTAATGAAGGCTATCAGAAAAATGCCCATAATAATATTATAACTTAATAACATAGCCTTCAAAGAGAGATAATAATTAATAGGTAGCTCCGTCATGTTTATCCAGGTTTTTTTTCTATTCTCAACAATAAGTTCATCTTCATCGAGAGACAATAATCGAAATACTCAATAGTGCTTTTTCTAAGCCAAAATAATATTCCGAGTGATTAATTTTCTTATTTCTAATTTATATAGCTAACAATATAATTAAATTCGAATTCGAATTATCCATAAATTTATAAAGATTTATAAATAAAAAATGGTAAATTAATAAAAGACCTCAGCACATCCACAACATTGAATGTGTTTAATTTGACAATGAAGATAACTGAGTTCTTCTGGAGCTATAAAATGTATTATTGTCCTCTTAATTGATCCAGGATATTCATAATAGTGATCAGTTTCCCACTTTTGTATGAAATATTCGTTTACAATAAGGCAACTGAAAATTCTTTAAAAATTTACAAGCAAATCAAAAATAAAACGAATGAAAAAGGAAAAAAGATAGGTCGATCGAATGACATTCAATGGCTTCGTCAACTAAATTTAGTTGACGAAGCCATAGATTTTATTTCATTTTCGTACACTGATAAGATTAAAACTCCTATTATGAATAAAATTTGATTTGAGAAGCAAACTAGGAACATATTCCTACTATCCCTATGCATTTATCATATTAAGAGCCAATGCAACGAGCCAAACCAGAAGGTGATGCTGAAAGAAGAAAAAAGCAATCAGCCAATTGATTAAGATAATACTGGAAGAAGAGAAATGAAAAGCTAGTTAAAACAAAAAAATTAAAATTGCCAATTATGAAAATGATAAGATTTTATCAGTGTTAGAGCCAATGCTTAGTATATATTGCAAAAACCTTTGAAAACTACTGATTTTATTGCTAAAAGTTAAATAAACAAATGGAAAGGGGATAGCCACAAGAGTAATTTAATGAAATCTTGATTCAGTATCAATTCATATTTTAACCAATCAAATCAACTATTTATTATTTAATATTTGGATAATGAACAATAAATAACCTGTTATCATCGATAAAATAATATTTATTATTATAACTGCATCGTTGAATAAGATAATCGTATTGGTCGGTTTGATCCATAAAGATATCAATACTATACCTTTGTCCAGCAACTATATCGTTTGGATTAACTAAATAAAAATTACGTTTAATACTTCAAATTATGCATTAATTTTTATTAAATTCCAAATTTTAGTCTATATAGTCGTTGATTTATTTCTAATTTTTAATTTTATAAAATAATAATTAATTATATTAAATATGACTTCCAGCATCTCCTATTTAGCTAGCAATATAAGGAAATCTATTAAATATTTTCAAATAGATTCAAAATCCAATGTTAACGAAAATTCCTTTTCTTTGACGATAGAGGCGATGAAATACGAGTAGTGCTGATTTGTCTCAAAATCACTTTTTGTTCACATTTTAGTAAATAATAAAACTAGCCAAACGGTACGGCACTAATGGAGAAAGAAGAAATATTGCAAAATTTGTCCTAATAGGTCCACTAGACTTCGATAATTTATCACCATAGGATCACCATAGTATATTTCATGAATGTTATTAATTATTGAAACTTTTTAGGTAAGTTTTATTTCTATAGAATTTTAAAAAATTTTTATTCTTTTATTCATTTTTTAAATCAATGAAATAAATTGCTTATCAGTTGAGTATTTATATTTTATCATCAGAAAATTATTAAAATTAGATTACAAAAAAAATAAAAAATTAACCAAAATTATAATTATCGGAATAAATATCAATAAATCCTGGATGAATAAGAATAGATGGTTGACTATAACAAATATAATTACTAATTATAAATAATATTGTAATATAAATAATATAAATAAGCATAGTTTCGGATGGAATAATGAAAAGAAAAAGGGAATAAAACGAACGAACGAATATATCGAAAAGGAAGTAATCCTTCGTCTTCAAATAAAATGTATCAACGATTTGTTGTTGGACATTCATTTAATAAATATCAAAAGCTATTTTATTATAAAATTTTTATTTATTTAATATAGAAATAAGCATTTTATTGATCAACGAAATGGTATTATTATTTGACAATTTTATTGCTCGAAAAATTTGGCTTTTTTTTTTTTCAAAAAAGAATAAATAATTTTTCACATTTTTTGATGTAAAAAATTTTTATTATTGCATTGCCATTAAATTTTTTTAATTTGAAAAATAAATAATAATAATGCAAATATTTTTGAATGGAAAAAAAAAATTCTCCGAAATAAATAATCGCAAAATTTTTAGATGTCAGCAAAACTAAACTATTTCAAAATTTAATATTAATAATTTAAAATTAAATTTAATATCGTTCTTATGGTGAATAAAGATAAATGCAAAAGCAAAAGCATAATGAAATTCTGAATTGATATGATTATTGATCCGATGAAAACTTGGATTGATATGATTACAAGATTGGACAAGCGATTCAAATTGTCATCTATTTTGAGATATGATAAGGAAAGATTCAAAAATTCATTCTACACGAAACCAGATGAACCAGAAATATTTGAAGATATTTTTTTGATAAAAATCAAGCAGTCGTTAAATCAGTTTGATAGAAGTTGACCGAATTTTTTTTTTTTTTCAATCCAAATTTGCAAGGCATTTATTATTCCTCTATTAGAATAGAATGCAATCCAGTTTGTTACTCACTTATAAAACAAATAAATAACAATAAATAACAAATAAATAAATAAACAAATCGAATAAGCTCCTTGAAGGATTGAAAAAAAAATTCATCCCAACATCATCCCACAATCTTACTAGTACCATTAATTTACATTTGTGATCTTATAACTTTAGTTGTAATTGAAAAAATTTAAAATTTAGTAGTGATATATGAAATTTTATATGGTTAAATTGGAAGTACCATAACCTCATTCTGAATCTGAAACCAATTAGATCCAATGATCTAAAATTACTAAAAACTTAGATTCGATTATTAATGGTCTATGCGGTATCATTTCCATAATTTTATGAGAAAATCATTGCACCATAAAGAGTATAAGCTGACTAGAAGAATATTTTCGAAAAAAATTCGTTAGCATAAGGGTTGATTTTACAGTATTGTAATGAAATAACTCAATTCTTCCTTCTTATTTGTTCCCCATAATCGCTGTCCTTCTATTGCTTTTTGTTATTGTATGGCGATTCTCAAATTTTTTCGCTCTCCTCGGCAAGTTGGTTAGCTTTGTAGTCCTTTTCGTTCAGAAAATTTTATCAAAAAACAAATAAGAATTGAATTAAGAATTCAGAACTAATAAAAGCTAAACTGATAAAGAACTGATAAAAGATAAAAGAAAGCGTTCTTTGAAATCAACGAAGAATAGATTTGTTCATTAAGAAAAATTTACTTAAAAAATTTATATGAAAAAAAAAATTAATTATAAGGTAGTGAAAAAAAAGAAAAATATTTCATATATTTCGTCCCAATTTAAGCAAAAGGAATATCACTTATTCTTTAAGTTTTTTAAAAATACAATAATATAATCAAAATTTAATATTTATGAAAACTGTGAATGTCCTCCTTTATTATTATTCCTTCTTTATAAATTCCTTTTTTCCTTTAACTTTGTTCCGCCTTGTTATGGGATTTTCAATTAGAACTTTTATATGACATTTTGAATTAATAGGAAAAAAAATTTTTCAATTGTATTTTACTTATTCAAATTTTACTTTGTCAGTTAGCGATCTCCTTGGCCCTTTTGGCTAGCGCCTCAATTTTCCTTAATTTTTTCCATGATTCCCTAGAAATATTCCGCGGCCCACCACTGAAAAACAACTGCTATAAATGAAGATTTAAAAATGATGAAACGCATAAATTAATTTGTTCTGAACTAAAATTTCTTTAATTTTACCACGAAAATTTTCCCATTTATACGAAATTATAGTAATTAAACCTAATTTTCGTAAATGCACGCAAGAAAATAAAATTTGGCTTAACTTTTTTTTTTTTAAATTTTGCAAATATTAAATTGCATTTCACATGCGAATTTTTATTCATCAAACGTTGAAAATACTTTTTAAAATTTTTTCGTTTTGCTGAAATAAATCAAATTTATTGAAATTAATTTTTCTCGAAAAATAATTAGTATTTCATATAATAGTTGCGATTATTTATAATCAGCTGATTAATTTTTTTGTTTACATTCGTTCAAAAAGATTTTCTGCTTTTTGAGTAGTTAACTGACAAATTTTCCACCACATCTTCACGTGATCAGCTGGTAGATTTTCCTATCCACAGGTGACAAAGTCACCGATTTTCTCATTTGCCACATATCAGCAAATAAAATTTCATTTCACGTCTACTTTTACGTGATCAATTGATAAAATTCCCAACTTATACGTGGAAATAGATTTTCCAAATGGTAGGCAATTTTTGAACGCATTGGTGATAGCAAAATGTCTAGTTTATGAAACTATATCTACTATATCTACTTCTATGATATAGTACCACGCTGGCAAAACCATATAATCCCCAACCAACTAGTGGAACCAACCAGTCCAGTAATGGTGCGAGCTGTTAGAAGACGAAACTGATAAGTATAGCAGAAAAAAATTCAGTGTCTCTGACTCTCTAACCATTCTCTACTCATCTGATGCTCTTCAGTCTTTCATTTTGCAGTTTTTTTGTACATATATGACTGCGTTTATTGTTTTATTTCTGTTATGATGAGTCAGGAGGTCATGAGGGTCATAGATTACGGGGTCAAGGATCATTGTTAGTTGAAGAAGTTAGCTGAGAATTACCTTGAAAAATTCTCTGTTCTTAATTTCCCATAAGCTTTCTTTGAATCAATTTTTACTGAACAACGATTAGAAATTAATAATTATTGCGAAGGTCGGAGGTCAAAGATGATTTTTTTTTTAAGGAAATGTTTGCAAATATAGGAAATTTGATAAATTTATTGGTTGAAACAATAAATGAAAATCTCAAAGATGTTCAACCATTAAAAATTATCATTTCAACAATTTTTCTTTTTTTTTTATTTCAAAATTTACGAAATTTAATGAAATTATCGCGAAGAAAATTGTATTCCAGGTTAGTTAATTTCTTTTTTATTTTTTGGTAGTTTTCGATTTAATGGACAGCGTGGGTCAAAGGTCATATGTTCGCTTCTTCCTTTTCCATTTTCTTTCTTCTTCGTTTACCTGTTTTAGTCTTTTCATTGTTATTTTCTTACCAATTCATAAATGTTGCCCACATAACCGAAAAGTTTTTACGTCTTTGATCTTAAAATAATTGGACAATAATTAATTGAAGGTTGTTAATTGAAGGTTTTTAATTATGGGAAAGGAAGAAAATTTGAATTTTATTAATTATAATTTAAAAAATTTTAATCTGAAAAAATTTCATAAGAATCTTTTTTCCTAAATTTGAAATGTTAAATTTTATTGAAATTTTCAGATTAATTGGTTTCATTTTCTTTTATATACGAAAAATTCCATATGTTCGCAATAAAATTGAAAATGAATTGGACAAAATGAAGAAATTTATCGTAAAAACTATTCATAAATATGATACTGATAAAAATTTTATCAAATTTTTACCGGAAAATCCGATTGATTTTGATGAAATTATTAAAATTTCAGGTAATTTTATCTTTTTTTTTTCTTTCACCAACGCGAATCTGTTAATCTGCTTCGAGCCAAATTATCTTATCATTTCTGTAGATAAACCACTTGTTGATTAAAATGCAGATGAACTCCAAACAGCCATTCGGATTTCTCTTTTAATTAGAACTTTATGCATGGCAAGAAGAATGAATCGAATCCTTCCTGCTTACTGTCCACCACACTTCAATCTATATTAGATCACTATCCCCTTATTTATTATAGAGTAAATCGTTGGAAAATTTTTTCCATGTGCTGGTGGAATTTTATGAAAATAGTCTTTTTTTCTCCAAGAAAATAGCAAAATTTTCGCTAAACTAAGAATTCCTACCGGTTTTCATTTCATTTTCAACTCACTTTCAAAAATTACAATTTTTTGTTTACAATTTACAATTTAAAATTGTCTTTGAAATAATATTTATTAATATTTAACAATATTTAAAATAAAATTTGTTTTTTAAAATTTGCACTTTTAATATTATTATTTCATTACATTAATATTCCATTGTTCTTTATTGTTATTATTCTTATTATTGATTATTAATATTATAATAATATTATTATTGATTATTAATATTATAATAATATTAATATTAATATTACAATATTATTAATGTAATGTAAAATTAATATTATATTATTTATATAATATTTATATTATTAATAGTAATAAATTTCAGAAAAATACGAATTAATGAGCAGTTTTAATGAAAAGCAAATAAGCGGAGCTATATATACGTTACACAAAGACGATGAACATATCAAACTTCTTTTAAAGGTTTTCTTCTTTACTTTGAAGTAATATATTTAATAGAGAAGATTTGTTGATTAATGGTGATATTTAAGTAAAAAAAAAAATTGAGAAAGGATTTTTGAAAAATTTTAAATTTTTGTTTTGTTTCCATGGAATAAGGAAACTTTTCCAAATTTTTTTCGTTTTTAGGAATTTCAATAATATTCGAAGAATTATGATCAAATTGAAAGTTTTAAGGGAAATTTATGAATTATTGATAAGTGATATGATAATAGTTTTAAATAACAATTGAAAAATGCAATACGTTTTTATTTTTTTTTTTTCATCATATAAGACGTCTTTATTGTAGATATTCGAATCATATGCATATTCGAATCCGTTACATCCAGACATTTTTCCTGGTTGTCGAAGGATGGAATCAGAAGTGATAAAAATTGTTAGCAACTTATTTCATGGTGATGATAACGTCCGTGGAGTGGTTCATTTTTATTTCAGCGTTATATTGAATAGTAAAAATTGCATTTTTTTAATAATTTTTTTGAGTTAATTGAATTTTATTTAAAATTGATGAGTTCATTAATGCATAATAATAATAATATTTATTATTAAAGATGACAAGTGGTGGTACAGAATCGATTATGTTGGCAATGTTGGCATATCGAAATTTGGCATATTCTAAAGGTATTAAAGATCCGGAAATGATTATACCGATAACTGCCCATGCAGCCTTCGACAAGGTTATTTCTTTTCTTTTGTCCTTTATCTGTTTTTATATTAAATTATTAAATTATGTATGCTTCATTATTCAGTTTAGAAAAAAAAGATTAGCGGATAATTATCCTCTTTATGCTTATTAAGATGAATTCATCGAAGATGAATATTCTGCAGCATATAGTCAAATAATGTTGGCTTAATTCAGGCATCTCATTTATTCAACATTCGATTAAAACATGTAAATGTTTTAACAGATAATCGAGTTAATGTCAACGAAATGAGGAAGGCTATATCAAACAACACTTGTGCGGTACAATTTTATAAAATTACAATATTTGATGCTCGATAATTTTTTATTGCTCTATATTTATAAGTTTTTACTTTAAAATTTCAAGTTTTTTAAAAAAAATAGACTTATTATCAAAAATTGTTTTAAGCTGGTTTGTTCGGCTCCAAATTTCCCTTCAGGAACCATCGACGACATTGAAAAAGTTGCAAAGGTGTTTTTTTCCAGAATATATGGTAAAAATAGAAATTGTTAAGCTTCTGGTAAGGCTGAAAAAAAAACTGTTGGAAGTTCCATAAGGAACTGGAAATTAAGTTGCAAGAGGTTGAATGAATTCTGGAGAATAATTCGATTGTTGATTTCCAGGAAATAGGGGAATTTTATCTTTTGATTATATTGAGAAAAAGCTAAATATTTTTCAGTTTTAGTTTCTTTTATCATTTCGATTTTTTTTTTTAGATCGGTGAGCGCTTTGGTATACCAGTTCACGTTGATGCTTGCTTGGGTGGTTTTCTCATTGTTTTCATGGAAGAGTGTGGATTTCCATTACCTTTATTTGATTTTCGCCTCCAAGGAGTAACCTCGATCTCTTGTGATACGCATAAAGTATTATAAGTATTATAAGAATTATAAAGTTGTTTTAAAATATTGTGTTCCATTGATATTCAGTTTTGAAAATATCGACTACCTAAGTAGATTTAATTTTTTAATTTCAGTATGGTTATGCTCCAAAAGGATCTTCAGTAATTTTATATCGCGATAAAAATTATTTGCACTATCAATATTCTTGTATACCTGAATGGACTGGTGGAATTTATGCTACGCCTACATTGGCTGGTGATATTTTTATTTTATGCAATAATACGTTGGTGTTTGGTAAAAATATTCAAGCCCAGTTTTCTAATTCGTTGAATAATAATTTTTTACTTATAGCTTTAAAATATGACTTAGTTTGGTTATCTAAATCTGTCCTGATTTTCCATTCTCATTTGAATTTATTTTTAGGTAGTCGTTGTGGGATGTCGATAGCATTAGCTTGGGCAACTTTGCTTTACTTTGGTCGAAGTCGCTATTTGGAAAGAACGAAGGCCATTATTACGTGTGCTCGAACTATCGCTAACGCCATAAGCGGAATTTCGAATGAAGTAATGATAAAATTCAACTTTCGTTAACCACCAAGAATTTTGAATTTTGCTTTTTTGTAAATTTATATTTTAGTCGATTAAGAATTATCATTATTTTATCTCGGTTCTTTTTTTAATTTAGCTGGTTTATCGTTTTAAACTTTCTTTTTACTTCGATTTTCTTTACATTTAAGAGCTATTTTTCAGGATGGCATTAAAGGTTTAAAATTATTGGGATCTCCTGATGTTTCAGTTGTTGCATTTACTAGTGACATTTTTAATATATATGCATTGGCCGATCAAATGGCTTCATTTGGATGGAATTTAAATTCACTGCAAAATCCGGCTGCGTTAGCTTTTGTCCAATCATTGCTCATTAAGATCAGTTTATCTATGCTTGAAAAGCCATTCAAGCATTTTAATTAGATCCTAAATATAAATTCAACCAAAAAATACTAATTGAGTGGTTTAGAATTCATATTTGTGTGACTTATAATACTGCAATATTCAATGCAGCTGATGATTTTATTCGTGATTTGAAAAAAGTTGCCGCTAATTTAATGGTGAATCCTTCGGATGGAAATAAATCTAGTACGGTTAGTAGTTTTTTAAAAATAATTTTAAATTATAAATTTATAAATTATTAATTATAAATTTTTGTTTGATTATATATTTTCCAGTTATGATTTTCTGAAAAGATTCTAATAGCGAAAAATTTGGAAGTATTCCATTGAAACTGATGATTTTGCTAATTTTTTTTGCAAATCCAAAGAGTACTTTCTTTTTGTTCTTTTCAATTGTATATTTGGTATTTCAGGCCTCAATTTATGGTTTAGCTGCTTCGATTCCGGATAAAAGTCTTGTTAGCGATGTTGCATACATGTATTTAGATTCGTGTTATGAAATGCCATTTTCCGAATAATACTTATATTTTAATTTAAACAAATATTTTTTATCACTGCCCTTTTGTAGGTAATTCTTTATTATCACTTATTAGGTCTTAGATATTTTATTCCGATTTTTTAAATCTTTTTTTTAGAATCAAGTTCGTTGATTACTAATTAAGATTAGTGATGAAATAAGAATTTTTTTATGTGCCATTGAAAATTTTTTTTTTTCATAAATGTATAACGTTGCCTATAAATCATTTCATTGAGTTCACTTAGTATATAATTATTGTATTAGTGTATAATTAGACTATAACCACTGTAGTATTAGTAATTTGAAATAGTCGAAATTTCTTTAAAATACGGCGATTTAAAAGATAATAATAGATGATCCGTTGAGAAGCGGCGAAATGGGCATTGTTATTATTATTCTTTTCATGCCTTCATTCGTCCTTAGGTTAGTTGTAGAATTATAGTAATATTATTATTTTTTACCTTTCTCATCATCTGAAATAAGTAAAAAAAAAAATTAGTTTAAAATTTAGACTATATAAAGTGGATTCTAGTGACCTTGATTGCTTGACCATCATTATTCGTCATCGTAACTGAGATTGTTCATTGATTGAATTGTGGCGAAGATATTGTCGAATTTATCATTTTTTTTAAATTAAATTACGTGTTATTTGGATTTATTTAACTAATTTCTTATCAAAATAATTCAATTGATAATATTGATAAGTGTTGTAATTTTTAAGTTATTTATCGTTTTTTCAACTTTGTTAGTCAATTTTAATTTTTTTTAAGTCTTTATTCTTTGAAATTAAAAGGTGTCTTATGAATTCAAAATTGTATAACTGGTTTCTTTGAAATTTCCTAATTTATTTGTTTAAATATTAAAATCAATTTCATTCTTAAAGAGAAATAATTTTCTTTTTCTTTAATTTTTATTTTGTTTTCAATTTCTATTTATTTATTTTGAATAATAAAAATTTCTTTTTTAAATAAATATTTGCTATTGGATTTTCGTTTAATTCATTTCAAATATAATGGCATAACTTAAACAATTTGAAATTTCTTAGTGTAAAGCGATAGTTCCATTTCTTATTTTTTAAATTTATTATGAAATGAAAAACTCATTGAACTCATTTTGCGAACAATTATAAGCAGCAGTGATATTCATTGATAAAATTGATAGAACTGATTCTTATTTTCTGATATTTTCATCTTTTTTTAACAGTGTTGACCATTTTTGATTTGTTTGATTTCATTGATAATAAAATTGATAAAAAATTTAAGTATAAAAAAATTCAGTGTTAAAAATTAATGGTTAATATAAAATAAAGGGCAAATTCATTAGTGTTTCATTAATTCATTAAATTTTAGTTATTTTTGGGAAAATTTAAGACAAACTGGATCTTTTATGAATATAAAAATTGTATTCTAAAAAAAAAAACTTATAATTTTGCTAAAGAAATTATTAATTTTTTTCAACAGAAAAATTGGCGATAAATAAAATTATAATAAAAAATTATTATTATTATTTTGACTTATACTTCGTTATTAAAATTAAAAATTTAATTAAAATTATTTAAATTTAATTAAATAAAAATTAAAATTAAAAAATTCTGTAATTATTTGCATCTTTTTAGAAATTAAAAATTTTTTTTTCAGAAATTAAAATGGTTAAAATTGAAAAAAAATTTCATAGGAAATTGAAAATTTAAATAATTTAAATCGAATATGAAAAATAATTCATCGAATATTATTGGTTTGTTTTTTCTTTTTTTTTTAATTCTTTATTTTTTTTAAAAAAATTTTTCTGTTTTCGGTTAGTCGAATATTTATTTGCCTTAAATTATATTTAATAAAAAATTCTGGTTCCAATGTCAATAGCGTTTCAAAATTCATGTTGAATTGAGTATATGTTTTGCAAGAAATTCTTTTCAATTTATTGCCGGTTAATATCCCATTTTAGTCTCTTTTATTTATTGTGGATCTATTCCATTATGTCGTTTCTTTCAGTTATAACTCCCCTTTACAAAACGAGCAAATTTGCTTCTTCCAAAAAAATTTAGGCCAAAATTTATGTATCGAATCTAATATAATTAATAATAATATAATATAATAATAATATAATAATATTATAATAATATTATAATAATATAATAATAATATAATAATAATAATATAATAATAATATAATAATAATATAATAATAATAAATAGTAAATAATAATAGTACCATAGTATATAATTAGAAATTCTCTTATCGAAATGTTAATCATCATTAGGCACTACTTTTATTAACGATCTATTGGCCATCATTAATAAAAATATGAGTTGCAAAATTATTATAATTTGAATATGCAAACAAAATAGATTTATTTATTAATAGGTTTGTATATATCATATATAAATTGTTATTTAGTAAAAGCAGTAAAAAATATAAAAATAATAAAAAAATGCAAAGGATTTACGGTAGTAATATATTTATGTTTGCCTTTGTGCGGTTACTGTTGATTGCCTGAGGTGAAAGCAATACTAGGAATAGGAATACGTCAGACCAATTATTTTTCTCATATTTTTATTTATTTTTATTTTTTTCAAAAAATCTCAAAAATAAGCGATATTTTCGAGTAATTCGAGTAGCTTTATGTATTCGAATAATTTATATTATCTGGAAAAAAAAACGAATTAATTTCGATATGGTTCTCCTTTATATGGTTCCAATCTATTTGGCCTGGTTAAAATATTTAAAAAAAATTATTTTTGTAAAAGAGATAAATTTGTGATAATGTGAAAATCAACTTAGCCATCTTTTATTTTATATAGACCATTATTAAATACAATTTAATTTTATTGAAACTAATTTTTATTTAAATTAATTAATTAATTAAATTTCATAATTTTGCTTCAAAATAATTTTAAATTTCAGATTGTTTATTTTCGTGTTTCGATGACAACAAATCATTGAATCATTTGAAAAATCTCATAAAAAATAATGAATTAAATATAATAAATAATAATAATGACAAATATTTTGGCGAATGGTCGATCCTTGATATTTTTTTATTCACTCATAATAATACTGATAATAATGATAATAAAAATAATGAGAAAATTAGTGAAAATTATGATAAACATGATTTTGTCAATTTCTTGTTACAAAATGGAGCAAAACCATTTTCTAATCGTATGTTCGATTTTTTAAAAGATAATTATTATAATTATTTACAAAAATTTAGAATTATTTTGAATTTCATTATTGTCATTTTTTCCTTATTCCTATTGGGATTTTAAGGATTAATTAAGAAATGTTATAGGATTTTGGTTCTTTTCCCAACTCACCGTTTCTTGAACTTGAACGGTTTCATTGATTATTGCTATGGAATCGTTTCATCAAAGAGTCGCTTAGGAATCGAAATATAGCCAAACGAACGAAATTTAATAACAAAATTTGCTCTCTACCAATAGTCCTCGTCATTACTGGTTAAACTCACTCCACTGGCTTGTCGCATTGGACAAATATGCCAAGGAGTCTCTTGGCGATAGAAGTACAGATGAGTGGCCAGCAGCACGCGGATTTTTGTACAGGTTTACTCCTGGAGGAATCGAACCTCAGCATCGGCGCTCCCAATGGAGCAACAACTCACTGAGTCATTCTATCCGCACCCTCTCCCAATTAGATTAATAATATTTTATAATGTTTAGTAATAATATTTATACTAATAATATTTAAAAGATTTTATTTAATAATATTTTTAAATGGTGTAAATTGAATTGAAATCTCTAATTGATGCTAATCAGATCGATTTTCAATCTATTTTTATAGATTACTACCACTTTGCACTAATTTATCGCTTAAAATTTAAAATTTCCTTATCTATCGACTTTTATGCAATGATGATTTTGTCGTAAATTTTTGCTCTAAGTGGATTAATACAAAATATTTGAAAAAAAATTTATCAATGAATGAGTAAATGAGTATTATTTGACGAAAAAATAATTATTATAATAAATATTGCTAAATAAATTTAATAAATTACAGTTTGCAATTATTCAGAACAATTAAAAAGAATAGAAATAATTAAAAAAAATATTAATAATGATATAGATGCTATTAACAATGATAAATTAAAGGTATACATTAATTCATTTTTATCAGTTTTTTTTTCGAATTCAATCATTTTAATTATTTAATACTTTTAAATAATTTTTCTTTTTTTCCTATTATTTCCATTTTTCAATGATTTTTAGCGAATTCAAAATCTATTAATAAAATTATTTTAAATGTTTTATTACAATCCATAAAAATAATAATTTAAATTTGAATAAATTAGAAATTGTTTAGGCCAATTCTATTATTTATAATTCGTTAAATTATTGTTATAAGCGATTAAATCAAATTAAAATTATTTATAAAAATTTAAATATGGCAAAATATTTTAATGGAAATGCGAAAATAAAAATGGAAGTGACAAATCGAAGCGAAATAACAATTTTTCTTAATTTTAAAAATTTCAACCAATTTATTATTAATTATAAAGGTGTGAACTTTTCCTAAATCTTTACTCTTAATAATCTTTTGTCACCATGCACCATTTTTGATGCAAATTTTGTCTTTGGTTTCATTTTTAATACCTAGAATAATCATTTTTTTTTCGCAAGAGAGTCGCTTAAACAATTACTGCTTGTGCTTTTAATGATAAGTTTAAGTTTACGAAATTGAATTCATGCTTTATCTTTCAGCTAAAGCAACCATTAAAGTACCTAACTATTAATCCAGCACATCCATTCCTCTTTGATGGTTCACAATGAATAAGTGACGATAAAATTATTTTTTGGAAACTAATGGCTTTTAGCATTTGCCTTATCAACTAATATATTAGCGGATTTTATAAAATTTTATAAATATTTGTTAAATTAATTTGTTGAAAATATAAAAAAAAAATTTATTTTTATTTCAGTTGAGTGGAGTTTATGTAGTAATTTTGAAGAAATCGAAGGTTCAATTATTACAAATGCACTAAACAATAAAACGATAATAATAAATAATCTAAAATCATGCCTTAAATATTATTTTCGAATTAGTATTGGTACATTAAGAGGTTATAATAAATATATTACCGTCAAACCTTCGCCTATTATTATTTCAAGTGATTCTTTTCAATTAATATTTTCTATTTTTAAAGATAAATTTATTTATTTAAAATTAAGGCCTAATAATAAATAATGAAAGGCCTTTTTTTTTAGGTTGGGATGATGTGACCGATTGTTATAAAAGTGAGAATTTTAATGAACAAATTAATCTTCTATACGACGATTTCGAAAAATTACGTTCATCGTTCTTTGGAAATAATTTATTTTCATTTTTTAATGGTAAAAATTTTCAATTTTTTTAATTTTAATTTTTAATTTTCAATTTTTAATTTTAATTTAATTTTTTAATTTAATTTTAAATTTACGCTTTTTTTACATTTTTTACATTTTTACATTTTTTTAAAATTTTTCTTATAGATTAATCAATCTGAAGAGTATTTTTATTTTTTTGTCGTTATTTTTATTCAACTATCTTTCGATAATGCAATATTGTGGCACATTCTTTTAGCCAAATTTAGAAAGGATCATAATTCATAATTCTTCTAAGATTGCCACAGTTGAATGATGCGATACGATAAATAATGCAGATAGAAAATGCAAAAATTCTGATGTTTGTAGGCCAAAATTTTTTTATTTACTGGACTCACCATTACTGGTTAGACTCGCTCCTCTGGCTTTTCGGATTAAACAATCAACTATGCCAAGGACTCTCATGGCGATGGAAATGCAAATGAATCACCAGCATCACTAGGATTTTGGACATTTTTACTGCTTCTTAGAGTGGAACCTCAGCATTAACGCTACGAATTGAGCAAAAGTCAACTGGGCCATTTTACTCTCCCTTGCTTTTTTCGGTTAAGCAGTTCGACTATAAGTGGTCCGTCAGCGAAAATTAAGCGCAAATCGTCCAAATAACCTTGTTTATAGCATTCTTTAATATTAAAAAGACATATAAAATATTAAAATACAAAATATTAAAACACCATAACACCATAAAGTATTAAAGACGATTCTGCACTGAGTTAAAATTTTTTAAATTTATTTTATTTAGAAAATATTTTTTTTAAAATCTTTCAGTTCTCTTACAATCAAATTATCAAGAAAAGAAAAGAAATAAATTTAAACGATTATTTTCAAATAATTTCAAATTTATCAAAAATATAAAAAGGTTATTTTTAAAATTTTCAAAAATTTAAAATTTTTATCAAAATAATATTACAAAATATTAAAATAATAAATTTGTTTCCCTAAAATTTTTCCATTATTTCTAATATATATAAGTAAAATAAAATTGGTATTTATAAAAAAATTTTTTTTAAATTTTCTTAATTCCTTTTTTTAGAGGAATTTATTTGGCATCAATAATTTATTCAAATAACGAAATTATTTGTACAGACGATGATATTATTCCAATTATTTTGATCGATGATAGTATTTCCGATATTTCAACGGTAAATTTTCTTTTTTATTTTCAACAGCAACAAAAAAAGTATCAATTAACAAGAAAACTGAATGTTCGAAATACTTTAAAGAATGAAATTTTTATTACATTTTTTAAATTATTGAATTGTTTAAATATATATATATATATATTATATATATATTAATAGTCTGAAATGTTTCAAGCCTAGAAGATAAAATGTTCCAAGCCTTATTCTGGCAGCCAATGGCCAAGCTAGAAATGGTTCTCGCTCTAGAAAAAAAGCTAAACTCTTTCATTAAGCAATTAATTTTACTAATAAAAAATTTCCGCATAAAATGAAGAAATTAAAAATCTGGTATATTGTTGAAAAAAAAAAAGAATTTTGTAAATATTTTGCTTTGTTTTTAAAATTTTTTTAATATTTTAATCTATTTTTATAATATTTATTTGTTACTGAAAATTTTTATAAATATTTATTTGTAAAATAAATGAAATCGCCAATAATTTATGAGTAAATAAAATTAAATTTTGTTTTAATGAAAAATAGACTATTAGAAAGTAAATAAAAATAATGAAATTTTTCTTAAATGAATAATTCACTCGGAAAACAACAAATTTATTTTTATTAGGAAGATTTTCAATGGATAATGAAATTATCATTATGTTGGCATATCAATTTTGCGCAATTCAATCGAACATCGAATTCACATTTTCGCATAAATTTTATCGAAACGGTTTATCAAATGCAAAATGCACTCGGATTTCAAATCATCGGAAGGTTTTTATTGTTTTATTATTTAATTAAATTTATTAAAATTAGAAAAAATAAAACTTTTTTTTTCTCATTATAAATTAATTCGTAAATGAATTCCCATTAGATGAGAATTAGATTTCGATTCGATCAACGATTCGATTTGTTTTGTGAATTTAAATATAGAAAATGTGAAATCCTACGGTTCTCTCTGGTTTCTTTTGGTACTTTCGGCAGTAGAAATATAGTTAAAGGAGAAACCAAGGGGAAAAAATCGACGATCTTGGTGACTTCATTTCACTTCATTTTCACTTAACTTATCGAGTTAATTGAATTGCAGAGTTCATCATGAAATAATCACTGACGCTTCGCTAGGTTTATCATTCATTGTGACAATTCGAAATTGTGATAAAAATCATTTTGTACAAGTAAGTTTTTATTTTTTAAATAAATTTATAAATTAATCAATTAGCAATGATGGCATAAAATATTTACAATAAAAAATTATAAATTATGGAAAATTGAAATCACTAACTTCGCTTTATAAAAATTTTTTCACAGGCAATAATGCAGAATTTTAGATACAAAATGAGAGCAATTAGTTTTCATTTAAATTTAAATTAATAATTTTTCTAAATTTTTATAAATTTATAAATTTTTATAAAGAAATAGCAAATTTTAGATTGATTTTAGGCGTTTCTTAATTTAACAATAAGCCTATTGAAATTGAAATTGTTGAAATTTGTTTAGCTAAAATTATTTTATTTGATATCAAAAAAAGAAATTTTGATTTAGAATGCTTCAGTTCATTATATTCCTTTGTGTAAAGTATTATCTAAAAAATATACGAATAATTATTTAAATAAAATTATTCGAAAAATTCCCGAAATTATAAATTTTCACGAATCAATAAATATTTCAATCGAAAATGGTTTATATTTGTGTTATATGAAACTATTTTCCGATGTAAAATCAATTCATATTATTGTTCCAGAAAATTTGCCTTCCATGCTACCTTTTATATTAATAAGGTTAAATAAAAAATTTTTGAATTTAATAATAATAATAATACGAAATTAAAAAAAGCGATTCAGAATAAGGATTTATATGTATTTTTATGATTCAAAATAACAACACAATTATCCAAAAGTATTTCTTTTTTTTTGAAAAAATAAAAAATATAACTTACATTATAATTATTAACAAAGATTAAACAAATTTGCCTAAGGGAAATAAAGAAATATGAAATGCGCGATTGTTGAAATTGTTAATAATTTATCGTAAATTCTGAAAACCGCTTGTAATTCTGAAGGCTTATTTTACGCCTATAAATTTATTACCATTCTGGTATTTGCCTTTAAATTGGCTAAATTAGCTGAAAATCGAAAAATCAGTTGAAGGGATTTTTTTTTTTTTTCAGAGATAATTCACATATCACTAAAGACGAATGGGAGTGGATTCGTTTATTAGAAAAGGACGACGAGAATAACATGAAACCAACACGAAATCAATTGGCCTTTCATAAATTATTAGTAAATTCGATAAATAAATTAGCTAAACAATATGAAATTAATAATATTTGGGATAATCGATTGTATAGATTACAAATTTTTTATATTAAAACTAATATTTCTTTCATATTGGTTTGTTTTTTCTTTCAAATATTTTCTATTTTTTATTATAAAATTTTTGCAAGAAAAAATTTTCAACAAAAAAAATTTGACGATCCTTAGATGAGTCTTTTTGCCAGAGGTTCAAAAATTTGACGATCCTTAGGTGAGTCTTTTTGCCAGAGGTTCAAAAATTTGACGATCCTTAGGTGAGTCTTTTTGCCAGAGGTTCACTTTTATCACCATCAGTGCAGCCACATTGCCATTTCTCGGAATTCTTTCAATTTCATTTGAAAGATTTAAGATTTACTCGGAGGATTGTCTTGTTTCTCTTGATTTCTCAACATCAATTGCAGTTAACACCAAATGTCGACGAATCTTGTATAATATCTCTAAATAAGACGATAACTGATTTATCGCAATGTATAACTCTTCCAGTTAATATTTTCGAAATAAGTAAATCATTTTAAAATTTACAAAATTCGATTTTAATTTCAATAATTTTATGTATATTTTAAAAAATTTTATATATTTTATCGCAATTATAATAAATATTTAATTTAAATCAATAATAATAAATTAAATAAATTTCAATAAATTTGTTTTCAATCCTAAAAAAATATTTACTAATTTAAACATAAATTTTAGCAAATTTATTTAATTTTTTTATTAATTTTCCTATCTGAAAAATTTTTTTTTCTTTTATAAAATTTGAATTATTGAACTTTCTTTTTAGTTCATTTATGTACATATAATATGGATTTTATAAAAAAATATTGCGAAATTTCTCTATTTATTGAATATTTACTAATGGTTTGTTTATTTTTTCACTACGTACACGTATATTCTCGGATTTCATTTTGAGAATTAAAAAAATTTTCTTATTTTTATCAATAATTTTTTGATTTTTCAAAATTTTTCCTATTCATCGTCACCGTCTTTTTAAATAAAAAAAAAATTTTTCTTTTTCAAAAACTTAAATTATTAACGATAATTTTAAAGAAATGTTACGATTTGAAGAAAAATTTTTTTTTCTTCAAAATTCTAATCTGAAATGATTTTATCTTTCATAAATTTTTGGATTAAAAGAAATTTGATATAAAAAGAAAAAAAAAATCAAAATCAATGCATCGTTTTCATTTTAGGTTATTGAATTCAAAAAACGTAACAGTTTATTCAATGATAATTTAGAATTAATTGATAATTTTATCAGTGATTTAGATCGAATTCAGCAAAGGTTTATTTATCACATATATTTTTATTTTATTTAATTAATATACATTTATAAATGTAAATTTTACTTTGTGATTCCTAAGATTCTTTAAGATTCCTAAACAATCTAAGAATTCTTTTTTATTTTCGTCAGGCAATTTTTGCAAATTTAACGCTTTTTTAAAATACCCATTGTAGTGCACCTCTGTTGTAGTTCGTCAAATACAATAAACATTATAACCATTAGTAACTGGTATAATATACTGGTGTTTTGACGATTCTTAGGTGACGTGACTTTTTGCCAGAGGCCCACTTGAGGCACTAATGTGCCACCATTTACTGGTCTCTACTACCTATACTGGTGTACTACAGCGGCGGTACCTTTTTTATTCATTTTTACTAAATTTTTACTTCTTTTAATACGACAAATTAAAAATTCATTCGATAGAAATAAGTAAAAAATAAATAATTTAAAAGGTTAAAAGAAATTTGGAAAGCAGTTTGTTGGATTCAAAATATAGCATTACTTATACGAAATAAAAAATCGCTTGGAATCATTTCGCTGAAACGATTTCTTAACGAAACGATAATTTATGATGAAAATAATAAAGTAAGTAAGTTGAATTAAAATTCAAAATTAGTTATTATAAAAAAAATATTCGTTATTTTCTAAAATTGATTATTTATTATTTATTCTTTTTTTTTTCATTTTCCAAATTAATATTTTTCGAGTCGTTTGTTTTTTTTTGCCGAGAAAATTTCGAATTATGGAATTATAGAAAAAAATTGCTGGAAAAAATCGTCGTATAAATCGTCGTTCTCTTGTAGAAATGCAACAATTTTATTTAATCCTTTCTAATTTTGCCTATCAAAACCATTTATTTATTGCTTGAATTGTACCCAAACAGGTTGAATTTAATTACTATTCCTTGGCAAGAAGATAGAATGAAATAGAATGAATGGCTTAGTGGGTTGTTGCTCAATTCAGAATGCCGAGGTTCCACTCTCTCTGCAGAAATAAATCTATCCGAAAACCCGAGTGATGCTGGCGACTTCTATCGTCTATCGTCAAGGAATTCTCCGGCACATATGTCCAGTATGACAAGCCAGCGAAGCCAGTGATGGTGACAGCTCTTAACCTCGGCAATCTTTCATTACAAATGGCAACCGGTTGGATGGATGCTCATAATCCGACTGTGCGTCTATGCCCGGAGGATCTATGATCTCCGACATAAAGAGGTCCATTCAACCGACTTAGCTGAGCTAAATAGTGAAATATTAAAATTGGTGAAATGTTGCATAAAAGCGAATAATAATTCTAAAACTCTCAATGAATTAATATTTAAAATTATCGCTATAAGATTTTTGATTTTTTAATTTTAATTTTGATTTTATATATTAAACGATCAAAAAACATTAATAATTTATTTTAATAATGCAAATAAAATAAATTTCATGAAATATTTTATGGATTTTTCGTTAAATATACCTCGTGTAGTTTTAATAATTAATAATTAATCTCTAATATTTAAAAGTGCAAAAATTTTCGAAATTTGCATTTTTTAAATTTCTTATCGATGTTTTAAAACATTTAAAAAATATTTAAAAATTGAACGCATCAAAATTGCAGCCCAACCTGTTTTATTTAATATGAAATTCCTATTAAATTAGAAATGGTACTTTGAAAGAATTTAGTTTTTTTTTTCAGATATCTAATGAGATCGATAAATTTTCAAAATTACCAAAAAAATCATCATTCGTTCACGAAAATTCAAATAAGCTAAGAATCGTAACGAAGGACGAAATTTTATCAAATCATATAATTCGTATTTTTGCATTAAATAAAAACAATGAAAAAATATTATTTCGCCTACAAATAACGCTAAAAACGAAAATATTTGAAATAATTGAAATTGTTTTAAAAGAAATAAAAGAAACATTATCGACGGCTTCCAACAGTGCTGATTTGTTATCAAATTTTACTGATAACGACGTGAATAACTACTGCATTATTGCGATTATTGGTTTACGAAAACGAATTCTTCGTAATAATTTAGAAATTCTTAAATTGAATTCATCACCATGGTTAAATGCTAATTTATATATATGCAACAAGAATTTTGCAAATTTTATTATCAAAAATGCTAATAATCATTCTCGAGTTTAAGATATTTGCTTTTGATTTGTTTTTTTTTTTATGTTTTATGATTCTTTCTCTTTCTTAAAATATTTTATTTGTTAGAAAGTTTTATTTTTACAATTAACAATCATAGCAAAAAAAATGAAAATAAAATTCTTCCAATTTTCAATTTTTATTTGTAAAGCTGAATAGACGAAAAAAAAGACATTAGAAATCACCACCTTTATCAATTCAAAGAAAACTAATAATTTTAAACTGTTAAACTGTTATTACGTTGGTGAAATTTATAGATGTTTTTTAACAAAAAAGTAAATCGGTTCAACGATATAAAATTCACATAAAAGAAAACTATTCACGCCCAATACGATAAAAAATTTACTGCTAAAACTTTTCTTATTTTATATTTACAAATGAAATAAAGTATGTTATTTATAGCAAATTGAGCGTAAAAATTCAAAAAAACTAAAAAAAATGCTAGAAAAAAATTTGTTTAGTATCATCTCTTGTATAAATATTAATGAACATAATAATTTACTCTAATTCATAAAATTATGTCATTAATTTTACATATGAATTATAATTTGATAAATCACGTTTAAGTATCTCACGCACTGGCCCCATAACACGCTCAAAACGAGCTCGATCCAATTTCACACATTTTAATAAACTCTTTGCAACTACTGTTGCTGCGCGTGGTCGATCCAACAACAATGCTATTTCCCCTTGAAATATTTGATTTCATTTACTTGAAATCAAAAAAAAAAAAAAAACCACCAAATGAATTTAATACAAGTAAAGAGACTGAATAAATAGAATAATGTCTAATGATGCTTATAAAAGAATAAACACAAATTAATTCGACTACATAAATTCTACACGAATGATTACATAAATTCAAAGCATAACTACAATAACTAACAAAAGGTAAATAAAAAAAATGTAACCAACCAAAATAATCCGATGAAGAAAGGTGACCGACAACTTCAAAAGGCGCATCATCACTTCGCTTTTGTAGAACATCTGCTTCACCTTCGACAATAATGAAAAATTCGTCACCGGGTTGTCCCTTCAAATAACTACTTTAAGTTTTTGATTTTGAAAATAAAAATAAGATGATGCAGAAAGAGAAAAGAACCTGTTCGACAACATGAGTTCCTGGTTCAAAATCACATCGCTCTAATGCATCCGCAACGTTTGCACGCTCCCACTTATCGAGATCAGCTTAAATAACTTTTAACTTTTAACTTTTTAACTTTTCTTCATTCAAAAATGAATTTATTGTCGATTTCAAAGTATCTTGATATCTCATAATTCCAGCCTTTTGTTTAAAAGCAACACTCTTAACAAGCATTTAAAGGCTTTCAGACATACTCAAAAAAAAACTCAATAATTCGATGAATAAAGAAAATCTCACATAATATTTGAACTTTGGATAAGAATTCATCGTACAATTTTCTCTTACGCATAGTCGAACCCATTAATATTTGCCGATACGTTATTCGATCAATTGCCCAACATTTCACATCCGTTTTAGCAATAACCGTCGCTGCTCGTGGTGTACCATAGATTAATGCTAATTCACCAAAACTTCCACCTTCTTTTATTGATAATGTATATTCATTATTTACATATACATCAACCTAAAATTTAATAAACCAATTCGGCGTAAAAACACGAAAAGAGAAGAAACGTATAAAAAAACGTATAAAACGTATAAAAAACGTATAATAAAATGATAAAATGAGTTGTTACTCAATAGAAGATGCGTCTTACTGACTTTTTTCTTAAAACTTAGAACACACACTTTCTTAGAAAATAAATATTTAAATCAATAAGCTAAATTTTTAAACGGATTTCAAATACCTCTCCTGAATCGATTACATAAAAATTATCGCCCTCTTCGCCTTGTTTGATTATAGTTTCACCTTTTCCTTTTTCCACAGGAAACATTGCATCAAAAATGGCCTTTTGCTCATCAACCTAAAAAGAAATATCCACATTGATGTCTTTTCCACACAATTCTCCAAAAATAAAAATGCTCGAATTAAATAAGATATTCAACAGCTAAAATGATAAATTATTTATTATTTTTTACCAATAAACACAGAAAATAAATTAGATCCGATGAAAAAAAAGACAATTTTGATAAAAACTGATTCGTACTAATTCTAGAACAAAGAAAAATAAGAACTAACCTCTAAGTGTGAAAAAAGGACATTCTTACACATAGCGAATTCAAGTGCTCGTTTCGTTTCTTCGTCTTTTGGTATTACTACCTTATCGTAATTTGCTGCTTCATTTTCGTCCGGCACCTAGAAATCGAATATCGAATATTTATCACCAATAGTAGAAGATTTTGAAATGAAAAAAAAGTGCAAAAATGCAAAAGGTATATTTTATTAATCTTATTAATTAAACCAAAAATCGTCAGTTTTCGACACTATTTGATTGCAAAATGTTCGTAAAAAATACAATATTAAAACTTGAGAAATATTAAAAAGAAATCCACACCTCAGCACTAACAGCCAATCGTCGTCGATTGCCTTGTTGCAATTTAGGTGGTTCATCAATTGTATCATCATCATCAACTTGTTCCGTATCACCAATATTTTCCTAAAAATTCATATAATTCTAAAAATTCATATTTCAACGCCATTATAAAAATAAATTAATTCATGTTTATTATTGATTATATAATTATTGTTATTGTTGTCATTATTAGTAATATTTTTATTGCTATTATTATTTAGCTGAAAAAAAAAATCCTTCATTTCTCTTCAAAACTTCACTTGAAATTTTCTGAGAAAAATGGAAAATCCTACAATTTACCTGTTATTCAAAATGAAATTTAAAAATCTTATAAAAATAATAAACCTTCCCCTCTCAATTTCTTCAAATTTTTTCCGCATAATCAAATAGTTATATTTTTACTTTTCCCCCTCCATTCAACTTTTTTAATCTTTCGGAAATTCTGAAATTACTTTTCTACCAAAAAAACTGCAAAAAAACGTACATATTTTTTTTTATCCTTTAATTGATCCTTATCAATTGACCTACGTTTAGTCAAATGGTAACGATTTCTTCGAAAACTTAAATGTTGACCCATTTTTACTAGAAAAAATGGAAACGAAATAAGGGGAAAAAGGGAAAATTCGTGGGGTGATGATCAGTTGCTTTCTTTCCCATATGCTCTTCTTCTTCTTCTTCTTGTTTACTCCCTTAATCGATATTTTTCGTCTATCTTCTCTAATTCTCCGACTAACTGCATATTATTCTCGCCGTTTCTCATCACCCCATTCGAATATTCTCTTCCTAACTTTTCATCCCTCTATTATGCTATTTTCTAAAAACTTTTCTTCCAAAATTATATTTTTTAGCAAAACCATTATTTTTTAAATCAAAGAATTTCTGCTTCATTCTTAAAATTATTTTAAAAAAATAAGAAAATTAAATAAATTAAAACAATTTTCGACAATAAAGGACAAAAAAAACAAAGACGGATTAAAACGCAAAACAACAAAAAAAAAATGCGCGAAAAAGGATCAAACTCGATTTTAAAAAAACAAAAAATTAAAAACCTGATTTCGCTGTTCGTAAATTTTTTCGAAGTGCTCTTTTAAAAAGAGAATTGGATCATTTGGCTTATGAATACATAAATTTACGATTGCTTCCTTGACAAGTTGCTGAATATTGTGACGTTGTACATACTGTTGGCATTGTGCCAATTGAATTTCCTCCGATGACATTTTTCTGATGTTTTTTGCCTTCTTCTTCCTCTTCTTCTATGAAAACTATTGAAAATATTATTGCTATTATTATTATTATAATTAAAATAAATAAAAAAAGAGGAAATAAATCACGCAATTATTCAATAAAACTGATGAAATATCAAATAACAAATCATGAAATGATTTTCATGTAAAACTAAGTTTTTTTTCAAAAAAACAGAAAAATGAAAATTTTTTCATTTTAATTGTATAATGAAAATGAAATTCATCACTTTTTCTATTCTTTTATATTCTATTCTAATTTCATCGAAAGCATTTATTTTTCCGCAGTTTTATGAAAAAAAAATTTTTTTACATTTTCTAAATTTTAGAAAATTGAAAAATTTCATCTTCACTTTGGATTTTTCCCCACTTTCCGACGTAATGATAAATGATAAAGTGATAAAAGCATTCTAATCAACAAATAGCAAAAAAATATGCATTATCGCATACAAAAATATTTGGGAATTTGTTTTATTCAAATATAAAATTTAAATGATCGTTAAAATTTTTAATAATAAGAAATGATTTAAAAACAAAAATAAAACTACAAATATTTTAATGTAAATACATATTTAATATGTAAAATACATGTAATTTTATAATAATATACCTATTTAATGCAAAAAATTCTACGCCGACCAGTAAAAACCCGCCAATTGAAACTAAAAGCGATGAAAAAATTAACAATGATTACGCTCAACATTTTCTCCTAAACATTACTATTTGTCGGTCCAATGCTGAAAACACTACACTACTCCTCGGCTCCTATTAATATGAGAACTTTAGACGAATTCTAAGGAAAATACGGTACAAAAATTATGGCTTATTAGATGAATTAGAATTAGAAAAATAAGGAAAAGAATGGATAAGAAAAAATGCCATAAAAGAGGCTGAAAATGGCATCCAATTTCTTAAAAACGACATAAATTTTATCGCATATTTTACAACAAAAAATGAAATGAAATAAAGTTCAATTGTAAAACAAAAATATAAAAGAAAATATAAAAGCTAAGAAATTTTGATAAATTTTAAATTAAAAATAATTAGCAATTTTATAAATAATCGTAGAAATCTGAAAAATTATATATTATTTATGCGAAAAAAAAACGCTATAACTTTTTTATACTATAATTTTAGCCAAAATAAGAGGAGAGGATAAAGCGTAAGGCTAGCCAAGGCTAACTAAATTATGAAAAGATGGTGGGGCGGGTTAATGACGATTAATGACCTTTCGGCAGCCTAAAAAGCTATGTTGAGCCAAGTTCGTCCAATTTATTTTTTTTTTTTTTTGAATGCTATAGACGAACGAAGGGAAAAGTAAAGCAGAAAGAACCAAAAGGTCAAAAGATTAAAGGTTAAGGTTAAAGGCCAAAAAGTAAAAGTTATTTTAAAAGAAAGCAGCCACACCACAAGAATAAATCGCGAAAAAAAAAAGGAAATCAAGTGCCTATCGATTGTGACGTCACACTCTTATTGATTTATATTTTATATTTATCCGCATTTCAAACTTTTGGCCAAGTTGATACGGTACGCGGCAATTCAAATCGCTATTCTCATTCATTTTATGTATATTTTCATTAGAAAATCACTTGATAATCGAAGTATCGTTTGGCCAAGGCAAAATCGCTTGGCCAAGGCAAAATCGTTTGGCCAAGGCAAAATCGCTTGGCCAAGGTAAAGTATCGAGGTAACGTTTTTACTTCGACGTCGCTTACATTTGGCCAAAACTGCACTCACTGAAAAACATTCCCAAGTTATATCGAGAGACAAGGAATTTGCACGAATGTATTGCATAGTCACCGAGAAGATTCAATAAAAGGCTTTTCTATCATTTCTTCTCGGAACAGTGCAGAAATATTTAAGCATTATACAAAAATTCAAATGCACTGCACTAGCTATTTGGCTTCGATTTTGCCTATATTGGCCTCGGATCAGTGCAGAAATATTTAAGCATTATACAAAAATTCAAATGCACTGCACTAGCTATTTGGCTTCGATTTTGCCTATATTGGCCTCGGATCAGTGCAGAAATATTTAAGCATTATACAAATTCAAATGCACTGCACTAGCTATTTGGCTTCGATTTTGCCTATATTTGCCTCGGATCAGTGCAGAAATATTTAAGCATTTGTGATAATAAAGTGGAGCAATAAAATAAGACAGATTTAATTGGAATCAGAAGTTCCATAACGAGAATATTCCACAAACATTTTCCACAAACATTTTCACTAACTTCCTTGTTCGATTGTTTTGCGAGTAACAAAAAAAAAACGAAATAAAGCAAATAAGCAATGAAAAGAAACAAATGTTAATATTTGTTTATTTTATTTATTTTTTATTTTTTCCTTTTTTTTCAAAAAATAATTTTCCTTTTTTTTAAATCAACTTTATTTTATAAAATTTTATAAAATTACGTATTACAAAATTACAATTAGAAAAATGAATAGTTTAACGATTGGAAAAATTTGAATCTCTCGCTTATGATAAGATAATTTTTATCACCACTGCACAATTTTTTTATTTTATCAATTTTCCTAAATTTTAAATTTTAAATTTTCTAAATTTCTAAAAATCGCACTAATAATTTTTAATTGTTAGCAATGTTTTAAATATTCCAATTCCAATTAGACAAAAATTTCAGAAAATTCAGTTTAAAATTTTTTTTGAAAAATAAATTTTAGAAATTTTCTAGGAATAGAAAATATTTAGCATATTTTCGATTCAAAAGACGAATTCTTTACAATTTGCCTACTGGGAATTTCATCGCAAAGATTTGAAACATTATTTGTAAGAATTCTATAAATAAATATAAATGATTACCATTTCTGCCTCACCAATTGACGATCGAGGATAATTTTATCGAAAGAGGGAAGAAAGGACAATTGTTTTCTTAATCTGAGCCACAATCCACTTATTAAAATTTATAACATACGAATTAAGGAAAGAACATCAATAAGAATCCGAGTTTCTGGAATTAAGAAATGGAACCTTTCTCTTAACGATCGCTAGAAATTGGTATATTTTAGAATGGTCGTCATAAAGATATTCATTAAAATTGCCTTTATTATTTATATATTTACCATGCCTATTAGCCTAGAGCTGCATTATAAAATGGATTTTTTGCTAATAAGTTCCCTCTAAGCTGGTTATTTAACTTATTGCAATATTTCTCCCCATATCTTTTTGCTAATATTTTTATCTATATTTTATTATTATTCTATATTTTATTCTTTTTTAAAAATACGAATTATATAAGTTATATAACGTAAGGTTAAGCAAATGGTAAATTTTCTAAAGTTTTTGCCGTAGAAATAATTAAATCATTAAATTTTGCTTTGTATTTTACTTTTGTTCTAATATTTTGCGCATAAAAATTTATTAAAATTGTATAAAATTTATAAAATATTACTAATAATTTGAATTTTAATATTGCCTGATGTAGTTATAAAATTATAATATTATAGCACTGAAGTTATTATGCAAATCAATTTATCAACACATCATACATTTTCCTACTTTCTTTATTAGAATGGTACGTTGAGACGATAATTTGTCACCGAATCGTGGCTTAGGCTCGAACCTATGAAATTTTGAAAGCAAAATTTGCGATAATTCCTATTTTTCTTACATTTAACTGATTAATGAAATGCTTTTCAATGAAAATTTTACATTTAAAGAATTTTCGTTTTTTCAAGAAATGCTTGAATAATATTCAAGAAAATTGAAATAAAACAAATAGAAATTTTGTAAGATTTTCGACCATTAATAAATTAAAAATTAATAGATTAAAGTATAAATAATTGAATAAAAATCATGAAACATAGCTTTATAATTTTTTTTTTTCTAATAATCCAATTATTTAAATTTAAAATTGTATAAATTTAAAAAAATAAAAAAGTTGGAATAGATCGCCACTGGCCATTTATATATATTTTTGCACCATAAAGTAAGAAGAGAATTATTATTGAATATTCGCAAACATTTCAAAAGATAATTTGAAGAGGTTCTTTTACCTGAATATTGCCTGAATTTTTATTTTTTATTTTCGATTATCACTGATAAGTTCAATAAATATTAAATTATCAATTAAATAAATAATTTTCATGAAGCTTTTGAAAAAGCTTTTGATATTATTATTATTGTATTATAGATATTATTATTTATTAAAAAATTAAATTATTAAAAAATTAATGTTGTTTTCTTCAGAGAGATTGAGTGAGATGAGCGAGGGAAGTTCTCAAAATTTCGTCCATAATGAAAAGTCTAATTTTACAATATTTTTTAGTGGCTTATTTTACTTTTTATAGTCTAATTTTTTTATTTTTTCCTGACATAAATGAGAAATGAGAAGAATTTCCCGTTTACCCAATCTACTTTTTCTTACAATTGATATTATAATAGGTAGAATTGATTAAAACTGTGAAACTTTATAATAAAATTCTAATAAAATTATTTATCATCAGTTCGCATGGTACTAACTTCAATTTTGCAGGTCATCTTTTCTCGCTAATACGGAACTAATACGGAACTGAGTATATCATCGATTTTTTAGGAATACACCTGGCTGCTTGAAAAAAATTTCATTAAACCGTTTGTTAAATACACTACACTACACTAAACAGTAAAAAAGCCATTAGAGAGTACACTTGAATATTTTTATTTATTTTGAATCGATTATTTTTGTTATTCTTGAAAATTAGATTTTTAATTATTAATTAATTCTCTTCATCTTAAATCTGGCAATGAGACAATAATCAACGAAAACAACGCGCATTAAATAAGATTTTAATACAAATGAAAAGATTTGTAGTTCATAATTCCATTATTTTGTATATGTGGTACTTCTGGCCTAATTATTTTCTGATCAGACCAAAAATTAAGCTAATTTGAGCATTTAAACAAAACGATAATTTTTTTTTTTTTCGTTTGTAAGGTTCATTGACAAATATAATCGAGGTGGTTTTTTTTTGCTCAATTCTGGTTTAATTTCGAGCCTCTGACAAAAGAAGAAATAATCTCCGTTATTCATAAGACTAAACTTTTCAAATGTTGTCCATCGTCCTTCCTCCAGCAAATTTATTATCTAGTATGGAAAAAAGAAATATGACCAGATGATTGGAGAAAAGCTCCCAATTCTCAAGAAAGGTGATAGGATATGCTGCGAACGAGGAATCAGCCTACTAGACGTCTCAGAAAATTTTTATTTCCCTGTTATTCAATGGACTTATGGAAGTACTGAACAGCAAGATGCACATAATCAACCTGGATTCAAACCGAGGCGTGGTTGTACTGACGTAATCACGTTAAGAAGGGTGTTGGAACATCGCTTCAGATATTTACGACCCACTGTCACGTGTTTCATCGACTTTGCAGCTGCATTTGATTTAATTGATAGAAAGGCAGTTTGGAGGGTGATGGAATGCGACGGTATTCCAGAGAAGATCATTCGACTCATAAAGGCATTTTGTGAGCGTACGTAAGCGCAAGTGTATATGGAGAACTGACAGACTCCTTCGAAATAAGAACTGGTGTCCGTCAAGTTTGTGCCCTTTCCTCTACAATATTCAACTGTGCGATAGACTGGGTAATGGACAACACTTACCAGCATTCAAGAAGTATACAAATTAGTCTGGAGCATCGTATCGCAGATCTTGAATACGCTGATGATGTAGTCCTTTTTACTGTCAGTTACGACGAAACATAACTAATGGGAAGTTTTATGTGCAAGAAGCTGATAAATACCTTTTTTTATAAATTCATTGAGGATGTGCTCGATTTTTAATACCTTTGTTATCAGCTTTCGGCCACTCATGTCTAAAATAAATTTTACTGTGAATAAATTTTGGCCGTAAATAAATTTTACGAGAGTGAATAAAATCTCACACGATCGCATCCATCTTCGTTCAACTACCACTTGCATTAATGTTATCACAGAGTAGCCTTCGATGGTTAGGACACGTTCTTCCCCACAAGAGTTGACGCATAATTTATTTTGCTGAACCCTGGCGTCAAAAGTCAAAAGTGGGCCAATTAAGACTTAGACTGATACGGTTAGAAACGATTCTGAACGTATTGGTGGGTTAGCAATATATGGACTTGGGGAAAAGGACGAGGGAAAAAGGAATAGCTTCTATTATTGTCGACGATGGCATCAAACTGCGCCACTTGGAAATACCTTATCCTTAACTGGGACTAGCCAAGCCAATAATGGCTCTTTTCATAGATATAATTAATTAAATAAGCCAACAACTTTTAAAATTTAGAAAAACCTGTAATTTCTTGGTTTTATATTGAGCGATTTAATAAGATTCACATTCTAAGAGCCTTGGAACTACAACTTAGTGAAAAATGAGTATGCCAAGTGATATATTGTTAGTTCCATTAAATCCAGGAAAATATAACTCCTTTTCTCTTTTCTCTAGTTTCTCTTTTTGGAAAGAAGGAAAAAGTTTGCTTCGATTTATGTGACAATTCTTTTGAATTCCAAATTCAAAAAAAAAATAAAATAAATATGGACAGTTAAGGGTTTAACAGTAATTGATAAAGGACAAAATAAAAATGCTAATAATTTATTATCTCCCAAAAATTGATAAAGAATTCTAAAAAATAAATAAAAATAAATAAAAAAATTGATAAAAAAATTGATAAAAATCTTATCAGATGGAAGAAAATAAACAAAAATTGAATCGTATTTAGTTCTAGAAGAACTACTATTGCACAAATTAGTGGTTTTCTTTCTTTGCTTTCGAGTGGTAGTATTTGTTGATATAATGTTATTTGCCGTGGGCATAATATGCTAATAGCCATCCTCCCAAAACATAGCTTAATTTAAAATGGAACAACGGATTTCGCTTTGCTCGGCAAAGCAAAGCAAATTTCGCTTTAATATATTTATAATGTGTGATATATATTTATAAATATATAGGTCGATTATCGTGTTGGCTTATGCTTCTGGCAGGAATAATGACTATATGTCCAGCCAAGTGATTCCTTGGTTCCCCTTTCTCTTTCTAATCTCTAATTTTGCTAACAGCCAATGGAACTCGCCTAACCACTAATGGTGAGTATTAACTTTTAACTTTTATAAATTGGATAATGCATTTATGCATAAAAATTCATATCCCTGGAATGGATGGAAAACAGATTCAAGATTTCGAAAAAAAATTCAGAAAATTTTGCATAATTTATAATTTATGATTTTTTAATAATTTTTATAATAATTATAATAATTAATTTAATTAATAATTTTTATTAGTAATTTTTGATGAAAATAATTTTTTGTGAATTTTTTTTTGCTGGTTGCACTATTTATTTTTTTAGTGTTAATCGTTGTACCATAGAAAGCTCTACTGGACTAATTTGTCCGCATAATCTTTTTCTAGGCTTATTGTACAAATCCAACTGAAATCCGAAAAAATATTATTTTTATCTGCAGTGACAACGAGAAACATTCTTGGAAACATGTGTTCGTATAATGTTTTATACCGAGCATCCATTTTTCAAGCATCTTTTTATAGCGGCATAGCTCGGTAATCGGCACAATACTACTTGAACCTTTATTCGTTAAACATGTTCCTTTTAGAGATTAGCCGCTACCACTTCGTTCAGGTCAGCAAGGCGAAATAGGATGCTTTTTCAAGATACGGAATTTGTGATTTGGGTATATGCTTCGTAAAGAATTTTCACGTTGTCTTTTCTTAAGCGTCATTTTTTAAACACTATTCGAATGTTATGAGCACTTTTTATCATTCCAAATTTCTATGCTCTGCAATTTGTTCCAATGTGAATTTAGAACAGCTAAGACTAAGCACAAATCGCAAGTTCGCAAACCTGTAGAGAACCTTAGGTTGAGGATGACTGGCCACAGAGAACAATGAGAAAAGGTTTTTTAATGTTTTAAAATATTTATAAAATATAAAATATCCCTTGTCAAACAGGGGAAAAAAAGAAAAGTCTGAAATTAATTTTAAGTTATGGCTTTGCAAAAAAAAGAAGTGTATTCTAAATTCAAATCTCTGGAAATAATAAAAATATATAGCTTTAAAGACAGGAAAGAGCCATAACTTTTATGACAACCACTTTTATTAATGATCACCAATGCGTGTATTAGCATCATAAATATTATCATTCTACTGCAAAAATCGATCACCTTTTGATTGGTTCCAATTATTCAACTATTGATAATCAATATTGGTATTTTCTAAATAATAAAAATTATAAAAACAATCTTTACAAATGGGCGTTTCATCAAGTAAAATTGATTTACGAATATTTCATTCTTCAAACCAAGAATCGTTTTATTGAATTTGTATTTTTAGTGATGTTTTTTTATAAATTATTGCTAATTTTAATAACAACAACAATGTTAAATGGTGATAAATTCTGCTCGAACGATAGTGATGTTACGAATTATTTGTTAAAAGAAACTAAATTAAATTACAATCGTCATATATTGCCGAATCGACCAGTTGTTGTGCGCATAGAATTATGGATTCAAGAAGTCACTTCAGTTTCTGAACTTACGCAGGATTTCGAAATTGGTTTATTTTTAATTATTCTTAGGTTCGGAAAAAAAAACAGTTAAAAGCAAATTTATATTATCGAAATTTAGATGAAAACCATTTGATCAAAAATAGAAATATATTTATGATTGGAGCACTAGGAGCAATGTGACTATTAAGCTAGGAAAATGGCTTTAGCGGATTCCAGGAATAACATCAGAGATCTTTACTGAAAAAAGCACATTGCTCGGAAGAGCTAAGATACTGCGTACAATTTGCAAGAACCCGTATCTGTGGAGAGCTGAGGATGACCTATACCACCCACAAATGGTCAAAAAGGGTTTTTTTATTTATAAAATATAAAATATCTATATTTAATATATATATTTACATATATATATATTTAAATTTACATAAATGATGACTTAATAGATATTAAGCGCTAGAATAGCTTATTTCAAAAAGCGCTGACCATAAATGTTCGCAGAAGCGATGTTCGAATCCCCGCCAGTTTTCTGCATTTTTAGAAATGGTCCTTAGCTAAAAACCATTTAACGCTAATTCACCTGCCTTCAATCTCCTAGGCTTTAGTCTAGAGGAAAAGAAGTTGACGAAAATCCATACCAGTGGTGGTACACCTATTGAAGATAATGCAAAGTAATGTATTTCCTACTGCTCTGATGAATTCATTAAATAAAAATATTCTGAATCTTCGAAAAAGTTTTTGAACGTGTTTTAATTCTTTAGAAAATGCATTTCATGAAAAGGTAATTTAAATTTGTAAATTCACTAAATAAAATAAAAAAGTTTATAAAATTATAAAATACAAAATTAGACCTTCGAATTTGCAAAAATTCAATAAATAAATAAATAAATTTAGTAATAAATAATAAATAAATAATAAATTTCATAAATTTATGCAAAGATATTGAAAAATATTATTAGTTAACATCGTTATTCCTGCGTTCCTATTTTGACTCTGATTGAAATCAATTAAAATGTTTTAAATTTAAATTAAAAATTTAAATTAAATAAAAAATTAAATTTTTACATTGAAATTTAAATTTTTACAATCGAGTTCAATTTTTAAGCAAAATAATATTAAAGTTAACTTAAAGTTATATTGCGTGAAACTTTTAATTTAGTTTTTTTTAATATTTTTATTTATTGTTTATTTATTATTTATTATTTATTAATTACTAATATAATAAATTATTGCTAATATAATAAAATATTTATCGATAAAAATATTATAAATTTTAGATTTATATGTAAACGAATTTTGGGAAGACCCAGCGTTATCATATGAACTACTACGTCCGTGTAAAATGAATCTAAGTTTCGATCATAATATGCAAGAAAGTATTTGGATACCTAATACTTCTTTTATAAATTCGAAAAAAGCTTTAATTCACAGTTCGCCTTTCAAAAATGTTTTTTTTATGATCTTTCCTAACGGTTAATTTTTCTTGATGTCTTATTTTTTCATGCAATTTTTCTCTCTCTAAATGTTTTAAATTAAACAAATTTTATTCAATTAAATATTATTGAATTTATTGAATTTGCCAAATATCGAACGAATAATTCTGCAAATTATTTTAAATCTTCAAAATATTTTCATCGATTTGCAGAAGAAAATAAGCAATTTTTATAATAAAAATATTTTTTCTTATCATAAGGAAATAATACGGAAATCAATTAAAGGATCAATATGGTCATGTTGGAGGATCAAAAGTACGGGGCCATGTAGGATGGATTTGACCAAATTTCCTATGGATTATATTTCATGCATATTAACATTTGAATCATACAATTATAATAATAAAGAGGTGAATATGAAATGGAACCAACCATATGCTGTACTTTTATTTAAAGACATTGAATTGCCTGACTTTACTCTTGTTAATTATTCAAATAAAATTATAGAAGCGGTAAGCTTTTGAAATTGATACTGTTCCTTCAAATTCGTCGTTATTTTCCATGATTTCATGAAATCATTACAAAATCGATGAAATCGATGAAATTTGTTCTAATATTCGTAATAATCGTCGTTCTTCAATGAGTTAAAAATTTAAGTAATTGAAATAATTTACAGGAATATGCAGCAGGTTCTTGGGATGAATTAACAGTTTCATTCACGTTTAAAAGGCGTTATGGATGGTATATTCTGCAAGGTATATTTCTTTTATCATTTGTTTTATCATTGGAAAAAAGATATAAAAATAAAAATCAGATTTTTTTATTTCAAAAGTAAAAAAATAAAAATAGTAAATAAAAGAATTTGAAATATAATTTTAAAAAATATTAGGATATATTCCAACTTATTTAACAATATTTATATCATGGATACCATTTTATTTGGGACCTAAAGCAATGCCAGCTAGAACAATGATTGGCGTTAATGCATTATTGGCTATGACTTTTCAATTTGGTAATATTATAAGAAATCTTCCTCGAGTATCATATATTAAGGTTATTATTAGTTTCCACTTAATTTTATGATAATAATAATTTTATTTTTTTCTTTATTAAAGAAACAATTTCAAAAATAAAAATTAAAAATCGAGTAAAGTTTGGCAAAAAAATTATAGTTTTGAAGATAAAATTAAATTATTCCTTAAGATATGATAAAAAGAAGCAAAAAAAAGACTGAAAATAATTTAATTCTTTTTTTTTTAAATAATTTTTATTGAATTTGTAATTTTCTTTTCGAAAATTTTGAAATAAAATTTTTTTTAATAAATTTTTAATAAATTTTTTTTTTAAAACTTTTTTAATTACTTTGAATTGCAGGCGATTGACGTTTGGGTTTTAAGGTAATTTTCTTTTCTAAAAAAAATTTTTCTTTATAGAAATCGCATAAAATATTTAAGAAAATTATTTCCTCAATTTAATTAAACGATTTAAATTTTCACCACTAATTTTATAAAGCCAAATACGAAAAATGCGAAATAAAATATATAATATAAGTTTTCTGAAATATTGAAATATTGAAAGAAGCTCCATTCATAAAGGAAAAGCAATTTATTGAAATTTTCATTAATTTCTCTAACATTTATTTATTTGTCTTATTTATAAGATTTTTTAATGATCACTCACCATTTGTAATTATATTCGTTCCGCTGGCTTATCGCACTGGACAATTGTGTCAGAGACCCTCTTGGAGATAGAAATATAAGTGAATCGCCATCACCCCCAGGCAAATTTTAAGCTTTTGTCGAGAGTGGAACCTCAGCATCGGTGCTTTGAATTCGTCAATAACCCATTGGACCAATTACTCTCCTTTGCTTTTCTCTATTAGGCGACAATGCCGAGTGACGAAGAGCGAGCGATACGTCGGTAGATTCGAATCTATGCCTCGATTCTCGGTGGCATTTTTTCTAATATTCCAGTTTAACTATTAATACAAACATCCATGCATTATTTATCGAATATTTATATAAAATTGTACGTATGCAAAAAAGATTGCAGTGGAATGACATTCATATTCGCTTCATTAATAGAATTGGCCATGGTTGGTTTCATGAGTCGTAATGAAGGACAAATAATTATTAGCCAATTTCTCAAAAGGGTTAGCATAATTTTTTGATAAACTGATATTTTATATTTACATTTTATAAGAAATAAAGTTTCAAGGGATTTTTGATTGAAAATACTTTCGACATGTTTTGCTTTAAAAGCTAATGACGCTTCTTAAATTTTATAAATTAAATTTGACAAAATTTTGCAGAAAAGGAAATCAATTTGTTTTGATAGTGAAAAGTTAGACTTATTCTCGAGAACTGCCTTCCCAAGTACATTTTTTTATCATTGGTATATAATAAATTGTTGCTAAATTTTCAGCAAATATCTATAAGCAATTGATAAGAAAATAATCATGAATTTCACAAAAATCTGATAAGAAATCCTTAAAATTAAGCGATTTCAACGGACTTAGGAAAAACTTGGCAACAAGTAACATTATATAATTTGTAATAAGTTAATAAGTTCACGATAATTTTTATCATTGAAATAATTATTTTTTCTATGAATGATCAGCTCGGAAATCTTTAAGCAAAAAAAAGTAAGCAATTAGCAATTAACAATTTTTAACAATTTTCTCACAAAGCATTATTACTAGCTAATTTTCTAATTTAAAATGTAATTTTAATTTTTCAATTTTAAATTTTCAAGATTTTTCACGTTTCTTTATCAATATAATCAAATTGTTCTTTTCATGATCTTAAAAAAATGTCTTTCTAAATATTTTTCTTTTAAATACTCCAGTTTTTTCGTGTTTATTTTATCACTTCTGCATTTATCAGTAGTAATTATGTAATATCAATAATGATTAATTATTTTCAGTCGCTTATGCAATATTCAATGTCGCTTATTGGGGTTATTATATGGGAGGAAAATTTATCTAATAATACTATTATATTATATCTAAAACATATTTGCCAAGCTATTTATGTGCATTTAAATTAATTATTCTGTATTATTCAGATGTGAATTCATTAAATGTATAATTCAGCGTGTAAAGAAAGCAAAAATTAATCAAATGAATTAAGGAATTTCTGATGATTTTTAACAAAAAATATTGTGCCTTTTTATTTATTTTTATTTATTTGTCTTGCTTAAACAAAAAAAAACAAAATTATTGCAAAAATAATTTTTATTTATTAATAAAACAATTCATTTGCAATGATTAATCCTCTAACTTTTCTGATATAACAGCAAATACAACATTGTTTTAATATTATTTAGCAAATTTTGAAAAAACCTTAATTCACTTATGAAATGAAAAAAACATAAGAACTATTATTATTCGAGCTAAATTAATTGAATAGTGCATCAGTGACCATCAGTTTGTGGATTTTTTAAAATGTGCAGAATTGCTTGTTCCTAAGACGTTGCATTATCACTGGCTTATTTATTTAATTATTTGAAGCAACCAAGTTGGGCGACAAGCGCCATGTGCTTGTACAATAAAATGTGGTCAAGTTACAAAAGAACCAAAAGCTACCAATGAAATACATTGCAGGTCCACCTATATGTCCAAAATCGTTCTTAACTGTATCAGTCCAACTTTTTGTTGATTCACTTCGCTTTCGACACCACCCATGTCTCGCAACCATATAGCAAGATTGAGCGAACTATATAGCGAACTATACTACTATATAGACATGTGCTTTCGTTTTTCATGGTGGTTTCGCGACGGCCCTATAAAAATTTCGTCCTCGGAAGAAAGCATTTTTAGCCACCGTTATCCTGATTGCAATTTCATTTTGCTCCTGGCCACTCGATATTAGAGTGGATCCAAGTTATTTAAAACCGTACAACTGGCAATAAATTGATATAGACAATATCTTTGCTCAGAACCAGGTTTAATAATTACTCGATAAACGACATGAGGAAAATGAACTTCCGACAAACAAGCCACATCCACGCGGCAGAGAGGGTGTGATCGTTTGGCTTGCAACACCCATAATCGTTCTGACGTCCCAAACAGCTATAAGCAGCACCTCATCGCGCTTACAAAGTGTTAATGGATAGGTTCTCGCTTCCCTTGACGGATTTTGAGTACAAATTTCGATTCGCGAGTATTGGTGACTTGGAATAATATTATTTTTATAAATTGTATATTTATTGCATGTACCACCGGGTGAGAAGCAGCATGCGCGCCGGAAAAGGCGGTCGTCGCGTCAAAGAGATCTGACCCTTTCACTATAGAATCACTTGGTGATAGAGATACAAGTGGATCTCCAGCAGCCACCCAAATTTTTACATCGTGACAGGTTCACTCTTGTCAAAGACAGAGACAAGAGGTAAATAAAATTAAATTTAAAAGGAGAAATTTAAAGAAAGTTTTTAAAAAAGTTTTTAAGGAAAAAAAGAAAAAAACTTATCCGATTGGTTCATAACATATAATAAAGTGGTAGCTGAGGAAGATGAATACAATCATGCAAGATTCTATCGCTCGATGCATCTGTATCTTAGATATGAGTGGTCAAACGCTTATTGTTTAATATTCTCCACTCTCATTGTTTCGCAGCAATATAGCAAGATGGAAGGAATTGTAGTTATATGGACGCGGATTTTCGTCTTCATGGTGTTTTCACGACAGTTCCATAGAAGTTTCATCAACCAGCAAAACACATTTCTGGCTGTCGTTATCCGGGTTACAATCATCCTTCATCCTTCACCTGGCCATTTAGGATTCAAGTGGATCCAAGATATTTAAAGCAAATATCTTCTCAACCGGAAATGAATTGATAAAAATAGATATTTTATCAGCATCTTGTATATAAGACGAAAACACTTTTACTTTATTTACATTGATTTTAATCCAATTCTCGCTGCAGTTGTTGACACATTGTTTAATATTATTATTGTAGATATAGATATAAAATAGAATAATAGTAGACAATAAGTAAAACTATAAGATAATAATATAATATAATCAAATAATAAATATCTATTAATTTATTGATTAATGAGCAGAGCACCTTTTCGGCACAACCGCTCATAGAGGAAACTAATAAATAATTTGAAGTGCTTCAATAATTCGGTTTGAAATGCCATCATTGTCCTCAAATTTTTCGACATAGTTGGAAGATTTTGGGAGACGCTGTTTCTTAAGGTTAATTTTATGCGAATCTTGACTCGAACTATAACATGGTCCAGCATAATCAATTTCAGTAGCACTACGGACCTCTTCCAGCAGCGACTGGCTAAGATGTAATAAATTTGGCTGGAGTTCCGGTTATCCGGGAAATTCCAAGTAACTAAATATCTTCTACGATGCATATATTAATAAAAAGTTCACTTTGTCAAAGCCAAGAAAAGTTTCCTCATTAGTACACCATATTTGCAATATTGTCATAGTGACATGTTATGTTTCGGTAAAGGATTCACCTGACAAACAGGCGACATCCGCACGACATTTAGAATAAGTGTGGACAGCGATCGCTTGGCTTGTAATGTCTCCGCAAACGTTCTGACGTTCCACGGCTAAAATATCTTCGTGCGTGCAGAAAGTCGTTATTCTGATTTCGAGTAATTGTCCTGGCATGCGAATATATTTTATTTACAATCCTTGGGACCGCCTACACTTATCACTTATTGCACCACCAGAATGAGAGGATGCAGTGGATACGAACGACGTGTCAGGAGCATTAGATCTCTTTCACCATAGAAACTCCTGGAGATACAGTTAGGGTCACCTTAACAGCCATCTAAATTATTTTTGATATCACAGATTTATTCCAATCGAAGAGAAGGTAAAGTGGAAAAATTTAAAAATGGAAAAGATAAAGTGGAAAAATTCAAAAGAAATTAAATTTAAGAAAAGAAAAAAATTTGAAATAAATTTTAAAAAAAACTTATCGTTTGAGGCTTCGAAGAATTGTAATGAACAATTATTATTATTATTTTCTTATATCTTAATAGAGTAGTTGGAAGATTCGACCGCTCACAAAATGATTGGTCAATTAAAATCATCTCAAAATTTCAAAACAACTCAAATTGAATTGAACTGATAGTAAGTATTTGGATGAAAAATGATCAAAACTTCAACCATCTTTATATAATAATTATCGAATAATATGTATAAGTTACTCACACTGAATAACCACCCACATAGAAAAAACCAGTACACATCGAAAAACATGGAATGTATAGAAAAGAATAGCGCATACTGAAAAAAGGAATGTGCTGTAAACAAGTAGGGTCATGGATAACCTCAAAAAACCATGAGAAATATAGAATGATTTTCTTATAACAAACGTTCCAAATTAATCATTACATAAGACTTTTATGATTTCTATTATTAAGACAATTTTAATTATTAGAGACTCAAAAGAGGAATAGACAAAATCATCAAAAGTTACAAATTTATAATAATCAGGAATAAGCGTGAAAAGCACACCTCCACAAGTATTTGAACTATTTATTGTCCTACCCTTGCATGACACTAGAAAGCCATCAAAGTTAACTTCCCGATTATCAGTAGAGTCATCCAACCACGTTTCATTAATACAAAAAATACTGCTTGGGTTATTAATTAGTAGGGGTTGTAAGTCATAAAGTTTATAATTTAAACTTCTTGCATTAAATATATATTAAGATAAATTATTTCCTATTTTATTAACCTTACTTGGTAAGTTGTCCTAAGCTGTAATAGATTGATGGGAGAATATTGGAATCAAAAAATTGCTCGTTGTTGTAAACCATTAGCGAGGCTGCCTTAGTTCCACTATTTAAAGATTTCTGACACCGTACTACTTCAGATTGAGATTCTGATTCAGCACATGACATTATTTACGCAACTATTTGACTAGTAATAGTTTTCTTTTCGTTAAATCCTTCCTCAAAAAACTTCCATGAGGAACAATCGAGCGCACGTTCTTATTACCCAATATAGCCATGCATTTATCTTCAAGTTGAATCTTAAGTACTCCTGGTCTGCCTGATCTCTTTCTTCCATGTCGTCGAACTTCCTTAATGTAATCAGTCTGGATCCCAGCGGCTGCTAGAATATTCTCTGCTATCAGCAGTAGCAGTCTCATCATCAATAGATTTCTCCGGAACATTTATGCTAATTAGACATGGTTCTCTTTCCTTTTTTCAAAATATTCATCAATAGTTTGCAATATTTGTTCAGTTGAGATATTTGGAGACTCAAAGTTGCTATTCAAAGACGAGGCTTTCAAATTATTGAAATCATTCTTAAGTTCCTCGTTGACCTTTGTTAAGTATTTCAATAGATCTGGTTAAATGCAGAATCAGATCTTGTTACCTTTCATATTTCTCAGTAATGGAAGTTAACTGCATTCTCAAGTCCTTGATAGAAAGATAGAAGATAGAAAGAGCCGACATAATTGGCAGAAGCGACCTTATTAGCTGCAATCTTTTTCCGTGCCATTTGAATAAGTGTCACAAACAAAAATCTCATTTATCTTATAAGTACTCGATACAAAACGATAAAAACAATATATTTTTAAGAAGAATATCTTTTAGACAGATATATTAAGGCGAATAATGTATTCCTTTTATCTTTTTAGGGAAGCACAATGTAATTTAGCAGAAATAATGAATTGTTGACGAAAGGAAGATCGACACAACCGCTTACGACAAAGATAACTTTAAAATTATTTAAATTTAATATTATGGAGATACGGGAAAAATTGGGCTTCTTGCATTGTTAGAAGTTGAAGTTCTGCATAAAACTTATCTTTATTCCAGTCATCTGCCAACAGAATTGGAGCATAGACGCTGATAACCGAGATGTTGCAGAACTTAAAAGGGGCATAGGCCATAAGGTCGGTCATCGGTTTCCACTCAATCAAAGCGGAATGGGCCTTACCAGGCATGAATGTCGCTATTTCCGCTATTTCCGAAGCACCATAGTAACATAGCCAGTACC